GCATATCATTGATAAGAGCTTAGTGGTTTTGATCGCGCTTTGACCGATTTTTTAGACTTTCAAGTCACAGAAGTGAGGAATATTTTGCTTTACTTTACAATATCAACATTTCCTCCAGCGAATAGGTGGCGAGAATAAGATACAATACCAGATTCTCCCTAATGACTAGCAAGGTAATGTAAAGGAGCTTGAAGGGAGAATTGCTGATAAGATAAACTTTTGTTAGATTGTTTGAAACAATAAAAAGTCATTCATCATTAAATTTCCCCATCATCACATCAGCTACTCATAAAGATATTTCAATTTTTTATAACGGGAAAGAACGATTGTTGCTAAATTTAGTTTTTCAGCTGTAAAGCTTTGAAAAAATAAACATGGGCTGTTCAGGGTGCTAGTTGTTAACGTGATGAGACTGATTGCAAGAAACAGATAAATGCAAGTAGCTCGGTTAAGAACAAAGTACTGAGTTTGATTGGTTAATAACATCATTGTAAAAGTAAGTCTACGACGTGTAAACATGAATTCCTTGTTACGCCATGAGGAGCGTTTTACATTATTGTGGCTTTTTCTTTTTTTCTGGTCAGAATTTGCTGTTCTTGAATTTGATTTCTGTTGTGCCTGATTTGAGGCGGCGAAAAAAGTTTTGAAAACGGGAAAGGAAAGAAAATTTATTTTTCATTTGGCTTCTTACCCTCGCACAGAGAAGAGTGTCTTGTTTAGTATTCTGACCGTATGACCGTGAAACAAGGAAAAAACCAGAAACTGAAATCACCAGAAACCAGCGACTGAAATAATGCTTTTGCTGCAAAAAACGATGATAACAACAGCTAATGTGAAAAAAAATCTAAATCGGGAAACTTTATACAGCTTTCCCATACAAATACAGAGAAAATATTCCATCTTTAATCTCATTCTGTCACTCACAGACTGACTTTTGAAAAAACTATTCAACTAATATCAAAAGTTAGTTTTTCTTGATGTAATACTATATTCTCTTAAATCATTCACAATAACATCAGAGCACTTTAAAAGGAGAGTTAGAAATTAGATCATGGAAGACAAAGGCTTCGTGTTGGATAAGCCGTTTTATTTTCTAGACTATTACAAGTTTAAGACAAAAATTTGTCAGTAAAATTATTCACAAAAATCTAGGATTTTTTCGAGGTTACAAAAATTCCTCTGCCATCGAATGCTCATTACAAAACATTTCAGTTTGTAAAGCGGGAAAATATTGTTTCTAAATCGATACCTTTTACTGCTCACCTTCTAAAAGTGTCGTGACAAGTATTCTGATCGCGTGACTAATAAAACCAAAGATGAGAAACTGAAATAAGACGTGCTCTGCAGAACAAAGATAAATGCAAATAGCTGTTGTAAGGAAGGAGTGAAACATTGATCGATAAAAAGAATAAATAATTTTTTAAAACAAAGAGGGAACAACGGGTAACAAGAGTAAAGATTAAGTTCAATTTGCCAAAAAACAAGAATGGGAGTTGAAGAAAACTAACATCCATCGCTTTCCATCTTCTCCATGAATTAAACGCGCAAACAGATTTTCCCGCTTTGAATTAATATGAAATTTAATTCGGTGTGCGATTTGTTTATACATCTACGCTATGCTACCATCGACACTGAAAAGCTTTAAGCGACTCACGGCAGCGAGGGCAAAAGATTAGGCGTAACCAAACCGACATTTCACATAAAGATTAATGGCTCCAGATATGCCGAATATTTTCATAAACAAAGTTTTAATTTCGAATGGTCGTATTTTACACATTTCTTACAATGATATCGCCAACAACATTACTTTTTTCCGTCTTTCTAAACTGATTTGAACCTTGTTTTGCCAAAGATAACTAACAAAGAACGGAAAATCAAAACGTAACGACATTTTACATTTGTAAAACTTTAGGGAATTTTTGGCACAAGCGTTTTGATCGTTTATCCAGTCGTTCGACATTAATTTATGAAACGAATTTTGAATTCAAAACGGCAGAACTACCGAGTTAAATGGCCTCTAATTCTTAACATGAAAAAGATTTTTAATCCTTGAGATACAAAATGATCTAAATAAATAAAGATAATTTTTGCAGAATTACGTTCCTTTGTAGCAAGTCATAATGTTTCTCATATCAATCATTTCATTATCAAATGTCTTTGTAAGGATAGCTCTAATTACAAAGGCGTCGAAATACGTTTTGTAAAATTGATAATATAGCCCATTCGAATGATGAAACATCGTACTCACCACGAATTCAACTTTGAATGCTTTGTTGCTTTGTAAAGTGAAGCAGCCAACTTTAGAAACAGAATCAGCAGCATATGTCTGTTTTAGTTAGATTACAAGTGGCGAATCTTAGCTCACCTCTGAAGGGCAGAAATTGAAGGCTCTCCCCTCCAACCACGTGGTCTGGATACTCTGATGATTACTTGACTCAACTGAAAGCCCGGGGGGAAGAACTCCACTTTCAGTCTGATCAGAGTGGGAGGTGTACCTCTTGAAACCTTCAGTTTATTTACAGCGGTCTTCCAACGGCTCCAAAAGGGAATTCACCATTGCCATAAAGTTGCGTTACTTAAGAAAGTGCGTCACGCCATTGTGAGTCCTTTTTATGGTCCAAAGAATTTCCTTTAAGTAAATGGAAATTGCTTTACAGAGCTGACAAAAAAATAACGAAGTAAAAATAAAACAGCGGAGAAAACGGATGGCTGAACTTGGAGGAGATTGACACGGATTGAAAATGTCCAACCAAACCATAGCCGTCAAAATGACCGGAACTCTTTCTTCGGGCTTAAAAAGAAAATTTGAGGAGATAAAGTGCGATGTTAAAGCTACAAGATGTTATATAATTTGATGTGTACATAAATATATATATATATATATATAGGAAGTCTGTGTATTGATTTTTCCGTTTTACAGTGCTCGATACGTAGAAGTAGAGCGCGATATATGTTGCGATGGGGAAAAAAACAGAGAGACTATACTTTTATCCCTACAAGCCTGTTTCGTGATTGCTCACTCATCAGGGGATTTTATTGTTAAGAATATTTGTACCATCGTTAATATACTTCACAAATTTGCATAATAGGCGTGTCGGTTAGTTTCGATGCTCAGTTCAATTGTTACGCAGTAACGCTTTGTTTCTGTGGCAGCATTGAGGACACGAGTTCATTACGTTTATTGGGTGATGATATTTCGGGTCTGCAGATGATGAGTAATTTTTCTTTGAGGCAGAGGTTGCATCTTTTGTTTGCGCTGTTGTAGCAATACTTATCAAACAAAATATGACAAACCGAAAAACAACGGTTGAAAAAGGAACAAAATTCGCTCCAGCCGGGCCTTACTATTGTGTTGGCTTTTACACAATGCTGGCTGCTCTTTCATTTACGCAGACCCATTCTGCTTTTTTGCGGCTTCAAATTTTTTTATTACTGTTGCGCGGTTTTTGATTAATGTTAGTTGCTCTATAAATCTTTTTATATGCTTTGTTTACAGTGGAAATTATCATCAAGGACTAAGAAATATTTTCAATGGAGCCATTCGTGAATTCAGGTTCAGGTTCGTAATCCACAACATACTTTCATTCCATCAAGATGACTTCATAAGCTAACCTTTTGTGTCTTTTGTGGATCATTGTGCTTCAGTGTTTCATAGGTCCTGCTCTGACCCAGAGAACTTTAGTTGTTAAATGAAACGAATTGTTGTTTCTGACACCGATCTGTTTCTGTTTTTTTGGTGAGACGGCTAAGAAAACAGGGAAAATCGATCCTTATTACCGGAACTACGTTGACCATGAACTGTATATCATCATCACCATCATCGCTCGTTGCGCCAGGAGGCGCATAAGGCCGTTACATTGTCCGCCCAACCCCCCCCCCCTCCCGTCGCGTGCCGCCGCACTGGCCACATTACAACTCTTCTACTCTACCTTACCTCTCTCTCTTTCGACAGTCCTTCCCCAAGTGGTCTTTGGTCCCCCTCTCGTCCTTCGACTCTCTGGTGTCCACCCCAATACCGTAAAACAGTCGTTCACATCCTCTCTCCTGAGTACTTGTCCTAACCTTTCCGCCTTCTTCTTCGCACCTCGCAGCTAATTTCATTGATCTCTGCTGTTTCAACTACTCTCTTGTTTGTCATTCTTTGCTGCCATGTAATCCTCAGAATCCGTCTTAAGCATTTATATTGGAAACTGTTCAGTTTTCTTTCATCGTTCTTTGTGATCTTCCATGTTTCACAATCATATAGTAGGACCGGTCTGACTAAAGTCTTGATCTTGGTATCTTGGTTGGAATATCAAAACGCTGACCATGAAGTAACAAGTAGATGTGACATAAACGAACCGCGGAAGAAGGAAGACAAAGAAAATATGTGCGCATTCTGAGACATGGTATTGTTTTCCAATCAATGGACGAGGTAAACAGGTACGATGGTCTTTTGCTCGTGAACGAGTACGGCAACCTATACTTTTTATTGCATAATTTTGAGGGACAAATTATTCCCTTTAAATTAGAGAAATTAAAAAAATTATTGGAGGAAAAAAGATACAACTAAAAGTGTAAAAGTGACCGACAGGAAGCACGGGAAAACTCAAACAGCAAGCGTCTCGACATCGTTCCCAGCCTCTTTCTCTAGTTAGAGGAAGAGAGATCCTAGAAACGTGATTGACTGCGTGATTCTGCTTCAAAAGAAACAGAAATTCGGGGGAAGATTCGGAAATGCTAAAACAAATTTCATCTAAAACTAAAAACTTAGTTGGTTGGGTCCCCGTGCAATGGTTGAATAATTTTTTTAAAGAGAAAATATATATATATTTTTATATATTTAAAAGCCGTATTAGTAGTTCTGTCGCTTTTTGAGTTAACTTAGTCTCATACCCAGGCTCTTCATTCTTCCTGGGCAGAATTTAGCGTGGTCAGCCTGGGCACAAGTCAACAAGCATACAACTCTCTAACATAATAGCACAAACATGATGGAACATCATATTTAAAATAATTTATTTTTCATACTTCTACTTTTACTTCATATAACTTTCTTTCAAAATAGGAGAACGATGAAAAACTAAAAAAAATTATTTTTTAGCAAGTGGAGTGAAACATTGAACGTGATTGTCATAACTGGCCCCCATCGAGAACTCATGAGGGGACTGCAACTTTCCTGTCCGCGGCAGTTGTTATAAAGGACTGGTTCTTAGTTAACAACAACTGTCGTCTCTCGTTGACTACTGGCAGTGGAAGCAAGTAATCGAGCCTTCCTCCCAGCATCCCTTGCTTTCTGCAGGTGAGGCGGCAGAGGTATCTTGTCGAGTCGAGGGTAGTTGGGAAGACGCATAGCATTCTGGGCACGATCCAAAACAATGCTAACGAAAAAACGCAGCGAGATTAGAAGAATCAATAAGATTTTAATAATAAGAATAAGATTTTAGAATAATTTTGGTCTGACGAGGAGCACAGATTTCTACCAAGCTGCTACAGAACGAACTTGGTGAGGGAGGTTTGCTTAATCCAAGATTGCACTGTTTTGAGTTTGTTCCAAAAAAACTTGGGCCTATATCTCACCCAATCTGCTGCAAAAATTAACTCAATGCAACTTTCCCGCCTTCCAGCAGTTTGAATTCTGTTTGTTATTATTATTATTATTATTTTATTCTCATTACTTTTAACCAACAAGACATTGCCCGCTCTTTGAATTGCTTAAGGATAACAGGAAAGAAGAACCTTGCATTTCCCATACAGAAACGATTCACGAAATTGCGTAAGATACAGGGAAGATATACCGAACATTGAAATATTCTAAGATAATACGCGCTCTTATTGAAAAATATGTTAACGCAGTTGTGACGTCACGCTTTCTTTGCTTCCTGAGAAATATTTCATAAAAGCGTATCCTCATCTAAACACTCAAAGGTTTGGGAGAATTCGTGAAAGTGATGCAGACCCTTGACTCAGTCTATAGTTTTCATTACTTGCTCGAATTTTTCCAAAGACTACCATGTTTATACGAGGTTATGTAAATACGGAAAAGTTCTCTATTGCTTAATTAGCGCGTAAGACGACATTGCTGGTATTTTTGTTATTTAACAATTATCCGCCGAAGGCGAAGTGAATATTGTGGAATAATCCCCGCAACGAAGTCGAAGGGATCATTCAACAATATTCACTTAGCCTGACGCGAAAAATTTTTTTAGCATAATTGCTTAGGTACTTTCGAATTCTGTCGTAAATATTTGTTTTGATGTTGAAACCATTCTTTTCAATCACTTTGATAACTCGTATCGAGATATAGAGCCAGAATTTGATAGGTTGACGTTCCTTTAATTCAATCAGCAAAAACTTCGTATCTTCCTTTCGAAGAGTGTTACTCTAAACCTAATAGCATCTTCTGAGCTCTTCGGAATTTAGTTTTCTTTATCGCGTTCATCACTTCCTTGATAACACTGACATAACACTGGTATAATATTCACAACGCGCGAGGTGATTATAGCGAGATATGACGCAACCCTCGACCAATCAGAGCGCGCGCATCTCTACAATCACCGGAGCAATTATGCTAATCAGCACTAGCCTGTTTCAGGCGTTCATTTAGTAAGACGAAGCGCGATTGTAGCGGAGGAGTCAAAAAGCGAGAGAGGCTGGGGTAACCCGAACCAGCCCTCCTTCGTCTTCGCTCTGCCGCTATTAACGCGTCGTTTACTATTTCACTTCGTTTAACTGACTCATCACCAAGAACAGACACTTACTTCACAAACTGTTTGACTTCAGCCAGGTGCATCTCGTAGCTGTCTCTGCTCGTAGGAGGCTTTGCTTTGGCAATGGCCTAAAAAAGCCAGACAAGACAAGATCAGAACAAGTTTTCCTCTTGACTTACAACTCAACTTTCATTAGTTATGTGCCTACTGTATAATGTACTACATTTCTAGCCGGTGTACAGCCGCCCCTTTCGAAAAAAAAGTCGATCCTATTCGGACGGTAGGGGTCGCCGCACTCAGGCTATATGGCTTCTACATTTCTGACTTTGACGTAGCCGTAAACTGACCAAACTTTATCACAACAGCCAATCAAAACAAAAGTTAAATTGTCACAAGGAGCCAATGAGAACTCAAATTTAAACAAGCACGCTACCTCAAGCGCGGGAAAACGAGAGTGGCCGAGAGGTGATTGGTTTTTATTCTACATCTGATTGGTTGAGGGAATGACGCGAATGTTCTAGACCAATCACAGAGCGAAGTTAAGCCAGCCCAAAACCAATCTCAGATTACTTTTGTAACTCGCTTGGTAATTTGTTCCGAGTCGAAATTGTATGAGCAAAATTTTCAAGGTGACTGCAGTTTAAGAGAGAAAAAAATTTAGCCCGATGCTTTTAATTAAAATTCGGAAAACTTTCTGGCGTGTATACGGCCTAAATCATTTAAAGGACTACGCCTATTAAGATAAAACTCGATTGATGAAAAATTAAACCTGCACGCTTTCTAAAACAAGAAGTCAGAAGAAATAATTAGAGGTAGAATATTTCGGAAAATCCCTGGTTAAGAATAAGCCAATGATTACAATTCAACACACTCAGTCTTGTAGTCTTATGACGGTCTTATAACTTACCACCGATTTATGATAAGTAAAGATCAGTTTTTTATTTAAAATGAATACCTTAAGTTTTGCACCAACATTAAAGCGAGCTGTATGTTTTCCATAATTGAAGGTAAGAACAATTTTATTCTGAAATGTAACGAAAAAGTGGTTAGTATTGATTGTCGCGACTGCGTCATTCTCGTGGTTCAGAATTTAACCTAAACAAGAGTGACGAACCATTAATTTCACATTATTTGAGCGTTTTCGAAACATTTTACATTTTGGTTCCTCACTTCAGAAAACCATTTAACTTTAAAACCTCTTACCTGTGATAGACATCTGATTGACAGCTGTTTGGTGATCAGAAATGTGATTGGTTGAAAAGGCGGAGCGTGCACGTGTTCTTTCGTGTTATGCCACATCCATTTCTTCTTGCGAGTCCCGTTTTTGTCCAAAAGAACTCCAAAAAATGGATTTAACACTAATCTACACAGATACCAAACAGAGAAATAAAGCGTTAGCCTCTAAAACATAACAATCAGTTTCGTGATCGTTATCATCACAAGATTGTAGTCTTCCTTAAAAAGTGAAAAGAAGAGCATTTGATAAATAAAATCAACCTGACTGATCCATTTCTGAAGTAACAAGTTCCGTGTCCAGAGGGTTCAAATATTCCCAGCATGTGTGATGGATTTGATTCGTTTTCTTCTTCGTCCTGCGGTCAGAACAATAAAAAAACAAGAGTTAAAAAAACAATTAGACAAGCAACGAACAGAGATCGAAGCGAAATCAAACTACTCTTTATTTCCCTCCAAAATGAAAAAAAATTCTGTTTAGTAGCTCCCTGTTAGTCAACGACACAAGTAAAATGTATGCTGTAAACAGGTGAAGTTTGTTTTTATGAAACCGAGCTAACTAAATGGTTAAAAGTCGGGTAAAAACCGGGGTGTCAATTGATACTTAAGACAAGCTAGTCAATATTAGTGTTACTTTACTTTCCTTTTATTGCTTGAATGGCGCTAACGAAACTCGTCAATTTGGTTTCTTCTCAAATAAAACAAATATCCCGCTCATTTTTCGGCATGCCAACATTATTGTACTGTATACTTACATCAAATACGATGTACGTAAATTTTCCTTTTTCTGCAGCAGTTATCATTACCGCAACGTTACCGCTTGGATAACTGAACAATGGCGTTAAGGGAAAAAATGAAAGCACGTTTGGATTTAACAATCGACAAAAGCAACCACATGAGCGGTTTTAACCCTTCTCGTACGAGTATCACCCTTGAATCACAAATTAAGGTCCGGAAAAAGAAAATGATCACCAACTGAAGAAACTCTTGACTGTTACACAAATTCTCTTTGTCAGCACCTTAGGAAATGTATAGAGAAAAGTGAGGGGAATTCGTGTAATGATATTAGGATGCAAATGGTTAAAAGGAAACCCTGTAAGAAAGCGGGCGACACACCGCACAACTATTTAATGTAAGGGACCTCGTTTGTAATACTTCACCCCTCGAATCTACCTATTTTCGGCCGTCATCACTCTCTTTTAACCCTTTCACTCCCAAGATCTCATAGGTAATTCTCCTTACTATCGGCCATATAGTTCTTGTCATGTTAGTTTGGAGAACTTGGTATGGGATCAACTAAAAAATTCCTTAATTAATATTTTCCTTTATTCTCATCACTTGTCTGCTTGATATTGTATTGATATTGTAAGGAGAAATTCTGTCTTGGTCACTCATGGGAGTAAAAGGGTTAACATAAAGAATATTCTCCTCTTCCGTCATTGAACACTTTCATTATTGAGTTGAAAGCAGTCAGGTTTAATAAAAGGATACAAGCAGCTTCCAGTGCCATCCGGGAGAAGTAGGAGAAATCTCTTTTTGTTTTCATAAAATCTCTCCAGGAATGCCTGTTTCCTCTTTAAAGGAAAAGATAAATGTTTTTCAGCGTCTCTTTGAACCATGATATAGTTTTGCAAGCAAGAGCATTTAAGAAATTATGAACACAAGTTTTTGACACGCTCTGGGAAGCTGGAAGTTGATAGTTCTTTTCTATGGCGCATTAGATCATATACTTATAATGAATTTTGCGCTATATAAGTATTAAATTTATTATTATCATTATTATAACTACAGGCCCCGGTTGTTCGAAGGTCGGATAACGCTATCCACTGGATAAATCTCTACCCAGTGGATAACGCTTTACGTTTTGCAACCAGTGACGTTTTTCCATTGAAATCATTGAAACCCCAGGCCTTATCACCAATTCTTTTCACGAATTTCCTCATCCGGACGATCATGCGCTTTACTTTTGACAAGAGTTTGGACTACAGCCAATCACAATGAGCCAATGAGAACTCAAAGAAAAAAACAAACTGCGCGAAACGCGGGAAAACACAGGTGACCAGGTCACATCTGATTGGTTGAGAAAGTGGCGGAAAGTTTTCTAGACCAATCACAGTGGGTAGTAAAGTAAAACCATTGCAACATAGAATTTCTTTCGACATTCAATTGAAAATTTCTCTATATGCTGATACTTACGAGTTGAAGAGGATTAACTTCAATGACAAACGGATCTTGTACTTGTTCGTTATCCGTAAGTGACGGCGATGGCGGTCGAACCGTCCAACCTTCCTCCATACACTTTGTGGAGGCCAAAGAATACGTAATGGTCTTCATCTGACGTGTCACTGAAAATAAAAGGAAACGGCAAAGAGTTATAATGCTGAGTGGTTCTGAGAAGGAAAAAAACCACCCATTTCATTGGAGGAAATGAGCAGTTTTAGAGGACTCAACAGATCTTAATTTAGTAATTCTAGGTTGAATATCGAAAGTAATCTACGATTGTTTTTGGTTTGCTTTACTTCGCTCTGTGATTGGTCCAAAACACCAACACCATCTTCTAGACCAATCAAATTCAAAGTAACACCAATCACAATTTGGCCACACGCGTTTTCCCGCGCTTCTGAAGGTTTGTTGTTTCCTTTCTTCTGATTGACTGATGCGATAGCCCATCCTTGGCATTATATGAGTAAAACAAAGTGCATAAGTGAAGGGTGGGATATTAACGGCGGGCGAAAAAAAGAGAGAAGCTTAGGACGGGTCGACCCAAACCTCCCTCTATGTTCCGTTCCACTACTAACAAACTGCCGCCAACTCTCACGCCCCTTTTCACCAATTGAACATGTGCAAGGGTCGAATGTTGTGATTACTTTGGTTTTGGATTAATGACACTCAATCAAAATGCGCTCTAAAAATGTTGGATTTGTGCCACTTACATGCATAGAAGTTTGTTGGATTAGCACCGGCTGCACGTTGTCTCTCCATCTCACGTTCCCGCGCACGCTCAGCTGCTCTTTCCTTGGCTGCACGCCTCGCAGCTTTGGTCCCATATGGTGGGTGGGGCTTGATGTCAATCATCTCGTCAGCTAGATGAGCTGTGTCGCCCCTCTGCGCAAGCTCAAACTTAACGAGGCGTTCATACTGAGGACAGCAGTAGAGCTGGTGGAAAACAGTGCATGTTTGAAACAATTTTTATTCATGTTTTTCTATAGTTTGTCATTATAAGTGATGTTTCTCTAACAACAGAAAATGCAAACTGTGTAATCGGTTCTATGTCATCACCCTAGTTTCAGGGGCAAATCCATAAATATTTGATGGTGGGAAGGGGGCACACTTTGATTCTGAAAACACAGAATTTTTCCTTACACTATAGCCTAAAAAGGCCATGAAATTTTTCAGGATAAGTAAATCTTTAAATTCACCATTCCCAACCCTCTCCTTTGGTCTGCCATTAAGTTTCCATAGCAGTAAGCAACTAAGAGAACTACAACTACCCCGGGGTACTATTTCATCACAGGTCAGGCCCCTCCTCCCCCCCTCCCCACTTTTGGAAAGTGGCTAAGGGATGTATTTACGCATCTTAGTATAAAGTGAACCTGAAAAACAGTTTGATTTGTTGGAATTTTCTGGTAACAAGCTTCACCAGTGTAATATCTTCAGTGTTCTCCCTTCCTTAAAGAAAGACTGGGAAAATAAATTTTCAAATGGGAAGAGCAATTCTTTCAGCTGATAAATTTCAAGAATTCCAAGCAATTTTAGGCAGCAACAAGAAATACTACAGGTGGCAAATTTTATCAGTCATCATCTGAAAAGGGTAACACTGTATCTTAAACCATAAATCTCTTTTCCTCTCTTTCCTTGGTCCATATTTTATTACCTGGTCTGGAGTGAGTCTCTCTAGCTCTTCCATTGTTGGAAATGGCAGAACTTCCTGTTGACAAAACATGCAAGGCCCACTAAACAAGCTCTTCTTCAACATCTCATTCTTGGCAAGTTCCTGTCGATCTTCAACCTCTTCATTAGACAGGGGAGGGTGCTGAGACTCCTTCATGTACTGCAGAATGGCTGGAGGACCGATGCTTGGCAAAAGAAACTCCTGATCAAGTTCATAATCCTCATACTCATCTGAACTACTACTAGACTCAAGTTCTACTGTGGGTGGTCGGAAGAGAATGTCCTCCCCCTTAGGAGTGCGAGGAAGTGATGAGACCACAGACTGCCGAGATCTCGGAACACCTCCTGATGACTTTGATTTGCTTCTTCCTGTGCTTCCTGCATTAGGAAATAACAGGAATGTCACTACATGTCTGCATATCTAGATGTTCAAGAGGTCTATCTTCACTTTTTTTTATTTGCTAAAAAAAGACCTACTGAAGTGCTCTTTGGCCTTCCAAACCATCCAAGGGTATCTTGTGTATCACAGAATTGTAACAAAGATTTGGAAGCCATTCAAAATGGTCTAAACAAAGAGCTGTAAGATCAGAGAGCACAGTTTCAACATGATTTTGTAGAACTAGATTTGGATGACTGAGCATTCAACATGATTCAAATGATTTTAAAAAGATCTCATTTCTAACCCAAAACTGTATGACGAAACAAATATCTTATTTATTTCATAATCCAAGCTGATACCTGCTGCTGTATTCCAGTGTATGGTTTTCTGGGTTTTAAGTATGAAACAGGGTATACAGTTTGAATATCTACACTCTCAAACATCCATCTTTTCATACCCAAAGGGCTGGCTATTCATGCAAGGTCTAACCCAAACCACGATTTTATATGATCAATGGGTCTCAGTCTCTCTCTATAAGAGGGTGATTTAGTTAAATAATTGTCCTTCTACTGTTAGCTTTTGGCCCTTTTGACACTGCTCACTTGTTAAGTTAAAAGGTTCAGTTGAATTGAGGGTTGGTTAGGATGCAGTTTTGTAGAACAACAGCTAAACTTTGTTCAAATAATCAGCCCAAAGTCTCAAAATGAGCAAGACTGTGTTAAATGTACAACTTCATATGCCCAGCTTTCATAATACCATTCTTTTCATTTAAAACATAAATGTTCTGTGTGAATATCTCAGTGACATGCCTTATTTCATAACAGTTGTCATTTAATATGGTAACACAATGAAAAAATGTCCCCTCAAACATGGTCAGGGTTTGAAGACCTCCAAGGCAGCCCACCCCCCCCTCTTTACAAAAAATCCTTCCAGTGTCCCCTTGGGATGTTACACCCCTCTCCCCTATTTTTGTACCTTCTTCTGCTCCACCATGATCATGTCTTCCTTCATTTCCTTCTTCTACATCTGGTAGGAATTCATTTTCCTCATCCTTTGCCTTTTGTGTTTTGTCACTACTTGTGGAGGTCTTCCTTGTTGCAGGTAACGACTTTCTCCTTCGTCTTTGGACTGAACCATGGCTGTTTGCTAAAAGAGAGTCGAGTATGCTATAAAAATTAACCCTTTCACTCCCAAGATCTAATAAGTAATTCTCCTTACTATCTACCATACAATTCTTATGATGTTAGTTCAGAGAATTTGGTATTCGATCAACTAATAATTGATATTCTTCTCTATTCTCATCACCTACCTGCTTGATATTGTATTGATATTGTAAGGAGAAATTCTGTCTTGGTCACTTGTGGGAATGAAAGGGTTAACCTATTTTTCTTCCAAGTTAAAATTATATTTTTATCATAAATATTTCATACTGCATTAAATAGATGCACAATTTCAATTTTATTAACCATATAATACAAAAAAAAATCACTGCTCAGGTAAGCTCAAAAGGCTCTCCTTCAGGTTCTTCCATAAATCTGCTGTCTTGACACAAGTTGTCTCAAAATTGAATCATAGTAAAACTCCTAACCTGAGATTGATCAGGAATTTGTTAAATCTTGTTTTGGTTTTTTACAATCAATCTCCTAAATATTCCCTTCCGTGAGGTGAGGAGTTCCCCAGTACAGTATCAATTACTGACGATAAGCTTCTGGTCCTGGTGGTTTGGAGGATAGAGAGTATTATCCACCAGATAAACCTCAATCCAGTGGATAGCGCAGTACATTTTGCTACCATGCATCTGCTGGATATTGATTTATCCATTGGATAGCATTTATCCTCCCATTGAAAAACTGGGACATGATCCTCTTTGTGGGCTGTGCATCAAGCCCTTTTTCACTTCAGCACCTGCTACACAAAATTGTTGCCAGGGGGGACAAATGTACTAATTGTCAGGGGGTTGGAGGAGGGTAAGTGGATGTTGATATAATTATTTTGTCATTCTGTTGATATATTACCTGAAGGTGACTTTGGAACTTCTTTGGACATTTTCTTCTCTGATCTTTCTGCCCATTCAGGCTTTGATCTGTTTATGGTTTCCTGATACAATTCCATGTCCTTTAACCAACTCCATTCAGTTTGTGTACAAATTGATACCACTTCAACTGTTTTGTTTTCAGTATGAGATATAAAACCTCTTTCTTTTAGAGCTTCCTCGTCCTCTTCAGCATTTTGAAAAGAGACCTCTCTCTTATTAATTCCTGTTGCTACGGACGACAATGAACTTGCAGATGATGGTCTACTCAAAGAGGAGTCTTTGTTATAAAAGGGAACTTCCTGAGAGGCAGGCTGAAGTTCTTCTGTCCCTGAAGAAACATGCCTTTCTCTCGATAGTTCATCTTGAAGTTCGCGATCGGTATCTTTCCCATTTTCTTCTTGAATCTTGTTTAAGGTATTTGGGGGAATATCACAAGCAGCTATTAACATACCGCGTATCCCTGATTGGGGTATATCACCTGAAAACTTATTTGGATTTACAATTCCTCTAGCAGCAACATCAGCTGAAAGTTGTTCTGCGTCCAAATGCGGTTCTTGTTTATCTACGTTGAAAACATCGTCTTCTAAATGTTCTGGAGAGCTAGTTCTGCTTATTACTGAAGAAGCACTTGAATCTGCGCGTGGAATTTGCTCTTCTGTGGGAGCTAAATCCCTATGATCGCCTTCTTTCTCTTCGTTCCCACTCATTTTAGTTCGTTGTTTTTAGTTGAGGAATTTACAACATGGAAAGCAACTTACACTGATCAAATCTCAACATAGCCTGCCCTAAATTCTCCACAGCGCCTGCTCATATTTCGTGAATCCATCAAGACAAAAGCTCTCTCTCCTGCATTAAGAGATCTTTTCGAAATGAACAGAAACTCCGGAAAAAACTCTGACTTTGACTTTGAGAAGTCGCGAAGCCAAAAACAATGGACTGTAGTTGCCATGAGTACAGAGCCTCAACTTCAGGAGTTTAAAATAATTTTGTCTAGGGTAGGGTAGTGTTCGGAAATCTCTGAAGATAAACGAATATGACCTCAGAACTCGGATAATAACTCGGGTAATATTCGTAATCTCCGAACATTTTTCTCCCCACCCGTGGTAAGTGGCGTAGGAAGCAGCTTCTCGGAAAAGTTGTTCGTTGAGAAACTGAGCGCAGTACAAAGGTTATGTCTACGGTTGTCGCATGGTCTGATTGAAATTCGTCTATGATCAATATTCCTTCTTCCTTTCTGGTTGCTAAGAAGTGTCTCGATGCCCGGAGAAGTCGTCGCAGACGAAGCTTTCGTAAGTCTTGTGACTAACAACAGTTACGCCAATGGCGCGCTTGTTCTCGGCTACTCCCTCAGACGAGTCAATACCACAAGAAAGCTGGTTCTTCTCGTTGCTAAAGAAGTTCTGGAACCGACCAGGTACGAATCCCCAATAATAAATCAACTTTAATCTTCTCTTTTGAGCAAGATCTCGTACACAGACTGCAATCTTTTGTTCATTTTCAATTTTTTGTTTTCTGCAATTTATGCAAGTTTCACAACCTGACATGGGTTAAGTGTTGTGCTCAGTTGGCGTTAGGTGAGCTTCAAATTACCTAAATGTCAGGCTGTAATATCGCATTTTCACCAAAGGAACTTGTACAAAAATATATCAATGTCTTTTGATGATATATTCGCCCAAGAAAACCGCCAGATGTGTTCCTCGCATCTGCTTGCTTCAGACAGCCACTTCCTTCACTCGAGGGGGTTAGCTATGTTTGTTTACGCAAACTGTTTCAAAATGGAATCCAATTACTAATGCAATCCACTTGTGATTGTAATAGATTGACAGGGTGAAGTGCAGGATTTTCTCATGTAAAGCTATTGTTTTTTATTTTGCCTTTCAACAACTTCAAATAGTCAACAGTTCATGTTAGGAAAACTTATGTAATACACCTTTTTCCTCAAAACACACCGTCGGAGACGAATCAGGGTTTGTACAGGTTATGATGAATCTGGAAAGATATACGATTTTCTTATTTCATTTCGCAAGCCTAGGAAGTTCTGGAACGTCTTAATTTGTGTGGGAAATGAATTGTGAAAAAATCTGATTGAATTAACATTTTCACATTATTATGAAACCAACTTCTCCAACATCGGTCATGCAAAACTTCAGAATGGTCCTCGTTAAAGACATGAAAGAGTCATTCATTTTTGCAAAATTGAAAGAGCATGAACCTTGAAAATGAAGTGTAGAAGAAGAGCAACAAATTTTGCTGTAGTTTTTTGCCTAAAGTGCTGACAAATCAGTATCCAAATATGAAAGTTTGTTGTCTGAAGAGGACATAAAAAGAAGACATTTTTCTCAAACAGACTCAGAGTGTGAAGGCCTTGGAGGTTATAGCAAACCCCCCCTCCCCTCCCTCCCATCCATTTTTTTTTTTTTTTTAAGTACTCCTTAGGACCTTTTCAGGTTGCAATCCAATGCTTGTATCTTTATATTTGATTGTGCATCCAGATACATTCTTACATGTGAGTCAGAATGACCAAAAACACTGTGCTTGCATTGTATTCCAGGCAACACCTTGCCCGAGTTTGGGATCACTTAGAAATTGTGGATGTTCTTGACAGTGGTGATGCTGTAAACTTAGCACTCTTATCGAGACCAGAGCTTGGTATAACCTTTACAAAAATTCACTGTTGGAACTTGACACAGTATAGAAAGTGCGTGTTCTTAGACGCTGATACTTTAGTGGTTCAGAACTGTGATGAACTCTTTGAGAGGGATGAGCTGTCAGCTGTTCCAGATATCGGCTGGCCTGACTGTTTCAATTCTGGTGTATTTGTGTTTGAGCCATCCAGAGCAACCTATGAAGCTATCTTGGAGTATGCTGTTCAGAATGGAAGTTTTGATGGTTAGCTCTATTTAACTCTCTACACCCTAACATCAGTATGTATTTTCCCCATACTGTTCTCTATACATTTCCCATGGTGCTGACAAGGAGAATTTGTTTAACAATCATTATTATTTTGACCTCAATGTTTGATTCAGAGGTGATATTGCAAGGAAGAATTAGATGCTGGTCACTCTTAGGGGAGTGTTAGTGTTAGCTACCAGAAGTAAATTGGCCTTGGAAAGTTGTGGAAATCTGTTTAACTCAAGCAATAAAGTTTTCAGAATTTATATCACAAGAAATGTATGTAGACTGTAAAGAGAGTTGATTTTGAAATCTTGGGAGTGAAAGGGTTTAAGGTCAAATTTATAGTCCTGGAAAAATCAATCTGAGTTCCAGAAAAATCCTGGAAAAGTCATTGAAATTTGTTTCTGAGAAAGGGTAGGAACCCTGTGACTGGGTAGGTCATTTGGGTCAATTTCAGACTATCCTTTGGTGTTCCGTGTTACCAATAGACTGTATCACACTTTCACCATTTTAATATGATACTCATTTTTTTTTCTCAACAACAGGTGGAGATCAAGGACTTCTGAATTCATTTTTCAGCAACTGGAGAACAGCACACATATCTCGGCATTTGTCATTTATCTATAACATGAATTCCAATGCCAGTTACACTTATGCTCCAGCTTTCCAACAGTAAGGAACATTGTAGAGTATTTTTGATCATTTGGTGCAACCAAGGACAGATTTTTAAAATTATATGTTACTCCTTCCTGTTACCCAACAACATGAAAATTCTGCAGGCATCTGATACAAGAGGAACGCTAAGCTTTTTATAGCTCTTGTCAGTGCTGGTATGCTAACTCTATCGTCAGTCATCATGCCTCTACTTTTCCTTGAGTAAGGCATTCCTATCACTTCCCCTTTTTTTAAAAAAGAATGAACTAAAACAAAAGACAGAAAGAATGCAAATTGGCTTAGGGAGCCAGATTTCTGGAAAATCCTGCTTGGTTCCTCAACCCAATCAAATCTCAAGTATTATCAGAAGTATTGATCCAAAGAATACTTTTCTTTTTGTAGGTTTGGTAGAGATGTAAAAATAGTTCACTTCATAGGGCCTCTTAAACCCTGGCATTACACATATAACTCTGAGACCGGCAATGTGTACACGCCATCTAGAGGTCAGGGTTATGTTCCACACGAGCGAACTTTCCTGCAGCTATGGTGGGACATTTATGTCACTTTTGTGCAGCCTGAAATGAGAGTAAGTGAAATTGTCTGTTGTCAAATTGGAATTAATCTGGTGCTTGTCAGGATAATGTGCATCAGAGTTGATGTTTGCCGGGTTAGTTTGAAAGAGATTGCAGTTTCATTGGTGTTGTTAATGGTTGTGTGTGTTGTTCCCAGTAAGTGGTCTCAATGTTCAGCATCTATAGATATAATTTTTGAATCGGTGGTTAATAACAACAAATATGATTGTGATTGATTTAATTGCACATTAAATCACATGCAAGAACTAGTTAACCCTTGAACTCCCAAGATCTGATTGTCAATTCTCCCCACTAGCTGCTACACATTTCCTTGTTAATTGATTACGAGAATTAGGTGTTCAATCAAGGTAATGAATTGTACCTGATGAGTTTGAGTATTCTCATTACCTGTTTGCTGTATAATGTATGGATACTCTAGGGAGAAGTTACATGTCAATCACTTCTGGGGGTTGAAGGGTTAAGACTAGCTATACTCAAGTAAATGGTAATTGAAATTGTTACATATTAAAGTAGCACTATTATAATGGTAAATTGGCTTAAACTGTAAATAATTTGATGCACACACATCACTTTTTAGTGTTTTAAGTCTTTTTAGGTGTTTGAAAAAAACATTGTTAAAAGTAGTCAGTAGAAAGTATCACCTGTAATGATGATAAAGCACTTCCAAGATTTACATTTGCTATTAATGAAATCTAGTTTATTTGTGTTCATATATTTGTTATCCAGTGTGTCTTGTCAGAAAAAAATGAAAAAGTGGGAAGACATATTTACCAAGAAGAACAGTTCTTGTTTGTTAGTCATGTCAGTGTGGGGTTTTTTGTTTTTTGTTTTTTTTTTTTAAGGGAGGGGAAGGGGGAACCTTGCTTTGCTGAGATGATCTTTTTTCATTCATACATGTATCATGCATTGTTCGCTGTGGCCTATCCAATGAATTTATCATTCTCAGGACCATTTTTACTTGTCTTGCTTAGCAATGCCATGGTGGCGGAGGTGGAGACTCTTCACGCAGTGATCATTTCCAGCCTGCACCGCACTATCCCCCTCAGCACCATTTTGAACACACTCCACCCCCTCATCAATTTGAACATGAACCTTTCATACCCCCACCCCCACCCCAACAGCATTATGAAACACCACATCACCCTAACCCACCCCCTCAACATCATGAATCTCCACACCACCCCCAACAGGAAAACCATCCACCCCCACCCCCTCCTCACAGCTGGCCAACAGAGACGCCTCAAGGTTTTCAAGATGTTCCAGCAATTAAACATGTAGGCATTATTTGTGCAAATGTGTGCTTGTGTGTGTTTACTTTGGTATAAATTGTACCATGTGCAATTTATGCTACATGCATGTGTGTGTGCTGCATTGAAACATGTTTATTTGCATTACATTTCTTGTACTCTACTTTGAGTTGAAATTTCTGCTTTGTGCTTTGTGCATGCTGCCTCATCCCACTTATGATAAATCAGTCTAATCTCTTTATTTATACAGGTTTTAATACAAACTTAATGTATCAGTAAGCATCCAAATTTGAGGGACTATTTTTGTAAATATTTTTAAATTACTGAGCTAATTACGTATGTACATGCAAAGGCTTAATTTATACTGTTGTAAATATCAAAGTGCACTGAAACATCAAGCTTCTTTGTATTTCCCTATGGTGCCGCTGACAGCTTTCGTCATATGTGTAATTTATGGTTTAATGTTAATAGAAATGTCTATAATAATTTTGCAAACATTGATAGTATTGGTAATAGTTGCATAAAAGTATTGCTTTGGATACTAACTTTTACAATACTGCTGTTAATTGGCACAGTGTTAGATACGAATAGAGATATCTTTCCTTTTACAGCTGGGATAATTGTAGAATTAAGAAATCAAAAACATGAAAATTGATCCAAGATGAGAATTCCATTACAGTTACAACATAAAAGGGGACAAAATTGCACTGCTTCACTAAGATGTTCAAATTTCTTGTCAAATATCTTGCTGTTTGTTTAGTCGCTGAAATCTAATTTGTTTCATTTCTTTCCTGCAAGTCTTAAATTCAGCCATTTAATGTTTTTAAGACTGTCTTGATCTCTTTTCAATCCATTTCCAGGAGGAGGAAGGGCTAGCCAATGGATTGTCAGATATTTACATCTCAGATCATGTTGTCTTGGATTCAAACCCAGAGGTTCAAGAAATTTCACATCAACAGGCATGGGAAAGAGGCGAAATTGATTACAGAGGTCGCGACAAGTTTGAAAATATCCAGAAGAAGATTCAAGAATCTATAAATGTGTTGAGAGATCCCACTGAGGCACCCATGGTTTTGTTTTAAGAGGCAAAAGAGGGCACTGTCCTCAAGATTTCATGTTAGAATTTTCCTTTTATGAGAGAACCTTAGAGATGGAGGCAGTTGTGGCCAAGAATGAAGGGTCAGTGTGTGGTGTTAAATGATCACCAGTTATGTTGTAAAGATTGAAACCAAAAAAAAGATGATCCCATTGATTGGGCAAACCTTTCTCTTGTATTGAATACAGTTGAGTAATATATTTGAAAGGAATTGTTTGTTTTACCTGGTATATAAACCCAAAATTTTATTGTAACTTGTGGGAAATGCACAGGGAGTGAAACCAAAAACAAAAGCATAAAAGTGATGATCCCATCCATCGTGCAATCCTTTCTCTTGTGTTGAATACAACAGAATAATATATTTGAAAGGTATTGTTAGTTATACCCTGCTCATAAACCCAAAGGTTACTATAATTTTTGACAAATGCACTGAAAATTAAAATTAATAAAATTGAAAACAAATTCATGTTACAGGATCAATGTTGATATCTGAGCAGCTGTGTACCTACCCCTCCCCTATCCCAACAACAGTCAATTGATAACAAATTAGGGTTAATGTTGGATTAGGGGAGGGGTAGGTGTACAGTTGTTTGGATACTGACAGTGATATATAGTAGTCTGTATTTAACTAAGTATTTTTGGTTTTGTGTCTTGTTTGTGAAATCTAAATTCACCCCACTCTGGGTTCGAGTATTCTCGAAAAAATCATGTTTATGTCAAGAATAGATATCAAAAGATGTACTGCATGTATTTTCTTTTTCAGTGAAATAATTAGGGATGTACATTTTTCTTCTTTACATAAGAGCTCTATTTATTCATTTAGTGCAATTATTGAAAATGAGCTTAGGAATTTTGTGAAATGTTTTATTTTATTGTGGTAATAATCTTGTGATAATCAGTATTTAGATTGTTTCTAGAGTGCTGTGAAATACGACAGTGCATGCAAACATGCAAACAATTGTGTCACTTTAATAAATAGGAGCTTAGTCAGATGTAAGAACCCTAGAAAACTCCCATATTCAAGACCACCATTTTGGTGTACTTAATTTCTGGCGGAACCTGTATTTGGTTGTTAAGATCAACTTTCAATACTATACCCTGCAATCTTCTCTCAAGATTTTCAATTTCATTTCATTTGTATTGCATGGCTTCTTTCAAAAATAATTACAACTATTGCACAAACACGAGCATTCTAAAATAGTAGGATTACATCATATCAAATCAAATTTGGTGCTCAGGAATAAAATAATAAACATGATGGTTTGAAACCATGTGAAGTTTTCATGATCCTGTAACTGGGGTATACAGAGTAGAGTTGTTTATCCAAGTTGGTTGTGGTTTGGCACTGATAATAACTATTAGTGCTAGACCTCCAGCAAACCCCTTGTGACTGATCTCCAGTCTTCCCCCTGGCAAATAAATGTGCACCCTGCAGCCAATATGACCCAACCAAAACATTTATTAAACAATAATGTGTCTAACAACTGCATTTTTGTCTCCCACCAGGGAGAAACATGAAATCTTTGTATCTTGTCACTGCTTCATGAGAATATGAACACATGCATTTCGTTCCATTCTCACCTGTTCTGATAACACATGAAGTCAACAAACTGAGCAAGTTGAGCTTACACAATTAAAACTGCTTCTTTATGTTGAACAATAAAATATATTGTGGCCGAAACATTTTAAGACAGTGCTTGCCTCTGCCCCAGCCCTCACCTAGTACAAGGGTGGAGAACTGTGGCCTGATAAGGGTACCTCTACCAAAAACTCTACAAAGCATCTGCCTTAAGGTGTACCCTGTTTTTTCTTTTCCATCTACATGGGTGAACTACAGATTAATTAACTTTTCCCATCCTCATGGCCTCTTGAAATAAACCCCCTTTTCAGCCTGGGAATTCTTTTTATTGTAACTGGTTTTCTTTGATGCTTCAAGAACAGTAAAAATACCAAAATGATCACTTGGAAGGACACCAGATTTTGTCATTCTATCATCCACAACTGTTACCTCTTTCACTTTAAAGCCTGATAGTTTGCAAAAGACACGATCCAAGCGATCCTTCAAAGTTGATTCTCTCTCTCTCACAATGAACGGATTTCTCCTCTCGTCCCAAGTGTAACCATTACTGTCTGTATGTCCAGGAATTGCAAGCCACGCGTCAATCCACTGCACAGGAAGAACGACATCACCATCAAATTGACGTTCCAGATTCATATCACCCATCACACAAACATTTTCAAGCGTAGAAAGCATTTTCACGGTCTCCTTTAGATGTTTTTCTCGCAATTTGGAAAATCTGCCAGAATGCTCCAAATGAGTTGTTGCAATCACAAACTTCCGTGTCTTTGGTGCCAAATTGAACTTGATTTCTGCGGTCAAAAGTTCACGCTGATATGGAGAATCTTCAAACGGGTAGGTCTGCCATTTTTCGATCGGAAATCTGCTTAAAATAACTACAAAATACCCAGGGTGTCTTTCAGCATCAGGCGGTGTTAAGTGATATCGAGAAAACCATGGCTGTTTTCGGAGTAATCCTAAGTTTACGCGAGTAACTTCTTGAAAAGTTAAAATATCAGGTTTGAGATCTTGCACGATTTTCCCCAGTGCTTCCATCCTTTCGGCCATTTTGTCCGGAGAAAACCAAATATTAAATGTAAGCATCTTGATTCTGATGGATCCAGCAGGTTTATGAACAAAATCTGCACTATATTTCCTCCCGAATTTAGGAACACCGAAAAAAGAACGAAGCACAAAAACAGCAATAATCAGTACTGCGAGTATCAGCAATGGTCCACGAGGGATGTAATTCGCCGACATCTTTAGTAGTTCGACCCTTTTTGAGGAGAAAGACTTAGATAAAATGGTTAGGCTAGCTGCTGCAGTCGTGGCAAAAACCCCCAGGCATTCTTGTTTGTTTTCTCAGTCCACTAACCTCTGTTCGACACGGGGACCTGGTAACTGTTCACAGCCTTGTCATTGCGTGACATAACTTCAGGTTGTTTAAGCTTGTCACGCAAAACGATTCTTCCAATTCTAATTAAAGCCAATTAACAAAAAGATTAAACGACAATTGCTTTAATGATTTGACATTTCTACTGATTGATTTGACATGTACAAATGGTGAAGGAGGGAAATCAATATTGATGTCTCGTTATGATAATACGAAAAAAATACGATATTGAATATTTATTTCAAAATTCTTCAACTCCAAGGAGATTTTTAAGCTTTGACGGGCAGAAAAAGAAACAAATAAAAAATATACTCCTAACAACAAAAAAACAACCACATACAGCAATGAAAACTCAACAGTGGATTTATCTCATTGACAATGTTCATTTTAAAACACTGGTAAATTTATGTGAATTTCAAACTCTAAGACGGGCTGGTAACATTATTAATTTTTTATGTACATTAAGTGTATTTAAATTGGACTAACTTAATATGCTATCAATTTTTCATGTCTATAATAAACGCAACCAACATTGACAATTAAGTTCTATGAAATAGATAGTTACATTTTAATATTATTGATTTATTTCATCCCAGGAAGTCAGACTACAGGTGCGGAAATGTTTTCTAGCTTTCACAATACGAGATAGATGTTCTGACAAAAACATACATGTTTGTTTTCTCAAAAACATGCAATATTTTCATGGTAATCCGACAGTTATTACAACATCAGCAATCAACACTAACTCTTCACTGGCTTGCAAGAATTACACAATTGACAGTTCGAAATGTACAAGTGACAGTTGAATGGTATTACTTACAAACAAAGCCAGCGATTTGACTCGCTTGCTCTATTAAAATGATAATTTTTTCACTCTTTTCATAATGCCCCCTCTATGTACACATATCCTTTTTCAAATTCTACCCTGCTGGCAAGCTTTTTCTATCCAGCCTGTTAAAACACTCTTTACACAAATAAATTATCGGCACCTAAAGAAAATTTAAAATAGTACTGTCAAGTTCATTATTAATCACTGCAAAATTTGCATGATTCATTACCGGTACACCATTTGAAAGCAAAAATTATTTTCCATGATTGTTATTTATTGTCAGTTGTCGATATTTATTCCAAAAGCGCCGATAATCCTGAAAAACGAACTCCGTTTAAATCCAAAAATTATAATCTTTGCGCTAAAGAATATCAGCTCTCTTGCACGTTAATCTTTTTTAACACTCAGGAACACAAACATGAAACGTGTCGCAGTTGTATCTTAATTCTTGAGTGTAAAAGGCGAGGCAATTTTTCTGCGGTTTTAATTACACTGTCACACCTTCGTCGTGATCTTCTTGCAAGGCTTGTGTTTCCTCAGCTTGAATCGCCGGTGTCTCTTCGCTCTCCATCCACGTTTTTTTAGATTCCTTGTCTCGCTTGCACCAGCGTACCGTCAATAAAATCGATGCAACCAGGAACACAACAACCGCAAAACCGACAGTCGCAAACCCGACAATTTTCACAATATTATTCCCATCTTTTTGTTTTGATGTGGAGCTTTCGGTGGTTTCTCTAGGCGTAGTGGGTGTGGCGAAAGGTTCCCCAAAGAGCTGTTTCACCCTGGCCATGGAGCCATTATTCGGTGCAGGTTTAATTCCGAGAATTTCACAGATCATGGGGTAAATATCCAGGAGCTTAAAAGAGTCTGAACTGAAGTTCTTTTTGAACGCCGGTCCGCGAGCGATCAAAAATGGGTACATGTCCTCGTGTTCAGTAGAGTAACCTTGTCCTCCTTTTATCATACCTTCCGTCAAGTTCGTCGACATTTTAGAGCTACGAGCGTACCAACCTTTCTTCATCAATACCACAACAGAGCCAATTCTTCGATTCTTTTTGAAATGCAGTTTTTCCGGAACATGTTCCTTCCTGTACACTTTGAAACGGTCCAGGTTTCTTTCCCCTTCCTTTAACCTATCGTACACATATCTTTCTTGCCCTGAGTGAGGTTCCAGGGTTAAAAACGCTCCATTTCCCGCCCAAAGTTCGTAACTACTTGCGTTTACAATGTCATCGAAGTTGACAAAATCACTCGTGTTGTGTTTTGCCAAACCATGATCGGAAGTAAATATAACGTTAACTTTATCGAGTAAGTTAGCCTTTCGCAGCTTTTCCACGAGATAGCCAACTACAGCAGAGTCGGTTTTCTCAATGGCATTCGCTGTTTTAGGTGAATCAGGCCCGTATGTGTGACCGGTTCTGCCAGGTTCCGCGAAATACATCGCTATAAAGTTTGGAGGCGCCTTCATGGTTAGCCATTTCATAACAAGGTCAATTCTCTCCTTTTCTGACATGAGATTGTCCTTAGAAACGAACGGTTTGGAATATTTCGCATCATCGCTGCTGAAACTGGGCAAATAGCCTCCAATGTTCACATCGTATCCCGGCCAGTAACTCAAGGCGCTTTTAAAACCTTGTTTCTGATTTGACACCCAGATTGGCTCCGCTCCATCCCACCATCTTGTTTCGTTATTACTGCGGAGAAACGTTGCGTTAAAATCCGGATCAAACATCTCGTTCGCAATAATCCCGTGGCTCTCAGGGTACAGACCTGTTACAATTGTGTACAAATTCGGCATGGCAACCGTCGGGAAAACGTTTTCAACGTACTTCGCCTTCACTCCGCCGCCAGCTATGAAGTCAAGATTTGGTGTGGATGCTTTCGACATGAAATCCCAGCGAAAACCGTCTAATGCAATCAAAATAACAGTTGAATTGCTTGCTGCTGTGCTCGACACGAAGCAAATATGCCAAGTGAGGTACACAAACAGCAACCTTTCGGCGAGCATTTTGCAGTCGCAGGACGGTTCACAGGTCTGTCAAAACCTAACCCACGCGTATAACACTTACTCATTAATTCACTTTGCAGAAAACAGCGACGCGCAACAAAAAAAATTTGCATATTTCAGTTGACTATTTCGTTGTGGTCAAAGAATTTGTTAAAGCAGCATGAGAGATGAACAGCTGGGTATGCAAATCATATATCACTTTCATGAAATCAAATCAAATCCATCCCAGAACCCCAGCTGAGTTAATAACTCGACAGATCCTGCAGTTAAAATCGATAAATTCCTTATTTCCTTTCGTATAGTTCATGTTTTTGCTAAATACACTTCCTTCTCCGATAGAGCGAGACATCGCGAAAAAGCGAATTAAATTTAATAAGGTTACGCTACTTGCGTCTGCGCATAGACGTTATGTAATTTTTCAGTTAGACACTCCAGGCATCAATTCCCATACCACTGTTGCTGCAGACTTAAGCACGTATTTTCAGCTTCGCGAGGCAAAGGTTGTCTTTCAAAAGTCAATCGAATGCAAATTGGTTGTAATTTTATTGCAATCACCTTCCCTGATAGCGCAGACATATATTCCATCAAGGTTCTAGTACATAATTTTCAATGACAAGGCTATCTATGAAGTAAAATGAAATTCACTATTGCGTGTATACGTGTAGTTTTAGCCAGCTCTCGTACGTACCAAGCCTATATTTTCGCATACTCAAAAAGGGTCTGGGTAAACACACATTTTTACATCAATTTGCATAGTTTACTTCAAAGCCGATTATAAGCACTGAGTTAATTAGCACATGACTTAAACTTTGCAAGGGGTACTAAATCGATCAATGGGCACGGGCACCCTAGCTAAGGTTTGACGGGAGGGGGGCCTGGGGTTGAATTGGTATCATTCGTAAGCGGTTACCAAAAAATGTCTTAGAGAAAATCGGGCAAAAACCCCACCGAACGATAGGGCAGAGAAAAAACCTTCGCGAAAAAAATCTCAAAATGCGGCTCCAACGGGAAAAACACTGCTCATCATACTTGTCATAATCTTACTCGTCATTTGCGCACGAAACCTAAATTTGAAGATGTTTGTTTGTCACGTGTCACGCCAGTTGACAAATGTCTCGTGGAAAAGATGACAAAACAGTGTCACAGTTACTCTGGTTTCACTTTATTAGCTTATGAAATGATCGTGCTAGGTGAAAAACAAATAAAATGATTGTTGGAATACGGTGCCTGTATGTCGTCCTCTTGCTAACTTGAATTTGAATTACTGCAAAAAAAATGAAAAGAAGGAAATCTCATTCATTGTGGCAGGGAACGTTTCACTGCACATGGATGAATTCAGGAAAATTAAACTTAAGTTATCTTTGCTCGGCTGAGATTCTGTGCTTGCAGAATCCAGTCTCCTCAAATCAAAGACTTAAATCAAAGTAACCAACCAGAAAAAAAGGTGATTAAGGAGAAAAACTGGGTCGAGACAACCTCACTCATCGATGTAAACGAAAAACCAATGCAATCGCAGATGACTTTCCACGTGCAATTAAAAATTACTTCAACCAATGACAAGGCCCTTTGGGGCCGGTCATCATTTATCGAAGGGGGGGGGGTGGGTGGGTGTCGAGGGATTTTGGGGGATCACATAGTTTTCAGGGGGTAACGGAGGGGAGATCAATCGTCTCTAACAGAGTTTAAAGGGGTTCTATAGAAAATTGACTGCCAATGAGGGGACTGCAGTTTTTATAGGGGTAGTCAGGTAAATTTTATTGTGACATAACCGAAAGGGTTAACCCCCTCCCCCTCGAGCGATAATCCTTGCCTGAGGGGGATCGAATCTCCGAGGAAGAATCCTCCAGAATAATAGAAAAGGCGGTCCAAAACGCTCGTCAGCGGACTTATCAATGAAAGTAAAACAGGAATGAAAGGTGTAAGTGATAGGGTGACGGATAAAAGGAGTGAATTTTGGGTCATGAAAACAAAAATAAATCAGAAATGGCTTTTAGCCATCTTCCGAGATAGAAATTATTTGAAGAGAATCGACGACTGGTTTGAGTAAGCGAAAGTTACGATTTACCGAGAAATTGATTTACTTGAAATTAAAATTCCAAATATACCCCCCGGTAGATGAAAAGGAAATACGACACTCCCGCAAATCTCACCGCTTCCTCCTTGTAAAGACCATCTTTGAAGAACAGCATATAAGGTGTCTCGCCATCTTCACGAAATCCCAAGAAAGCAAGCATTCCTTCGCATTCATAGCCATCGTCCTCCCCGCGATAGAATTTCCAGTTTCCAATACTAAGAATTCTCCGCATGGCTTTACTAACATTGGCTTTGAATGTGGGCACATAATCGGGTCTGGTCTCTTTAATTTTTGTCACTAGCTTTTTTACGTAAGTTTGAATTGCCTTCTCAACGTCTCCTTTTTTCGGCGGAACCTTTAGCGTCTCGTCCTCTTCAAGGTTGCTACCTTTTACAAGGTTGACGACTTTCTGGGTTTGTTTTTCTTCAGTTCCAGAATCTTCCGGCTCCTCTGCGGATTTATTTCCGCCAATTAAATTATCGTCTATCGAATCATCTTCAAGTATGAGCTGAGGAAAGTGAAAAATCCATCTCAATAACAACCCTCATTGGTAATCTTTCATTTTCACAAATGAGATTGGTGTATTAGTTGCTTTATTTTGTACTAATTATTCTGTAGAGGTGTAATCGGACAGTTGGCGGTGATTATAGGACAGTTGGCTGTAATCGGACAGTCTAAGCCGCCAATCATCCTCAGCTAAATCCATCAAACGCAGTATTAATTATAATAACCATGTCAACAATCACTTACATTAAAAACCTGGAGAATTTTCAAAATGGAGGGAACTTTTTACTTTAGATTATGTCTCTACAGGAGATATTTTCTCAGATAAATTTATTGTTTTTTCCCTAAGTTGTAATAGTTATGATCGATTGACATATATCAACATTCCTATCCTCGCAGTACGCAGGAAGTTTATCACCACGGACCTAGTTAAACGGCTTGGCCTGGTACGAGTCTCTTACAGCACAGTGGTAGAGCATGCGCATCCGTAGCACAAATCAAAGGGTCGTTGGTTCGACTCCTTATGGGAGCACTAAGACTTCTTTTTTCTCCGAGTATGATTGGGTCATTCACCGAGTAACATCATCTTTCACACAAATATCTTATTGATCCAGTTATGAGCTGGTTGGGCCACTTTTTTTGTTCTTACCGCATTTTCATGTCATTTGTGATCTCTTACTAAACAGACGCAAGGCATCTGGCATAGTATTTGTCAAGGGAAAAACAGTAGCAATTAGAGGCCAAAACTGATGGCCTGTGCTTATTGAAAAAAACGTAAGAATAAAAGCCACCGTGAATCGATCCAAAAACCACACAATAGACAGAGGAACGCGCAATTTAGGCAAGGTAATAACTTTTTAAAATCAAATCTCAGATGACTCTTCGTCCCTAGGGCCAAGTGTTTTACTCATTGCAACCCCGAATGACTTTTGGTTTCTCAGTGCGTGGAAACAGTTTAGTAAAGGCAAACTCGTGCATGAAGCTTGGGTAGCCTGTGTCATCACCCCATACCAGGGGTGAAGAGGAAGACATTTAATTCCACACAGAACCGAGAGCTTTAGTTCAGAAAAGTTTACATTTTGTTTCTTACCTTGCCTTCGACTTCATAGAAGATACCATCGTCTACTTCTTGATATTTGTAAGCGTCTGAAAACATGTCTTTCTCTGTTTAATTAGAGATCATAAAGTTACGTCAAAAAGGAACTCCGCAAGCTGTTAGCACAGCTACATCGTAGCGGCAGTGGTGACACGAGAGAAAAAAATGTCTGCATGGAACCCCTATTATTCGAGAACAATGCTGTTGACCCACAATCTATTGTGGGCCTAAATTCTTTGGTGTTGTGTTTCAAGATCTGAACGCATAATAACGAATGGGTTCTACGAAAATCTTAGCATCAAATACTGCCACTGAAATAATTACACAGAGGGTGAGCTGCAATTAAAGAGGTCGCAGAAAAGAGGCTGGAAAAAAATTAGGTTGTAATGCAATTCGAATCCAGGCCTTCCTAAAAGTTGGGCGCTTCCACCGACAAAGCTACAGAGACAAATGTTGGGAGGACACAAATATTCCACAAGCTGTCCGAAGTCATCTTTAGAGAGCAACTTGATTCATTTCTTTCTCTATGTAAGTTCTGAACAGCACATACCTGTAATTATGTCCTTAAAGAGAATCATGTTTGTTCAATTGCTCAACCACGATGCTAGAAGATTAATACAACGCGTTACACACACAGCGGCAATGGTAATGAAAGAGAAAAAATTTTCTGCATGGACCCCCCTTTTCATTCTAAAACAATGCTGTTGGCCTACAATCTATTGTTTTCGCATTTATTTTCTTTGTTGTTGTTTTTTTCTTTCATCCAAGATCTGAATGAGTTCTACGAATATCTTACCATCAAATGCGACCACTGAAATAACTGTAAAGAAGATAAGCTGCAATTAAAGAGAATCATGAACTTCGAAATAGATCTCGCTCACCGTGGAGTCTCTGTGGCTCAGTGGTAGAGCATTGGAGCGCGAAATCCGAAGGTCTGAGGTTCGTTTCCTCATGGGGACTTTTTCTTGTCCCACGCTCTTGACAAGTTGATAACACATCTTTCTCTATTTCTTTCCCGAGCTCAAAACTTACCATCTCCCTTGTTCTATTTACAAATAAAAAATTATGTTTGTTCGATTGTTTGCTAATTTGACTGGAAATTTATCCAACAACGCTGCTAGAATATTAACACTAGACGTGATTTAGACATTTTAGGCCTTTTTATTATACCCTTGGGATGTAAAAGTAAACGTCCACAATTATTAGCCTGCAGAATAGGCGTGCTTTTTTGGCGTTTTTCAGTCCTGTAAAATGCAAAAAAATTATGCCTTTTCTGCAGGTTTTTATTCGAGAAGCCCTTCGTTTAATTACGAACGAGCCAATTGTAAACGATAAGTAGAGGAAATACATCGATGATATACTGACAAGCACAAAAGGAAATAATAAATTTTGGATAAGAACACTATCGACCATAAATTAACGACAACTGCAAACACCAGGACGCATCCATGTCATTTATGAGATTTAAGTCCGGGGTCGTATTAGAGCTGCTTTTTGTTTGGTTAAGTGAAAAATCTCTCTACAAGTAGCGTAAAATAAGTTCCACCCCCAATTCCAAGAACTTGCCAAACTTTTGCAGATCGCCAAATTTTCGCCAATCTTCAAAGGACCCGACGTCCTGCCTCGGAGGCCTCTAAATTTTGGCAGAACAAACAATCATATTATTTTTTAACCATCTGAGTCAATGCGCCAGAAACGTTCCAAATCAAATTCCTCTTGTTGGGGTTCGGCCATGACATGTAGGGTAGAAGTGCTGGGGCTTCTTGAAGAGTTGCACATGGAAAGGGAACCCAATAAGAGGTATCCAAGGTTGGAATTGGCTGCTGTAGGACCTGGACCCTTTATTATCTCGTCTTCAACTTCATCCCAGTAAGGATCTGCACCTATTAGAATGTCAACTGTGAAAGGCGAACCATTAACAGTAGGATGCGCTAAGATCAGTCTCTGTAGTTGTGGTAAGTCCCTTACATTGGTACCAGTGTACTAACATTGGTACTAGGCAACGAGAGGTGCAGCTATGGTTGGTACAATAATCGCACGAATGGATATGATCTCCCTTTGAATGGTTTTAAGGTGGACTGTAACAGTGTCAACTTGCTTTAGAGATATGGCTTCTTGTGTTTCAGTTTTTAGAACAAGCTTGACTGCGACATTTGATGTATTAAAGGAGCGTTGAGAACCCTCGTCCGATAGAATATGTGCATTGATATGGTTACTGTGGCTGTTTTAAGTAGAATGGGAGGGTAAAGGGGGTAACAAGAGTATAACAAGTAATTTAGTGTTAACAGCTGAGTTGAAAACGTAAATTAGCCACCGTAAAGGGTAAAAAAGCTGACGTTTCGGGCGTTAGCCCTTCGTCAGAGCGATTGGAGGAATTGTAGGCTGTGAGTGGGTTCATATATAGAAAGTGGAGCTACACCATTGGTGGGAATATGGTGACGAGAAAACAGGAATAAATTAGTTGAATGAAAAGCGTTCGTTGATTCCGTGGTGATTAAGGGTGTCGATTTGGAAGATAAATTTTTGTTCTAGTGTTTTGCGGCTTTCCGAACTGCCTAGATGTAAGGAAAGGCCGCAGACTGCCATATCCTGTTTATAATGGTTAGGGAGATTTAAGTGTTTAGCGACTGGTTTGGATGCGTCCTTTTCATTTCTTTCCACGTCGCGAAGGTGTTTTCGGAATCGGTCACCTAGTCGTCTTCCTGTTTCGCCGATGTATAACTTATTGCAATAAGTGCAAGTTATGCAGTAAATAACATTGGCGGAGGTACACGTTAAGTGATCAGTGATCTTAATGGATCTCTTGGGTCCCGATATTTTCTCTACGTTATGAATGAAAGAACAAGTTTTGCATTGTGAACGAGCGCATTTGAAAGTTCCAGATTGGTCACTGGTTTGAAATGAACTCCTGACGAAAAAGTTGCCTTTGTTTTTGTCACGTTTGAATGAAACAATTGGGGGTTGCGAAAAGATAGTGGCAGTCTCTGAATCGTTTTGTAGTAATTTAAAATTTTTAAGAATGATAGATTTAACTGCGTGGTTGTGAGGGTGAAATGTAAGAGTAAATGGAATGGGAGGGTGTTTGTTTGCACTACCAATGTGAATAGGCTCAATTACCAGCCGCTGTTCGGGAATATTAGCCCGCGCTCCTGCCCCTGAAGCCACTTCTCTCGGGAAGGAGCGAAGACTGGACACAAGAAAGCAGCGGAAGTCGAGCCTACAATGTGTAAGGATGAGATTGAATGCAATGGAGCCTTATCTGTGACGGGTGGACTTGAAGTCTTGTTTGCAGATGTTAGGTCACTGGTTTTTGCTGTAGGAGGTTTCTCGACATTCTGACAAAGGCTGGTTTCTGTGGCATACGTTATCACGATATTTTGACTTGTATTTAGATACTGGGTGATTCATAAAGTTACAGCATGCCTTGGCATTACGAACAAAAGAAGCCTCCTTTCCTTATCTGTCACAACATTAAAATCAGTTGAATTGTATTCATCTTTGCAGAGAAGACATGTTATTTGGTGCGTGATTGATCAGAGTTTGGAGGTGGATTTGACTTTGCACCCATGGAAAATGCAGCAGTGGGTGTTATCTAGTGAGCTGTCGATAACTACAAGATCATTACAACTATTCTTTCCAGCCTCCAAGATATCAATCTCATTTAATATTGCCATGCGTAAACTGTCGAAATGCCACTCCTTGTTTCCGTTCTGTCTTGCTAGATTTCTCTTGATCTCATTCGGTAATTTCTTCTTAATTGAGACAAGAATGTCTTCGTAAGTTTCCGTTTTCTTCCCTAGCATCTCAAGTCCCTGGATGTGAGATTCTATCGAGTCGTAGAAAGCCCTCAAACCACATAATTGATCAAAGGGGGTAAGTTTCTAAAGAAACTGTGGTGCTGCGTCGATGGAAGAGTATAACAGGGTATTTTGGTATTATCAACTGAGTTGATAAAGTAAATTGGCCACCGTAAAGAGCTTTAAAGCTGACGTTTCGAACATTAGCCTATCGTCTATTGCCCTGACGAAGGGCCAACACTCGAAACGCCAGCTTTTAAACTGTTTACGATGGCCAATTTACGTTGTCAACTCAGTTGATAATGCTCAATTACCCAACTTAAATGATCAGTTGGAGATGGTAAGTTAAGAAGGGCTTCCATGTGAACGAATCTCTCCTTTAATAATTCAACTCTCTTAAGGGCTTGTCATTCCACTAAACACTAGTTCAGGTAAACGATTAGCTTAAAATGAATGACTCGTACTCACCGGCAGCGATGTCGAGGAATTTAGTGATGAGGTGAGTGAATTACCAGAGTTATCATTATCTGCTACTTCGGCTGTCGAAGGGAACGACTTGTTCATTTTTCCTTTCCTATTTGTGGTGATTCTGGCGAAGGAACGGCGGTATCTTGAGGAGGACATGACGCATGTACATGTTGATTGGCATTCTTGTTTGCGAGCTCGACTATCTTCTCAGTGACGCATACTTTCTCTAAAATAAGTCCATTTAGTTCTCTCTGCTTCAATGACTTCTTGTTCAAGATTTCCAGGCATTTCTGGCAAATCTGATATTTTGATACTAATTTCCTAAAGGGTTAGCTTCCTCTGTTAAAGCTGAGCGACGCAGGAATCGAGTAGAGCAATCTCAGTAGTACCGGTGATTGCCTTTCGTCGCGTCATCGAATTCCGCGTTAGCTTTGTTAAGTGCGACTTGCGTGCTCTCCTCGACGCTGACAGTTTCGTGAATACAAGGGGCAAGTTTCTAAAACCACCAACAGTGGGCTAACTAAAGGCCAACAATCGGTCGACACACAACCAACAGCTTTTTTGGGGAGCTCTGCCTCGAAACTACCACAAACGGCAGTCAAGCGGTCATGCGTGCGCTGCACACTTCCCTGTGGCCGCAGATCCAGTGCAAACAGTGTACGAGCTGTATTTCCTCGGGAGGGACTAAATAACGGGTCATATCGTGTGGCCCTAGAGATGTCTCTTTTCGTATCGCGTATTGATAGCCACCTCATTTAGCACAGGTTTTGATTGAAATTAGTGCTTCTGAAAATTTTCAACACTCCGCAATCTTCCTGTTTCTCTGGTCCCAACCAAACAAAGCGACAACAACAGAAATGCTTATAAAAACACAGAAACCAAATGTATGCAACTTTTCTCGCAATTTCTGTTCTCATCCTGCCCCGTGGAACGAGAGAAAGAAGGGAGACATACGCAAACTATTAACACTAAGTTGGGCTTCCAATAAAGTCTTCACCACACTGTAAGTATTACTGAGAATGACCATGTTTATTGTTTTGTCCTGTCATTGCCAAGCAAGAATGTTACTTACAGTAAATTTTAGCGACTCAACCAGTGATTGCTACTAGCAATAAAATTCTTACTCTGCAGAGAAGAAAAGCTCCACCCTACGCCAATTTTTTGATGTTAAAAATAATGGCCTGTGACAAGAAAACTTCACTCCTTTACGATGATTTTGGACAGGTTACAAATAAGCTACATCTGATTTAAGGGAAACACAACACAAGTGTACAACACAGTGTTGTGATGACAATTATTCTGACTTGTTCAAAATAAAAATTCCTCTTCAAGTGGAAAGAAAATTGAAATTCTCATGTGTTATAGATATATTTGGGTAATCTCCTTGTCTGGACATGGTTACTGCAAGAAATAAAAAGAAAAAAAACAGTTCAACATCTTGTTCTGCAACATAGAACATTGAAAGGTACAAGTTAACCCTTTACCTCCCATGAGTGACTAAGAAAGAATTTCTCCTTACAATATCAAAACAATATCAAGTATAGAAGTGATGAGAATTAAATGAAATATCAGTTAGGAATTATTAGATGATCTAATACCAAATTCTCCAAATTGACATCATAAGAATTGAATAGCAGACAGTAAGGAGAATTACTAATGAGATCGTGGCAGTTGAAGGGTTGAACAGTTCAAGTCAAGCTGTCAAGTCAAGTGTCACTCTCTCTATGACTGGTTCCACTCAAAACAAAACAAATCCAGGCAGAATAGCTGGAGAGATTGTTTGGGTGAAAGTCTGCACCCAAAATCCAGGGTGTTTAAATTATCTGTTACACATAAGACAGGAAACTCTGATCATTCATCCTTGTAGTACTGCAAATTAATCCTTAACCTTTTCACTTCCAAGATTTCTTGAGCAATTCTCCCTACTGTCTGCCATAAAATTCTTCTGATGTTGGTTTGGAAAATTTGGTATTGGATCAACAAATAATCCCCTAATTGATATTTTTCTCAATTACATCCATTTTAAAATCTCTGTTGATCCTTACAATTTGATTGGCTCTCATGAGTGCCATTAATTCACAAATTGCACCACATTTTGGTCTTAATTGTATCTTTTCCCAGCCAATGAGAGAGCTTTACTAAAACACAAGCAATCAGATTTCAAGGCTTGTTCAAAGTGACTAAATATAAGATAAAATTCTTGAGGAGTTTTGTGCAACAGTTTATACAAAAAATGGGGAACATTATGAGCTCAGTAACTATTGTGAAAATTACTGCAGTTGACAAATACCAGACAGAGAAAGAATACAAATGCTCAATGATTCACAAGAGAGGTTTTTAAAGCTTGAAGCAAATTCTTGAGGAAAAAGCCCGACTACTTTGGCAACAAGGCAAAGGCAAGTGACCAAACTGGTGAGCCATGACTTGAAATAAAGACATTTAAGTGCTACTAATTACCAGTAAATCACATGATTTTCTTTGTGCCATTTGGGATAAATCAGCACTCGTTAATTTTTCCAGGACTACAAATTGCACCTGCACTATGGGCTTGTGCAATTTGGTTAGCCTTTGATGGTTTCTTGACCAAGACTCAATACAACTGTGGCCATGATCAAGTTCTAAGAGATGGATAGGTTCCCCTTTGGAATCTCAAAATGCTGTTGATGTCACAAATTTTTCATATTTTTTCAAGGTTAAGAGACAAAATATCATTTGCATAGTATCTAGAGAAATCTTTTAAAGTTGACCTCTCGTATCAAGCAAACAAAAAGCCTACCACTTTCTCTTCAAGAAGTCCATCTTTGAAAAACAGCAAATAGGGGGTTGTTTGATCCTCACGATATCCCAAGATGCAAAGCATTCCGTTTGCCCCTTCAAAGTCAGTCTCTCCACGGTAGAAGTCCCACTCCTCAAAGTTATCGAGAATCCTCTTCACTGCTGGTATAGCTTTTTTCTTGAACGTAGCCACATAGTCTGGCTTGGTCTCGGTAAGTTTTTCCACAAGTTTGGCCACATATGCCTTGATATACTTCTGGTATTTTTTTTTGTCCATGTCTACCCATGCTAATCTGTTTTGGAGGACAATGTCGACCCCACTTGTGGATGCATCGGCAGATTCTTCCTCAAAAGATTCGGCAGACTTGTTCCCACCAATCATAGCATCATCAACTTTGGTGCACTCTGTAGTATGCTAAGGAAGGCATAAAAACTTCACCATCATTCAACACAGAGTAAAAGAAGATGGTACATTTTCAATATAATGGTTTTATAAAGAGAGATTTTATACAGTAACACTTGTAAGTGAGCATCATAGTTTGCCTCACTTTGAACTGGTACTCAGTTCAAATGAAGCCTTTCACCAAAAAAAATTAAGACAACTTTTTAACTAGCTTTAGTATAATTGCTCTGGTGATTATAAAGATGCATGCACTCTTACTGGTTGAGGATTGCATCATATCTGGTTGTGATTGCCTCGTGCAAAGTGATTACAACAGGAGCATTAAATTTCAAAATGGCAGCCTTGCATTTCTTCAACACTCCACAGGACATGATAATTGTGACAGAGGAAAATACAAGTTTGAAAAGCACAAAAGATGCTAAAAAGTTTGGCATGACACTTTTCAAAGGAGAGCTATGAAGGTTTTGTTGATGGAATTAAGATGTGCCAGCTAAATACTAGTGGAAACTTGCTGCTAATGTCAATTGTTGCAATTATACTAAAACTAATTATTTCTCTCAGGCTCAGTGAAGATTGTTGAATAATCCCCCAGACTATTCTTTAATATTCACTTTGCCTTTGGCAAATAATTGTTAATTAACTCTTAAACCCATAGAAGTGACAAAAAATCTAACAACTCCTTACACTACTGTAGTTAAATCAAATCTTGATGTCACAAGAGTAAAAGAAATGATTGCCGACAAAGAAGCTTTTGATTATTAAACATGGTTTGATGATTTTGTAAAAAAAGAAAAAAAAAGAAAAGAAAAAAAAACCAGATCAATTTTACTTACTTTGCCTTCTACTTCAATGAATACACTGTCATCTACTTCTCTCATTTTGCAACTGTCAGTGAACAACTCATCATCTGTAAAAGAGATGGATTATTGACAATGAAGAATTAAAAAATACTGAAACATTCAACACATGATTTTAGTTTCAAAAAAATTTAATTTCCAGGAAGTACTAATACAGTTGCATCCTGATAATTCAATGAGGAGTATGAGTTGCTGGGAGTTGAAAACAAAGGACTAGAAATAAGAGAAAAATGGTGTTCACTGATTTTTTTTCTACTCATACAGTAAACATTTTCATCAAATTTGATTATAGAGAGAAGTTGAGTGAAAATGGAACACTAAATTACTGCAAAAATCACAATGTAATGTAGATGTTTTGAACTGCAGTACACTGGTACACTGTTTGTTTTGATTTGCCACATATTGACAGACATGGTTCGACCTGGCTCAAGGTTTCAAGAGTAAAAAAATGCTCCAGGTAAGTGGGAGGTTCAATATCTAGGGTTTGAGTTACCATGAGTAAAATCACATTTATAAATGATGAAAATCCAGAGGAAATTGAATTTGGTTTGGGTTTGGGTTTGGCTATGGGTTTACAAGGCTGAAGAAGGATACGCAAATCTGAAGTTTAGTGATTGAAAATTCAATTTGTAGCTGAGAAGAACAGTTCACTTAGAATTGTTTACAACACTAATAGCGATTACAGCTTGTGAATAAAAATATGATCAACTTCTGATAGATTAAATGCCTGTCAATCCATCAACCCTTATGACTGAGGACTGATAAGCATCTTATTTCTCCCAACTGCTTCACCCCTGAATCAAAGATTAGGGCTAAAGGAAATTATTGCCACTCCAAAGGCTCTTGATTGCCAGACAAATTCTCCATGAAAGTACCATAGGAAATATATTGAAAACATCATGGAGAACTTGCAAGAGCGACCAGGTTTATTATCCACCAAAAAATAAGTTATATAAGAACAAAAAACCATTTGCTTAATTGTGTAGAAATTACAACATATTACAAAACTGAGGACTAAGGCCAATCAGTTGTGTCAGTTTACACATAAATCGGCGTCATGCAAAGTTTCCCCTTTAACCCTGTAACTCCCAGATCAAATTTGTAATTCTCCTAACTATCAACCATGTGATTTTTGTAATGTTAATTCAGAGAACTTAGTATTGGATCAACTAGTTATCCCCAAATTGATATTTTTCTTTATTCTCATCACTTATCTGATTGATATTGTATTGATATTGTAAGAAGAAATTCTGTCTTGGTCACTCATGGGAGTTAAAGGGTTAATTTGACAAAATTCCCATTAAAGTAGGTATACAGTTTAAGAATTGTCTGATTCAGCAGGAGAAATCAATTTGATAAACGGATTTACTGAAATAAGTTGACTGGTTGTTTGGTCTGTTTGTTCACATCAATGGCACACAATGTCTCATGTGCTAGAAAATAGAAATCACAATGGAAGTGCCTATAACACAAAAATTTTTTTTTGCAAAAATATTTAGCTTACCATGTGTACAAACGAATTCAGATAAAAGAAAAATTTCAAAAAAATTAAAACTCGGATTTTTGGGGCCCTAAAGTGCTCTTATTTTGTCTAAATAGTGTTACGAAGTAGTTGGTGATAACGCAGAAAACTGTGGAAACTCTCAGTTGAGACTTAGAAATCTCTCATAATTTTGTATCAGTCAGCATTGACATGGTCAAGGAGAACTCACTAAGCGGTAAGGTCCATCATTTCTAATTTTAAATACACCTATGGACCAGAAAATACTAAAAAAAAATCGTGTCATGGGCACTTTACGTAAGCCTGTCTGTCTTTATAACTTTGATGTTAACTTTAATCTGGAGCATTTATTATCTCTCTACTCTTGAAATCCCCACGTATACGAAGAACAACGACAAAATACGATTAAAAGTTTTCTTTATCGAATGTTCGTGACATTTGAGGCAGGATAAGTAACTTTAACTGCTCTGTGTAGTTTGTGAAATCGTCAGCCATTTTGTTTCTGTTTTTTTCTCTTCTATGGAATGATTGTACTGTGATTGATAAAAACTCGACTAGGTATGGCCATTAACCTTCATGATACAATTAAAGAGCCTATCCAACAAAATTATTCTTGTTTCACAGACTAAAGTCGTGTACCAAAAGATCAGAAATACCGATGAAAGTCAACTCAACATACACTGTTTCTCGGGACAATTCAGGGAAAATAGAACTTTCAAGACAGTCACACGTGGTTGAGACCTAGTACTTACTGGATAGAAGGTCCCTGTAAACAATCATGATGTCGATGGGTCAGGATTTCGCGTTACAGTATAGTGCTGTAAAACCCGAGTACAACAGATCGAGCCGAAAAAAGGAAGAATTTTGTGATCTTGCGCAATATATTAACAGCAGTCCCAGTGATCACGGTCAGTATGAGAGGCGAGAAGGACTCGGTAATAACGACAAAATCAAAATGGCGCGCGAATTAAAGCAAATCAGAATTAACGAAATTTAAAGCAGAATGGAGTGATGTAAAAAAAATTAGTCAAATCAGGTATTGGAAAATATTTTTTCAAAGTAAAAACTGCAGCTGATTGTTGATTAAGAGCCATCTGGATCTTAAGGATTTAGCCTTTCAACTACCTGTTGGATTGGTTTTGTTTGCAAAACTTTGTTATGGATGGTTGTGGTGTCGATCTATTGTTTAGAATGTATGATCACGTCATTTGCTAAGGAAGTTTTACTCAAAAAAAGGGAGAAAATGAAGAAGCAAGGGAATGAAGGAAGGAAAGTGTTGAAACCAAGTCCCAATGAAGAGGTTTGTTAAAATTAGCGTTAGTCAGTAGTAACGACCAAATACTTCTGTATAGATATAGCTTCCATATGCGTCTGGTAGTTTGATTGTAGACAGAATGTTTAATATCAAATAAACGGAATTTAAATTTTCAGGCGAATATACTCCAAGATGAGAAAGTCAAAAGGAAGAAGCAACGCTTAAAACAGGTACGAGAGTAAGATTGATACTAGTATCAATTTTAGTTGACTTTTTTTTCTTGTAAGTATTCTTTGCTTGACGTTTCACCCTTTAACCCTCAAGAGTGATTCGCATCTAATTTCTCCCAACAATATCACCCCAGAGACACACATTCAGGTCATGAGAATAAAGAAAATGATCACTTACTAAAGAAGTTCTTGATTGTTAAACAAATTCTCCTCGTCAGCAACTTAGGAATCGTGTAGAGAACAGTATGGAGAATATGCATACTGATGTTAGGGAGTAAAGGGTTAAAACTTTGAGAAAATTTTTTGAATTTGATCAATTAAGAGGACACTACCCCATTAAAGCTTTAACTCCCAAGATCTGATTGTTAATTCTCCTCTCTGGCTGCCGTGCTTTCCTTATAATTGACGAGAATTTATCTGATAGGTTTGAGTATTCTTACTACCTGTTTGCCGGATAGCATAAGGATATTAGAGAGAAGTTATATTTTAATCTCTTCAGTGAGTTAAGGGTTTAAGTCAACCACTTCTGCTTACTTATGAATGTCAATAACTAATTACAGTTTACAAATATATAATCACAGTTGTAAATATTTGTTTGGGTTAAAAATTAAATTTGACATGACTAAATGACTTGATATAACTCCTCAAAAAAAGTCGCAGGACCAGTAATTCCTTAATTGCAGATTTTAAAAAATTATTTCATATACTAAAAGTGACTTCATCAGGGTTGAAATATGACAATCTGTAAAATATTTTGCTTTTGAGTAGGGTAGGGTCAGGGATTGGGGATCCACAGTAGTAACATACCCTTAAATTCTGTCTCCCTTCCCCCTCCCTCTCCCCCATAGACACTGAATTGATCTTACTTGCTGAATGCCTAGATCAGAGAACAAGAGAAAGCATTTTCTCGTAAAGTGCTAAAGGATGCCAGAAAAAGAAAAAATATTGGGCTGAAAGAACTGACCTCTCATCTGAAGGTATGTTACAGAACTTGTGATAGCATTACACAGAACCTTTTCTTAATAAAATGATGAGCTTGTTACGTTGATATTGACAACTATGTCATATTGAGGTTAACCGTGTAACTCTCAAGAATGATGGGCTTGTAGTTTCTCCTTACAGTATCACCCTTGAGTCAAATGTATAGGACAGGAGAATAAAGGAAACAATCACCAATTTAAGAACCTCCTGATTGTTAGACAAATTCTCCCTCTCTATACCATAGGAAAAGTTAACAGAACAGATTGGAGAATTTAAATACTAATCTCAGGGTGTAAAGAGCTGAGCCTTTTTTTGGTATTTTAGCGATGTAATTTTACAAATAAGGCAATTGAACTGCTCAAAATCCTTCAATAATTTTTTTACCATTCACTGAATTAAGGACCAATGGGAGATTGCACAAGAAAAGCGGAAATCAGATTTGGAGAAAAAATATCAAGAAAATGTGGCAGAGTTTGGATTGGGACACAGGACTGCTTCTGAGGTACTTTATAGAAAACAATTCAATTTACAGATTGATTTTTTTCCACATCACTGATAATGATGATGTTTTTAATGAAGAAATTGAGATGATTTAATTTGCTTCTTTTTTTTAAGGATCAAACAAACTATTCTAAACCAGATATGACTGTGGAGGAAAGACAGAGGTACTCTTAGTGTTTGTTGTCAGAAGCTCATTGATAAGTTTTTTTCAGGGAGACTACATGGCTAGGAAATAGCATAAAGGACTCTGAATGAAGGGGACTGGTTTCAAGGCCTCACTGGGTCTTTGTATTGAATTCATCTGCAAATGCTTCACTCTCACCATGTCTCTCTCGACTCAGGAGTATATGGTAGTATGGAAGCTTGATGGATGCTGAAGGGTGGTCTGCTGTGGACCAGCAACCCACCCAAGAGGGGGGGGGAGGGCAGTTGTGGCCCTCTTGACTTCTTACACTTAACTCTTAAACTCTGACCCATGAGTGACTAAGAGAGATTTTCTCCTCACAATATCATTACAGTATCAAGCAGATAAGTGAAGAGAATATAGAAATATATCAATTAGGAGATTATTAGTCAACTGAATATCAAATTCTCAGCACTAACGTGAAAGGAATTGTATAGCACACTATAAAGAGAATTACTGGTGGGATCTTTGGGTCACTTTCTTTATAAGAGAGACTTGCATGAATTCTATGTACTAAATTCTCTATACAAAGAACGTTTCTTCTAAATAATGTATCACTGAATGTCTATTCTTTTTATGAGAGGTCTCTAACTTCATCCAGCCTGATCTAATTTTATTTTGCAATAATTTTATATTTCAGGGCATCAGAAAGATACAAGAAAGCACTAGAACAGGTGAAGGGTGTAATAGACCAGAATGCGGCATCTCTTCTTTGGTGGTTTTAAATAACTCTTAACAGTAATTGCTATCAATGTTTTTCAAGACTTGTTTAAAATCAGTAAGGAGGAGGGTAATGGGTGGATAAAGACCACAGATTTGACAAACAGGCTCTGGTCGTTCAAAGATTGGATAACACTATTTACTGGATAAATCTCTATCTGGTGGATAATGCAGTACGTTTTGCTATCACCTATCTGCTGGATAGCGATGTATCCATTGGATAGAGTTGTCCACCCTTTATACAACTGGTCTTGGGATCACAGATTTTCATGCCCTTTATAAAGGGGGGGTTGTGAATAAAATAACAGAAAATGAGGGAGGGGTAATTGTCTTTAAACCACTGTGATCAACAGGAGATTTTTATACATTACATTAGCCCTTTAAATCACATGAGTGACCAATTCAAAATTTCTCCCCATAATATCAATACAATATCAAGCAGACATGTGATGGGAATAAAAAAATATATCAGTCATGGGATTATTAGTTGATCCAAGACCAAATTCTCTGAAATAATAGGTGATCAGTGGAAAAGTATGGCAGACATTAAAGAGAAGTACTAAACAATGAGCTGTTGGAAGTCAAACAGTTAAAATAAGAGCCAATAATTTTGAATCTTTTGTCCTCTCCTTTCCAATGAGAAGATCACCCCCAGTGTATATTCATTGCATGTTCCAGATCAATTTTTTAACTTATTTTTCTAAGTAAATGAAATGTTAATCATCTGATTGGTTTTCATGAATTGAAAAGCTAAAAATATAATCAGTAAAAGTCTTTTGTGATAGTGTAGTCTGATCATCTGGGTGAGTGTAGTCCTGAGAAGGACTGTTGTCATAGTGGTGACTGACATTGTGACCACCTGAGCGGAAGTCATCATCAGAGTGATGATGATGACTCTGACGACTCCTCCTCAGGTTGTCAAAAGGTCAGTCACCACTACTGACAACAGTCCTTCCGAGGACTACTCTCACCTGGAAAATCAGGCCATAATATCTCATGTGATGTCACGGTGAAGGTCATTATGTACTTTCATTGGTCCTTAGTGGAAATTAACGACATGTCATTCCTACCTACATGTGGCAATCAGCATTCTGGTGAAGAGTAATGATATCCTTTATTTTAAGCTCATGTATGAAAGGGACAAGATGACTCAGCCAGAGAGAGAACGCTTGGAAGGGAGGTAATAATCTACCTGTGATTTGCAATGTATGTGTTTTGAACAAGGCTTTTGATTCTTGTAATTATTACTTTGATCCATATTTAATTTAACCCCCTCTGATGTTCCCAAGCATTTTCCACTAGAAAATTTTTTCAAGCTTCTTTCTCCCTCCCCCTCTTCCTGTCCATCTTCCTCTCCCTCCCTCATACTCTCCCTCCCCCATACTCTCCCTCCCCCTCTCCCTCTCCCTCTCCCTCCTCCTCTCCTATGTGTTATCCCACAGGGTGTATTTTAATTGATGAAAGAAACTTTTCATGGTGTCATATTGTTTGGTCACTTAAATTATTGTCAGTTATAAAAATTTTATTTTCTTTCTCCTTCTAGGAAGCTAGCCTTGGAGATTGAACGTCAGCGAGCAGCAAGGATTGCATCTTTACCTCCAGTAGTTGATCCCATTAAGGTACAGGAACCTTTGTGTACCAAAGACCTTGAAATTCACTCAAATTTTTGATTAGTGTGAGTCACCGGTAATTTGTCTTGAGTTCTGGATCAAAGCTAAAATTATGGAGTAAGCACTCAATTAAAATAAAATGAACCAACTTATTATCAAGTAATATAATGATTGCTGAGGGAGTGTGAATTTTTCAGAATACAAATTGAACCTATTCAATAAGCAGCTTGTTTTAAGTTTTCAGTCATTAAAAAAACCCTTAAATTGTCATCAGTATATATTTTTGTACATGGATCCAAAATAATATCATTCTATTAAGCAGCTAATTAAAAGATAAATGTCTGTCTGAGATGAAAACTTAAAAATATGTTGTCTCATGGCTGTTGAAGAACTTAAATTATTGATAATAATAAAGAAATTACCTCTAAAATTAATAAGTTCCGCTATCCATTTTTTCTAGGACTTAAGTCAGGAGAAAGGTACAGGAGAAAGTTTGTTTATTTGTGGTTCTCGATATTTCATCCATTCTTTTCAAGTTTATATATTCATGGTTTTTATTTGAAAATGTTTTTCTCAAACTTGTTATTTTACCAAGACCTACCACATTCTAACAAGAAGAAACTTGACAACTACGGTACATCACGGTTTCACTTGAAACCTGCTGTTCTTGTGGAACGAGATCTGGATCTAAGTCAGGTAAACATTGTCATGATTAACAACATTTTATTTTTTCAAGAGGTAAGCATGAGGTGAGTGCAAAAGGTGAGTCATGGGTGAAGGAAGAAGCGCAAAACAATTATTTTGCACTCCTCACATGGCTTGCACTTGCTACTGTGCGCCTGAAAAATGCAAAAAAAATAGGCCTGTTCTGTAGGATACCATTTTTCGAAGTTGAGGAGGCAGAGCAATCTGCCTTTGAATAATTCTCGTACCAATGGGATTTCTCATCACTTTAAGTAATTAATTATATTCTAAAGGGGAAAACTTTACTCTACTGAATCAGATTGCTTTAACATCTAAATGTTTTACTCCCTCAGGAAGATGCTAGAGAAGCTGCAAAAGATGAAGAAGAAAGAATTCAAACAATCATAGAGGTTTTTATTCCAGTGTTTAAATTTTCATCTACTGAGAGTCAAACAAAAATCACTGTGACATTGAAATCTTCCCCAAAAAATTGGGAGTGTTTTTCATAATGCTTCATTCTGTGTCTTGTTTTCTTTTGCGGTAGGAGGTTCAACGAGGTAAAGCTGAACAAAATGAGAAGGCCAGACTAAGACACAAACATGCTTTGGCTCAGCTACAGTTGGAAGAAGTGAGAACTTACTTAAAACACTTTTTGCTTTTGAGAATTGTTACCAGGAGACATCTCTATTCATTCACTGAGACTCAGACTTTGGTCCCAACCAAACAAGCACTCTTACAACCTTTGCAGAGTGCACCAAAATATTCATTGGATGGTCCAAGTGACTAACCAAGCACATCTTTGTGATGACTTGTCTATGGAACACATACAGTTTTGCCACAATTGGCAGTAATGTTGCTATCTGATTGGACAATTTGCTATTGTCAAACAGAGTGCAGACAACGCTGCTCATGCCAACTTGTCACACAATGGTTATACACTAAAAGAATCGTTTTAATAGATGTTGATATTGTCAGTGGTAAAAAACAAATTGACAGTGATTTAACATGGTCTGTATTCATATCAACAACAATATTCGTCATCACAGTGGTCAAAATTTGTTGCAGACTCATGAGGAACAGTAACAAATTATTTTTGTAGATAAGAGTACAGACCACACTTGACCACTGTTGATTTGTTGAGATCATTTACTGATCACCAAACAGCAACATTGCAGAATTTATTGATTTGTTTGCATTACTGGTATGTGTTTTGGTAGGACCATGAAAGGTTGATGAAAGAACTGGAGAGTTTGGAGAGACATGATCGCCAGCGAAGGCAAGAAGCTGTGGCTCGGATCCCTGTAAGTGTTCCTGATCAAATATTATGATATTGTTGTAAACTTCCTGAATTTTCTTTAACACTCTAATGAGTGACCAAGACAGATTTTCTCCTTACAATATCAATACCACATCAGGCAGGCAGGTAATGAGAATAAAGGAAAATATAAATTAGGGGATTATTATTGATCCAATACCAAATTCTCCAAACTAGCATCTTAAGAATTGTATGGCAGACAGTAAGGAGAATTGCAATGGAATCTTGGGAGTGAAAGGGTTTAAAACCAAGTTTTCTGAAACAAAAGTCAGAACACTTATGGTCACTGGTTGAACTACATTTCACATAGCCGGGTATGCTTTGCAAGCAGTGCATGGTTTGCCTTCATGCTACTCCACAAAGGAGAAGTTTCTTTGGATGACAAATTTGTATCCCTGTAGGTGCGCATATTTCAACCTCCACATAAAAGGTTGGAGGATGCAGAGGATCGCCAAAGAGACTTGGAGCAAGCATTTGAAGACATGTACATGATGCACACAGGTTGGAGTCATTGATTTTGACATTAATTTTTTTTGTGTTTGAGTGTGTGAAAGTTTCCGGGTGCTTTTTGTTCTGCAGAGTATTTACATTGTGATTTTGATGCTTCCTAGGTTACACAGGTGATCTGACTGTTGCACTGGAACCTCCTGAGCATCTAAGACCCTCATCAGTAGATAGCCTTCTATCTGGTGAGTGTTACTGAGAATGGTTTGATTACAGGTGGTCGGAGTAATTGTTACTGTTGTTCATGAAGTCTGATTGTGCGCTTGAGATTGGTTCTCAGAAAGACTTTTTTTGGTAAGTGACTGATATTTTGACAACTTGGGCAGATTTTATCTTCGGATTCAAGCAAGGAGTTGCTTGTCAGTTGGGTGTTTGTTGCTGTAATGTCCTGGATAGACAAACAAACTAGATAGAATCACTTAACCTCACTGACAGATCAAAACTGACTAATCATGAGTAGCATGATGTCCTAGAATCTAACAGCCAAGGACATCATTACAAAACTAACCAATCAACTCCTGACTTGAATCTAATGAGGACTCTCAGGTGGGTTGTCAAAATTTCAGTCACTGCTACAGAAAATAATTCATTTTGTCACCTGGTAAGCTCAGGTTGTAGACCGCCAGAGTGTTGCATGGGAGATGAAGGGTTCAAGCCTCAGACTGGACCAACACTTAGGGTCTTGAAATAACTGAGAAGAATGTGCCTCCTCTGCTATGACTAATACAAATGGTCAGATGTTCTAGTCTTCTCATATAAGGATGATAATTCATAGGCCCTATCTCCTGCATATTCAAACTTGTAAACTGCTTAATTTAGTCTAGCTAAAGAGCATCATAGCACAGTATTATAGATAATGCACTTTATAAATGCCTTATCACAATCATCTCAAGACCATCTCATTCTGATGATCAGACAACAAGACCAAGTGAGTTTCCCTTTCATATCTAAATTGTAAAAGAATTGAAAACAGTGTTCATGTTTTTGCAGAGAGTGATCAAGGATCTGCTGAACCAGTAGGAGCCAAAAAGGTGTGATTAATGAAAATCAATGAAAAGCTATGATGTTTAATCTTAGTTTTAGCTCATCATTTGTAACAGAGACCAGGTCTCATATCTAAGACCATGTCTCTGCTACTTTTCTTGATGAGGTGTTACTTATTCCAAGATGCTTGTTTTTTTTTTCTTCCCCAGAAAGTATTCTATGAAAAATTTTCCTCCATATAATTAGAGCATTGTAAGAAATAATGAGAGGTGTGTCTCAATAGTGAGATTTACAGTAGCCTAATGCTCAGTGAACTGGACTTCAGTTGAGGGGTCTGGGTTTGAGACCTGGCTGGATCATGTGAGTAAGACACTTTACTCTCCCCATGCCTCTCTTAACACAGGGGTGTAAATGGGTACTGGCAATTTGTCAAAGAAGCCTGATGAAATGCTGGGGGGTAACCTTGCAATGGACTGACATCTCATCCAGTGCATGTTCCAACAAGTTTCATGTTTTTCATTGCCATTGTAATTCTTTAAAAATTCTAATTTAACTTTGTACACATTAGCCTTCAACCCCTCTGCTGAAATTTCAAATAATCTCACTCAGAGTGGGTATATAATATCCTGTTCCACCTTACCTAAGGGCCATTCAGCCAAAATCCTACATGGTCACTTCTACAGTTCTTTAATTAAGTTGTGTACCTTGTTGTTCGTCTCCCAAGTAATCAATAGCAAACATTCATATGCTCACCAACTGTTCCAACAGCCAACACAACCCCCTGATGCAGTTGTTCCTGATGAGAGCTCAGGAGGAGCAGAACATGGTGGTGAGCCTGAAGCTGGGCCTAAAATTGCACCCCCAGGTTATGGTGCCCCAAAGGGGCCTTCTGAAGGTGTACCCCCTACAGATCCATTGGGACGACTTTTAAAAAGGATTGAGAGGCAGCGTGACCAGTGGAAGGAAAGGCAGCTTCCAGAAGGAAGGCAACCTCCTGGTGCCGGAGAAACAGGTTGGAATAATGTGGACTAAATTAAATTTTATAAATGCATTTTGTAAGGTTGAACGTTGTTGTGGCAGCTACTACAAGTGCATTTTTTGTAAAGAGATGGCAGGATAAGAAGTCAAGATTTGGTTGTAATGAGTTGAAATTTTCCTTCTTTTATTAGTTAGCATGATCTGTGATTTATGTCATGTTTGATAGGGCTGTTGTAATTTACTGAATGAGATACTAAAAACCATTTTTGTCAGCAATTAATGCCTTTTTGATTTCTACTCTGTATATATACCACTAGGAATTCCTCATTCAGTTACCTCAACAATGCTGCCCCAAAGAACCCAGGAATTCAGGTATGATTGCCGAATCAAAGATTGAAATGCTTTGAAAATAGAGTTGATTATGAACCATATTCTCCTAAGGCATCATGAAACAGAAAACATGCCAGAATCATTTGGGAGAATTTGGATCCTTTACCTGAGGTTTAGAGATGTGGGAGCTGACATGCAATCAGTGTTCCCTTAATTGGTGTTAATTGTGGAAGTCATCAATGGGCAAACCGTTTCTTTTTAATTAATGAATTCTGTTGTGAATTTTACTGTGATAAAAAGTCTAGTCTACTTTGTAGATATTATTCAAGTTTGTCACCCAATGTATTGCGTGACAAAGCCAAAAAATGGCTCAGAAGACCAAAAAATGCCTAACTACTGGGTCTCTAATCTGAGATGAATATTTTTACGCAGGATCCCAGACACCATACCATTTCCTGCTGCCCCAGAACAAATCGCCGAAGCTGAATTTTCAGGAGGAGAGGAAGAGGAAGCAGAACCTGGAAGGACTGATGCAACTGAAATGGAAACACGGCAGCCAATGCCAGGGATGGAGCATGAAATAGACAGAGTCAACCCACCAGCAAGTGGTGCACGGACATTGCTCCATCCATTGGAAGCTGCACAACGATCTCGCACCACCACCCCTATGGTAAGAGGGGTATGAATCCTTTAGAAAGGGGAGGCTCAGAGGGCTCATTGTGGTTTTGTAGTTAAGCCCTAACATAGAAGAAATTAATTTTCAACATCAAAGCCTGACTGGAGCTGGTAACCTGTGGTTTGTTAACAATTTTTTGCAGTTAGCACCAGGTGGTTTCATTATAAAAAGGACTGCATCTTGTGTTACACTTGAGTAACAGCTCTTTGTTTCTCTCATTTTATTTTAGCCAACAGCACAACTCAGCCAACAAGAAGCTCTTCTAGAGCAACAGAAACTCAAACTACAACTGCAACAGCAAAATCTTCTTCAGCAGCAACTAGAGCAACAACTGCAAGCCTACCAGAGGCAACTTGCTGATATTTATGGACATGTGGATATGCCCGAAGGTCTATCAGTGCCTGAAGGTCTATCAGTGCCTGAAGGTCTATCAGTACCTGAAGGTCTATCAGTGCCTGAAGGTCTATCAGTGCCTGATCAAAGGCTCTCTCCAGAAGTACCATTCACTCATAGCCCCCCTTATGACAATGACCCATTTCTGACAAACAGTGTAAGTCTATTACTTGAAGCCTATTACATTTAGCCTTGACCAACTCTGGAAAGGGAGTCTGACCTGTAATTGCAAAAGTAAGACGTTTGGTGAAGCTTTCAATTGTCTTCTTTCATTTCAGGGAGCAGTGGACACAGGAGGCAGGTCATTCCATGTCCAAACCCCACACAATTCAGTACCTCAAACAGAAGAGCCCAAAAGTCCTTCAACAGATGGCTCTCCATTGCTTTCTGATGCCCTCGAGTCCTCAACACTAGAGAGTATCACCTCAGATGAATCTGGAATGTCCTCAGATTTCCAAAGAACATTACAAGCAGCACGCTTAACAGCGGAAAAGGCTGCCCAGTTTCGGACGACAGAAAGGGAGATTTTACAGGAGCATGACAAGGCACAATTGGATGACTTCCCCTCCGATAGAGGTCAAATGTATTTAAGAAAGGACACAATGTCTGGTAGAGCATCAAGCCTTCAATCTGAGGAGCTTGTTAATGTTTCAACTCCGTCAACTCTTTCACTTAGTGTGACGTTATCTTCTGATCTAAGTGTGACAGCTGCTGTGTCACAGACCTCCCACTCTGGTCAACCCTTTCTTGACACAAGGCGTGTATTTCCACCCACCTCCCAAGGTTGGTCACAATACTCTGATGTCAAGGACGCTACAAGCATTGCTGCTGCCACATCATTGCTCAGTAATGTAAAGGCCTCACAAGGCATAGGTTTTTCTCAGCCATCATCAGCAAATGTACAGCAATTTTCTGTGTTGTCTTCAAGAACTGAGCCATCCAGTCACTTTTCAAGGGCTGTGACACCACCAGTTTTGAGCAGTGGGCTAGCAAAAAATTTCCCTGACACAATTTCTGCTTTCCAACCAATCACTCGTTCTGGTTATTCTCCAGGGTATTTAGACTTCTACCAGCAAAAGATGGAAGAAGAACGACAGCTCTTCGAAGCTCAAAGAACTCGTGTTCAGCGTCACAGTGACTTGTATAAGAAAAGGACCCCAGGTGGTTTAGGTACTGAAATGTACCAGGCCAAAGGAAGTGCGAGCAACAGTGTGCCTTTTATAGGGCCCCTCCCAAAAACAAGCCCTTCACTATGGGAACAGCCTGTCAGGGCTCATACCAACTTGGGTAGGAACATAGAGGACACAAACAAAGAGAATTTGGGTTTTGTAGCAAATTCTACAGCATTTCAGGGACAGGACAGACTACATGCTATTTCACAAAGGCTTGGTGCCTTTGAAAAATCACTGACTACTGCACCTAATTCTACAGTTGTTACCTCATCCAGTTACACCCAGAAGCCTTTGTTCACAAGCGGAGACTGGAGTCATGGCTCCAGCACGGAGTATTTGTCCCTTCCACATGAATCTGAAGGTCCAAATGCTCGAGGCAGCATAGGCTCGACATTTTCCACCTTGTCTGAGCTCACAGAAATGATGACACGCTTGACATCCACAAGTGATGAAGCTGAGAGCACATCATCCAAGGCTCAGGGAGCATCAGGTGCCCTAGAGGTACATTCTTTTGGTACCCATGGGAGACGAATTGGCCAAGTCCCAGAAAGAACTTCAATAAAGGGACCTGACTCATCAGTTGGCCTGACATCTTTCACTCCCTTAGAAAGGAACGTTAATTTAAGGGGCTTATCTGGGGAAGGGCCTTTAGCTTCAAGCGCTGTAAGCAATTTAGGAGCAAAAGGGCCTTTGAATGCAGCACTTACTCATGTTGCTTCTGAGAAAAGCACATCATCATCAGGTACCGTGGAACACTCGCTGAGTTCACAAGGGTCACACCTGACCAGGGGCTCAGACGGGAAACAATGGTTTGTACTTTCTCGATCACATACTATGTCATCTGGAGGTGGAATGTTAGAGAAGGGTGGTGGCATCCCAGAGGAGGGTGGTGCTGATAATGTGTTCTCTGACGCTAATGAAGGAAAAAGTAAGTCTGTAATCTGTCCAGGAAGAATTTAAAATTTTAGAAAAAATGAAAAGTGTTGGGAACACTCTTACCTCAATTTTATCAATGACAAAGGTTGCGTTTGGTCTTTGCAGGCCTTCATCTAATGAAGTTGAAACATTTTATTTAGGGGTTCTCTTAATCACTCAGATGAAAGGCTAGCGCCTGAAATATCAGCTTTAGAAACTCTCTACAATGGCCAATTTCCATTATCAATTACGTTGATAAAACCAAATCATCTTGTAATCCCTTGCCAACCCTGTGCCACAGTTTCTTTAAAAACTTACCCCTTTATTCAGTTTTCTCTAACCTTGAAGCAGATAACATTCAAATAGATATGACATAAAGTATTGTCTCCTTTTTTGTAACAAGGTCACTTATTAGGCAGAACAGAGACTGGGTCAGAGGCATCAATTTCCTCAGGAAGTCTGTCCTCTGCCACGCTGCATTCTGGTACCACTGAGGAACTTAATGAAACATCACCCACAAACAGCGAGCCACAGGGACAAACACATTCAATGGTAGGCTTTCTTCACAGGGCTTTACTGTGGAAAGTGTTTTTCAGTCCAACAATGTGCTCTCTGTCTAACCAATCAGAGCAAACTTCAAAGAAAAATTACTGATTTATCACATCTTGTCTCTTTATTTTCAGGTATTTTCTTCCTCCCCTGAGACTCATGGTGAATCCTCTCCATAATCTGGTCACACTTAGGAACCAAAAGACATCTCAGGTGTTGGTCAAACGTTCAAAATATTTTTGGGAAATTATGGAAATGGAATGGGGAAGGCTTTGACAAAGATCATCAAAATAAACTAATTTTAAAAAAATGGTCTCGTTATGTTTTCTGTACCCACAAAGCATTTGTAGAGTAACTCATTCTATACAGTGCTATCAGCTTGGATTTTTTTTAAAATAATGGATTGTGCTTGAAAAGAAATCTTGGAGCTCTCCTCTAGGCAAGTTATCTAACTTAACAGGGGTATAAATAATGGGGAACAGTCTTGAATATGTTAAGTTAAGGTTAGGAAGTATTTGTACAAAAAAGAAGGTAATTCAGTCTTTAATAATTCAGTCTTTAATAATTCAGGATAGATTAAGTGCCTGTTATTAACCACATTTCTTGCCTCCCAAATCATCCTCAAGAAATTTTTATGAGATGTGGCTCTTCTGCAGCTTGTGTTTCCCAAAATGTGTTCACTCTCTTGATCTGTACATTTAAATAATCATATCTTTATAAAATGTCTGTCTTTTAAAATTCTGAATGTAATGGAAGCTGCATCCTTTTGAAACTTACTGTTCATAATTTTAGAAAAATTAATATATTGAAGAACAAAACTAAAGGTCAATTTCCCTTATCCAGAAGACACAAATAATAAATAAAAGGAACCTGCATCTTTTGAAACAAGCTGTTCATATCTTTACCAATGAAGTCTTCTTAAGAAAAATGAATGAAATGAAGAACAAAACTGAAAATAAATTTAACTCAACCAAAAAAACACAAGTAATAAATTATTGCTGTGTAGGTAACACTCCACTGCTAATATTCAAGGTTTCCCCAGTGAGTTTAAATGTACCAGAGTTTGAGTATTCAGAAAATCTTTCATCCAATGTCAGTGATGTCTGAAACCAAACAAAATTAAATTTTTTCCAGATGACTATTTTTCAGTAAGATAGGGGAAAAGCTTGAAATTATTTTTTTAGTAATTAAGTTGTTAATAAAATATACTAAGAAAATTGGATTCAAACAATGGTAACTTCTAACTTTAGAAATGGTCTGTCACTAACTAGAGTCATTATGTTGTGTTATTGGGCCAAAGACTACTCACTTGGTGCCTACTTAACTTTGTGGTAGAAAGAGGCAGTGACAGTTTTTATAGTTTGAAGAAATTAGAAGTGATTTTGGATGTCAGTCCATCAAAAATGAGCTGTCTTATTTCTCTGTCAGTTCACCTGTACCAATTTAAACTCCTAAGAGTGGCACTGGGAGAGTTATGTGTCCTGTCAAAGACGACAGTGACCCTGTCTGGCCTTGAACCTAAACCTTGAAAGTGGAATCCAGCCCACTTCCCACTTATCCACCAGACACACATAAAAATATGGTCCAAACTTCTCAAATTTGGCTTGAATCCCACCTTTAGGCCACAGTATCCTCTATTAATATAAGTCAAAACTATAACAAAATTCTCAAACATGGTTGGTTATCACTAACCTCATTTGAGCATTAATAGGACAGTGTGCACGTCATGCTTGTAATCAGACAGTAATAGCACAGTTGCTTAGGGTTAGTACACATCATGGGCACTTGCTGTTGTTGTGCAATTTGCCAAGTTAACAATTTTTTTTATTAATAAGTAAATTTTTAACCGATGTCAAATTTTGTCATAGTTTTGATTAACTGGTAACAGGACTTCGTGTCATCCAGTTCAGTCTGAAATCCTATTTGTGACTTTGTCAATCACTTGAATGATTACAGACTGAATTTGACTCCGCTCAGCCCTATTACCATTAATAGGCCACTGAATAGGCCACTTTGCTTTGAGTAGACTTTACACACCTTTCACTAATTACTATGATCAGTAGATGTGACGAATTAATTATTTGTTTTATGCTACAGAAACCAAGATAAGCTCTGCCTGAATAGGCCACTTGCTTTCAGTACAGACTTTACATACCTTTCACCAATTATGATCAGTAGATATGATGAATTAACTTACCGCAGGTGAAGGAAATTTTAAGTTCTCATCCTTTAATATAGAAACCTAAAGAAAAGGATACCAAAATAAAGGTTTCTACACCAGAAATATTTATGGATTGGTTACGAAACAATTGATCTTGATTGATATCAAACCAAAGTGTTAGCAGTTTCTCAATTCTGCTATTTTAGCAAGCTTGTGTAAAACATCTTGAATACATTAATTATAACCAAAGTAAAGATATGCTTTTGGGAGATGAAGAATGAACTCTTTTACTTCTAAGAGTGACTATCTTTGAATTTTTCCCTAGAGTATCACCACTGAATCAATCATTGTGGTTGCAAGCTAACAAAGATTTTGATTGTTAGAGAAATTCTCCTTCATTACCAATGGAATAGTATTGAAAACAGTGTGGAGAATATGCATGCTGATGTTAGGCTGTAAAGCATTACAATCATCTTAGAATGTTCAGTTTTGATATACAAACATATTCCTGGCTATTAACTTTGATCAGAAACAGCTGACATTAGAACTGCAACTGTTATATCCTGTGGTGCATAGATGAAGTTATGAATAGAAGAAGTTATGAATAGAAGATCCTGTGTTGCATAGAGAATCAAACACAATTCCCTGTGTACGTAAATCCGTGTATTAAGTGGAGCTTTGTTAGGGTAAAATTTCCGCACAGCCCCATACTATTGTTAAACAAATCTGTTTTCCCAAGGGCAATGTATTGTTTTTGTCGTTGTTTTCTCTATCCAAGAACTGAATGCATAATGTAGTATGGGGCTGTGCAGAAATTTTTACCCTTTATTAGTGTATCTGATTGGGTTTAACAGTAATAGACTTAAGGACTAAATGAAAACGAAATTTTACCTTTTTGGATGTAGAGTAATCCCCTTCAGCGATCGATGCTTTCTCATGTTGACGAAACAGTTGAAGTTCTTCGTTAGTTGCCTTCCACATGCCGTAGTATTTCCGCGCAAGTGACAGATATTTCGCTGCGTTTTTCCTCTCTGCTTCCATAGTTTCCAGAAGATCGGCTTCCATTTTTAAAGCCCGCTCCGTGACAAGTTTTTCAAACCTACGCACCTTATTTTCGTTCTTTTCTTCCTTAATTCTTTGTTTCCTTCGTTTCTGTTGACGCCTTCGTGCCACGCGTCTGTTTTTCCGTCTCTGTTCTACTGATAAATCAGGAGCTAATGCTCCTTCGCTTTTTTTCTCGCCATCGAATGCATCTAGAGGAGCACTAGTGTCTTTCATTTCTTGTTCCTTGGCTCCTTCGCTTTTTTCGTAGCAATCGGAAGCAATCGAAGGAGTGCTTTTGTCTTTCATTTCTTGTTCCTTTGCTCTTTCACTTTCTCCGTTGCAAGCGGAAGCACTTAATGAATTACTTGTGTCTTTCATTTCTTGTTTCCCTGTTTTTGTGACGGTTGACTTTGCTTTAATCAACCAAGCTGGAATCACTGACGAGGACGCCATCATTGTGATGTCATGTTCGCGCCAAATATTGATTTCACCGTGAGAAGACTGGCGGCAAAGATACGATATAATATGTACGGGAGGGGAGGGTACAGACTGCTGAGAATTTTCTTTTGCTTGTTATGTAGGGCCACGTCGCACTGAAGTGAATTCAAATATTAACCAAATGAACGCGAATCAAAAATTAGCAAAAACTTTCGCATTTCCTTGCCACGCAAGAGCGGATCTTCTCTCCTGCTGGTCCTTAACGTTTAGTTGACGCTTGTGTTACATATAGCTCCGATACTTTGATGAAAGAATCTCTCGTTGAAGTCATACATGTCCTCAAAATTGCTGCCAATAAAAGCGGCGCTCAAAATTCATATCCCTTGAAATAAAAAGGGTGAGTTGGGCTTGGAAAATCCTGCCATCGCACGCCAAAGACAAGCGGACTAAAGAAATTTTTCTGGATGAAACTTTTATTAAAATATATTTTGCATAACATAACAGCTAGATGGTTAAAAAAAGAGACATGATTGTTTGTTGTGCCAAAATTTGAAGCCTCCGTGGTAGGACATCGATTCTTTTGAAGATTGGCGAAAATTGTGAGCGACTCGGAAACATTTGGCAAGTTTTTTCAAATGTTGGTCGCACTTATTTTACGCTATCTGTCGACAGATTTTTAACTTCAACAACAAACAAAAAAAATTCAAATGCGACCCGGGCTTTAGACAAGTGGTTTTTTTTGTTTGTTTCTTTTTTTTCCCCCTATGTTTCGTTTTGTAGTTTTTTTTTCTCAGATTTGCAACAAAGATCGAAAAAAGTATCATCTGGTTAGGATAGTTCCCCACAGAAATTGTACCGACACATGTTTCTCGAAAATGTTTTATCAGTATTATTCACGTTCACGCAACATAGCTTTATCCAATACGTCTGGTATTCTCATTCGCCATTGGTCAAAACGCATCACGTGAAAGAATATTCCCCAGCTTTAAATAGGACACAAATTTCTGAAATCAGACACTAATGTCTAAAATCGGGCAGTTGTGTCTAAAATTGGACATTAGTGTCCGAAATCAGACACTAATGTCCAAAATCGGACATTGGTGTCTAAGATCTAACTCTGGTGTCTAAAATCGGACACAAGTGTCCAAAATCAGACACTGGTGTTCAAAATTGGACATTCGTGTCCAAAATTGGATACTAGTACGAAACAAGTTTCATCATGATAGGATAGTTCTCTACAATAACAGTACCGACACGTTTCTTGAAAAGCTCTTATCCATTTTATTCACCTCCACGCTGTAAAGCCATATTCAATACGTCTGAGATTTTAAAATGAGTTTTCCTTCTTCTAAAAGTGCATAAACCACAGTCCATTTTAGGAACGGAGTGTTGAGTTCTGACTGTTTCTTTACATTTGCAAAATAGATCATGGTAATATGACCGAGTGGAGTCGAATTCGTTCTGTAACCGTTCTCGTGATTTGTTTATCACGAGTACGACTACAGTCATAATTGGACGACACCAGGTCCTGTCACCAATTTAATCAAAACTGTTTTGATTCTGTCCACAGAATTCGCGAGTGTTGATGGTATTTTTATGATTGAAAAATTAGTTAAAATCTTCGAACGTTATAACAAAGATTGACCAAAAATTTCATATTCTGATGTACCACAGAAAGGTAGTAATTAAGACTCTAATAGAAATTCCAAAATATGTTACAATATCGCTATAATATGTTCAAGAAAGTTCTCACACAATTTCAGGAAAAAAACATTTAGAACCTTCAGCAATGCGTATTAAATTACACACGAACTCAAATCAATTACATCCGAACACAAAGTTTTGCTGAAATTATGACTTGATACAACGTCAACCTTCACCAAACTATTAATAAAATTTTTCACGTACGATATAAGGCGTGTTTAAGTGAATTGCTCGTAGATGCAGAAGTCATTTGCGCGTGCATGTGCAGGTGTCATCTGCGTGCAAGCGTTGAAGTCACACGCGTAAGGCCCGGTTCATACGTCGCATTTCTGCCGTGTCGAATTCAATTCAACGAATTAAATTCGGCAGAAATTCGACGTCTGAATCGGCTGCCGCATTTCTGCCGCACGTTCGACTAGTCTTGTCGCATTATCCGACAGAAATGCGACACCGATTCAAACGTCGAATTTCTGCCGTGTCGAATTTAATTCATACATTATGTTAATGTATTGAGCATGCGTAGACTGAGGCTAGCTATAAAAAGATGGCGTCACGAAGGGAAGAGACTTCAGATTCAGAAGAAGAAAGCTCTTTTTCTTTGTCTGACAATGAAAATTTGGCCCCGCCGAATAAAAAGAGACGAGGCAGAAAAGCGCAATGGCGAGATTGTCACGTCGCCGACAGGATCGATAAACTTGTGTTGCATTTTGATGAGACAAAATGAGAACAATCAACAGCAAAAGTTGAATTATTAGTCTATGCTTTTCCTGAAGACGATGCAGCATATACTGTTGCAGTGTCAGCCTCCTCCTTCGCCTTCCTTCAAAAACTTTTTGAAAAATAAAGAGCCTCCGTTTAGTATCTTCGTCCGCCATATTAGATAGTTACGTCTAGTTACGTAACCAATGTAACATTTTTCCGCTGACGGACCTGCACCGCAGTATCAATTCAAAGAATTAAATTCGGTAGAAATTCGACGTATGAATCAGCTGTCGCATTTCTGCCGCACTTAATTGAATTGAATTCGACACGGCAGAAGTGCGACGTATGAACCGGGCCTAAGTGAGTTGAGCGTGCTTGCACGCAAGGGTCAGTTGCACGTTCGGGCAGAAGTAAATCTTGTGAATGCTCCCGGAAGTCACTTACGCAAGTACACACACGCAGATGTAATCTGTATGTGCACACTTAAGTCAATTGTGTATGCACATAGAAGTCACCTAGGAGTTCATACGGAGATCAAACGCGCACGCACGCCTATGATTACCCGCACGCGCCCCATAAGGACGCCAGTTCATTTGCATGTACATATAATAAGCATACACGAGCTCCCTACTTCATTAGTAGGCCAGCAATTGTAGCTTCACAGGAGTCATTTTCACGGGCACAAAGAAGTCAGTTCATTTTGTCATTGGCATTTCCAAGCAGAATTCGAAGAGACTTGTGCGCGTAAGTCACTTCCACGGCTCATAAAAAGTCACTTGACCCGAAAATTGTGATAACCTTTTCCTCCTAGAATAGAATTGCCGTCTCAGTGGTCGGGGCGATGTTCAATTTCGACCATAACATCTCCTTCACCAACTTTGTCTCCGGCTTTAAAATTTACCTTTTTTACCTGTACAACAAAATAAAATAGGCGGCTGTGAATATATGAAAGTCATATATTTGAACTGCGGATAAAGACGTGAATATGAAAGCGATCTTCGCAGTAATGAACACTACTTAAAAAGTAGTGAAAAGAAGGCCTGAAGATCGCTTTCATATTCACGTCTTTATCCGCAGTTCAAATATAAGACTTTAAAATATTCACAGCCGTTTATTCACCACTTCACGGGTTTATTTGGAACCAACACAGTGACCAGCTCCCAGTTGGCTTGTTAGTTCAGTTGGTAGAGTACTGCACCGGTATCACAGAGGTCATGGGTTCAAATCCCGAATTTTTTTCAGGCCTTTTCACTACTGTTTAAGTGGTGTTCATTACTGCGAAGATCGCTTTCATATTCACAAAATAAAATAAGCTCAGAATTCTTAACGCTACATGGCTTCTTTCCCTTTTTTTTTTAGCCGTGTACAAGGCCATGTTGGGAAAAATGGGGAAAATCTTTTCGTTCCAGACTTAACTCGCCTCTAGGTGGAAGGGGATCACTCTGAGACCCTGGATCAGAGCTTAAAATAAAAATTGATGACAAATTTGAAATAATATCTCCATTATCTTTCCATCGTTTACTTACAGTTCCAGAAAGTCCTGCATGCAAACTGTTCTGCATCTTCATTGCCTCCACTACGGCCAACTCCTGTCCTTCATGAACCTGACGTAAAAAATAATGGACATAGAGAATGAGTTATATTTTAAATTCATTTGACGCCAACTAATACATGGTCAACTTTTGGTGGCTTAGATTCAAGATGCATGTACAGTTAAACTGAAATCATGTTTGGAACTACGAGCATGTGAACGCCGATGTGACTTGCATTATTTGAGTTCTGTTCCACAGATGCTTCACAGCCACTTGAAATCTACCCGTCTTTAGGACGAACTTGTTTCTTTCACGAGCATCTGAACGTGCATGTGCAGGTGACATCTGCGTGCAAGCCAAGAAGTCGCACGCCGAAGTCAGTCGCACGTGTTTGTAGAAGTTATCCTTGCGAATGCGTGCACGCAGAGGTCACCTGCGTGTGCACGTAGAGGTCACTTGTGCGTGCTTGTCAATCAACAATTTCTTGGCTTACCATGCAAAAGAAGGGGGAGGAACGTTCTTGTGAACTTGTCACGTAGACTGTTTTTTGGCCCTCGCGCGGACGAAGAGGCAGGGAGATTACGTGACGAAGAATCTAAAAGTTTCATTATGTGAATTCGCAATGCATGTCTTACCGTGTCACCGACGTTGACAGCCACTGATACAACTGTGCCAGGCATGGGTGACTTGAGGAATGGGGACATGTCCTCCTGGATAAGAGAAAGTATTAATACATTAAAAGATTTTCTTATCTTCCATCAAAATTGAATTTACCAGTGATAAATTAAAGTTACTTAAACGAGATCAAAAGCCAAGTCAAGTTAACTAAGAAAAATTTCGAGCAAATCAACTAACGAGAGAAAGTGGAGGTTGAACGAATGGGTTCAAAGAAAGGCAGGTCAAATGAAGTGAGATTGATAACGGCAAGTCGAACAAAAGTCAACTGAAAAGTCATTTCACACATCTGAATAGGCAAAGTCAAGTCAACCACGTAAACTCAAATCTTATTGGGATTTCTTTCTTTCTCAAGAGTTAACGCTTTTTTCAGCGATCAAAGCGCTTCGCCACATAATATAAAAGATAAAAAAGTGTTTTCAAGTAATTAGTTTGTCTCAGAATTCCTTCCCGCTCATAAGATTTCACCAAACCTCTTGTTTCTCTGGCATGTACTTCATGTACTCGTACTGATCCTTCGTGTGCACTCGTAGCTTGTACTGCAAAAACAAAACGTGACTTACAACGGTGTACAAGAACGTCTCTACAACTATCGCACCAGTCTCCTAAATTTTCCTAATGAGGACAACGATAATCTTCTTTGATTGTAAATACATGAAAAATTCAGGCCTGTACAGGATTTGAACCAAAGACCTCTCTTGTTTTTCGACCCTTATTTTCACTGCTGCCGAAGTACTGTTCACTACTGCGAAGACGCTTCCATATTCGATAATCTTCTTTACACGCAGTTCCTCCGTCGGGTAAATTTTCCTAACTTGTATTAAACTGATGCTCTTACTGTTGTTCCATAGTGCTGAATTGCGAAGAGATTTCCTTCTTTCTTTAAAGTCTGCAGACGAAGGCAAGGAAAAGTCATTCATTGTTGATAAGTTATTGGACAACTGATAGTATAAAATTAACCCCAATCTTACCTGTAACAAAACATCATTTCCATTTATCTTGGCTCCGAATACTGGATCTGACAGTCCAGAGGATGTGTTGAAATCCACTTGTTTTCCATCTATGCTGACCTACAACGCAGCCAGAACAAAAAAAATCTATGCAAATGTCAAGCTTTATTACAACACGAAGGGCAAGTGAATTTCACTTCCACCTTCGCCATCGTCTGTCCGTCTAAAATCCCCAACAAGTATTGTTGGGTATCCTGTGATCCCGGTGTGTGAATCAGACAAGTAAACAAGTCTCTCTTCCTCAAGGCTGGCCAGTTTACAATTCATTTATTCTCAGTTCATTAAAAATGTCTAGCATCCTAGTTCTGTTCCACAAAACTTAACCATTACCCAAATTTCATTTAGTTTCACGTTAATTCAAAGTGAAATATTCTTTCATCCACACTATCCATTCTTTAATCGAACTCTTAAGTAAATTCCTATCCTTTGGGAATTTTACTCGACAAAACCTAGTTCCTTTCAATGGTCGGTTATAGATGAAACTCACCGTCAAAGCAACATCACGTCTAAATTTAAATCATAATTACACAGGGAACAGGAAGGAGTAAAGTACACGAAGAGGAAAATTCTTCCACCATGGTGACCAAAACTATGGGTGTTATTTTAATCTACGCATAGTTTTGACAAGAAGACCTTCTCGGGCTAACCTCGAAATTTCCGTCTTCCTTGGCTCGTATCACAACTGGATAATCAGCTTTCTGTAGAGTAATTACCAGGTCCCACGCAGATGGTTTCTTGCTCACAGCATTGAGCCTAAAAACAAAATAAAATGATTGTTAAAAACAGCAATTTTCATGTGACCTGACTCCAAACTGCTACCGTTTTGTTAGCTCGAGGAACGAAAAAAAATCTCGGGGAGTTACTTTGCGGTGGATGTTTTCGAAAGCGGTTACGGAAAACTTATCGAAAAAGGCGCGTTTAATCACTCGAAAAAAAAAAACCCAAAGGGAAACACGCTTTACACTGATAAGACTCCAAACGAAGATCCTCAAAAATGCGACCCAACAAAAACTGAAAACTCACACACATGAAAATCGTACACGTAACAATGCTGACGTTAAGGTCTCAGAGCGCGCGTGCAGAAGTCGCGCGTGCGGTAGCGCACGTCACACCAGTTCGGTTCTGTCTTCTTTATTCCCCAATCTTTTTCCCATAACTCACTTGCTTTGGTTCTTGAAGGCCATCGCTTTTCTTGCTCTTTGCACGAAGAAATAGGCTGTCGTGGCCAGCAGTTCATCTCTTTCTTCATCAGTCAACTGATGACCTGATGTTGAATAAAAACCAGATTTAACAAATTCAACAACGATTCGTGGCCAACTTCTTCAAACAGCCACAATTGTGCTACCTCCCTTGAAAAGGATAAAACTCCACCGCTAGTAAGGTTACTATCCCTGCTCTGCAAGTTCCCTGAGAATTTTCTGAAAGCCATAACCGTTAATATCTTTTTTTTGTGGAGAAACACTGTGAAAGTAAACTGTCTGAAACGAAATTATAGCGCAATGACCCTGACGCCAAATGTTTTTTTGTTAGTTAGTTTTTCTTGCACGCTTCACCTTTAAATCCACTTGGATACTCTTCAGGAAGAAACTTCGTGGTGATGGTTCCGAGGCGGAATTTGGGATGGTTAAGAACATCACGGAGAAGTGAAACATTGTATGTAACACCTACAGAATATCAGAGAACAAAATGTGGTTAATTTTGAGCTAGGTTGTGAATTAATGAAGGAGCGTGGGATTCTGATTCCCTTTGAGAGACTGAATCCCAAATATTCGGATCACGCGCTGCTTTTTTTATTTTTTTTCTTCATGGGTGACAATTTTTTCTCATTCCAGCTCTTGAAAATATAAGTTTCTCGCGATCAAGCTTGAGGATAAACCCTTGTGTGAGACCAGCAGCTGTTTATCATGTTGTGCACGATGATTCTGACTTGTAAGTCTGTGGATAACACCAAACGTGTGAAGCTACCGAGCAGTTCTATGTTATGGTACTGTTTATTTTGCTGTGCAAGGTAGTTCTAGTTGCGCATAAAACCCTACGGTTTGACCGTTATTTCACTGTTACCTCTGATAACATAAGAATCCAACGCCTTGTTCATCAGATCAAGAGCTTCATTTCTGGTCGGCGAATGAGTAACCAGCTAAAATATTGATAAGTGACACTTTTTTAGTTAAAAAATCACAAAAACTGCCCGCAAGGAAAGGAAATTATTTCATAGAAATAAGGACACAGAAAGGTGACAAATAGCGCATCCATCGCATTGGCTTAAGGGAGGGGTGGGTACGTAGTGCGCGGTTGCTCAGATACTGACATTGAACACAAATTTACCCTAAAATCACCAAGGAATGTTGGATCATTAACCCTAACTTGTCATCAATTGACTGTTGTTGGGTTAGGGGAGGGGTAGGTGGGCAGTTGCTCAGATACTGATATTGATCCGAAATGTTTACCTTCGATATCATGGAGTCGTAATAAATGCTTATTTCACTGCCTTCAATGATACCACTGTCACAGCGAACCTAACAAAACAGAGAGGAACAATGTTAGCCGAGTCAATTTAAGTAAGAGCACTCAGGGTCTTAAAATAAGTGAGGGGAATGCGCTGCCTCTGTTTTGACATGCGCAAATCGTTAGGCATTCTAGTTCTCGGATGAGAACGATAAACCGTTGTCCTGTCTCCCGTATGTTCCCAGTACTGGTTATCAGGGGACGTTAAAGAATCCACACACTTCTCGCAAAAAGTTGGGAACGTAACTCCCTATGTTAAGGTCTGGCCTTGTTATTGTTCATACAAGCCTCCATTTAAACCAGCTTTAAAGCTGAATTGGGCAAGCCTGTCTGTTGTTGCAAATAAATAAATAAATAAAGATTTTTGATGTTCGAGTAAAATTACTTACATTTGGTAGATGAGTTGGTTCAATATACTTGTACAGCCTTCCAATGGATGGCAAACCAAAATTCTTGTATGGATCCTAGACAAGAAACGGTCAAAGTTAAGCTTGTGATCACTGATTATTTTCTCCTTGCCCATATTAATGTGTGATCAAGGTGATACTCAAAGAGAATTTTTAAAAGCATCAGGTAATGATTTTCACCCTGGATAGCACAGCTAATGACAGAGAAACTTTCCAAATGCCTCACCTCAGCGTACACTCGGCACTCAACAGCCCAGCCATTGATGGGAATATCAGCCTGCGTGATGTTAAGCGGATGATCTGAAAGACGTTACACGCAACAAGATCAAAAGAAACTTGGCTTGACTTTGTTCTTGAAAATGAAATGTAAATCCCCCCCAAAAAAATTTATCGTAAAGGTATCTATTCATGTCAAAGTATCTCAGTCTAGGGAATTTTATACATCCCTGCAAAAAATTTGAACCGTGGTTTCAAAATAGTAAAGGAAAAATGAGTATTTTTTTAAGTCCTAGGAGGATCCAATTCCTAGGGGGCTCTGGGCTGCCCTGGAAAATTTTAAAAGTTTAGACTCAAGCAGTTTCATTTCCCAGCAATTTGAGGTCTATTCCAAATTAAGAATACTAAGAGAACAGTGACAATTATGTTAAGGTTACCCAATACCTGGCTACTAATGAAACCCCTGAATAAAAATTGGGCTAAAAGTACCGCAAGCCTTTTTTGAGCAAAACATTTCAAGCAGTTAACTAGTTAGAATCATGAAATTAGAAGATCCTCGCAGCTAAGAACACTACTGAAACTAGTAGTTTTAGGACCTGAGCACGGGATTTGAACCCATGACCTCTGCAAGCAGCTCTACCAATTGAGCTAACAAGCCAACTGGGAGCTGGTCAAAGAATTGGGTACAAATATTGGGTACAAATAAAATTGGGTACCGTTACTCATGTTTCATCTGCAAGTTATAACTTCATTTCATTTCCCTTTTCTTTTCATACAACAGGATTCTCATACCTGCTGCTACTCTGATCATGTGTTCCACAAGATCAACTCCAGCTACCATCTCAGTGATGGGGTGTTCCACCTGCAGACGAGTGTTCATTTCTAGGAAATAAAAGTTCTTCTGTGAGTCAACCAAACACTCCACAGTGCCGGCTGAGTCATATCCAACTTCTTTAGCCAGTGCAACAGCTTGTTCACCCATTGCTTTTCTCAGGTCAGGATCCACAAATGGGCTAAAAGAAAAAAAAAACATTTTGATACATTAGATTGCAACAAAATATTTAAGACAGTATGTTCAACAGTTTTTGCAAATGGTGACAAATTTGTAGAAATAGAAGAGGGTAATGATGCACTGAAATTGAAAGAAGGTATAAGGGCAAGCTTAACCCTCTAACTCCCACGAGTGACCAAGAGAGAATTTCTCCTTACAATATGATACAATATCAACCAGACAAGTGATGAGAATAAAGAAAAATATCAATTTGGGGATAATTAGTTGATCCAATACTAAATTCTCTGAACTAACATTAAAGAATTGTATGGTTGACAGTAAGGAGAATTTACAAATTTGATCTTGGAGTTAAAGGGTTAAGAGAGTCAAAGAGTTAAACCGTAACACTTTAGAGGCAGCTGAGAGCATTTGTAAGGATGCTATATTTCACAGAAGCTTCAAGAGGTTTCCAGCTTCATTTCAAAACACCATATTTCATTCAACAAACTGCATGATAGATACACATTGGCAGATCTAGAAGGAAGGTGTAAGTTGTCCACATCCCACCTCCTCTTAAAAACCAGTGAGTTTTTTACTATTTGTCTAAGAAGAAAATTCTTGCAATGACAGGATCACACATTACCAACTGATAGTTTAATTTTACCTAGGAGATTCTTCTATGACTTTCTGGTTCCGTCTCTGGATAGAACATTCTCTTTCATTCACATAAACCTACATGAAATGCATAAAATTAGAAAGTTTGATCCAATATTTTGCACCATTACACAAACCCAATTCACAAATGCTTAAAAAAGCAATTAGTTATTGCTTAGGGGTTGAGGCAACATGAAAGGAAATTTCTGGGCCAGTTAGGAACAAAAGACCATTACAAGTACACCAATTTGTTGCTCACCTGTTTGTGACATTTCGTGATATGTTAAACATGCAGTGCATAAAAAGCTGGTGAATGGGGCTCATGGACAGAAATTATTCAAGTTTAACTGTTACTGAACTGTTAAATGAAAACTTACAGCATTCCCATACTTGTCTCCAAGAACCTTAGGAAAAGGATTAAAAAAAAAAAAAAAGAATGAAACCAAATTTGTTAAAAAACTTTGTACTCTGGACCAGCAAAATAAATTTGAGCAACATTCCACACATTCATGTGGTGAATCATTACTACTCATTTAATCAGTATACTGATCACCCAGTTAATATACCACAAAAAGATGATTTTAACATAATTAGGTATTCCTAAAACACAAGGGAGCATACATATCTTTAGTTTTGCTTCGATGAATAATGAAGGATATTTCTAGTTTGCCAATCAGAGCATATTAATTTATGTTACCAGCATTCTGTACCTGAATCTCAATGTGCCTTGGATTGTCAATAAACTTTTCCACTAACAAACGGTCATCTCCAAAACTGGATCTTGCTTCTTGGGATGAGAGTCGAAACCCTTCTCTGATAGAAAAACAGTATGTCTTTCATATCTTATGATCATATTTACAGCTTTATTGTATTCATTTTGAAGTCACTGATGATCCTTGCAATCTAATTGCCTCCAACAGTGTGGTAAAGGGTTTAAGTAGAAAAGGAAAAAACTACATTTCTTACTTTGTTTCCTCATCATTCCAAGCAATTCTCATTCCTTTGCCACCTCCACCAGCGGAAGCCTTGATCATGACTGGATAACCTAAAGAATGATGAAGTGAAGCCCACAAGCAATCAAGAATGTAAACTTAGGGGTATACTGCCTACAAGCTGGCTAAAGTGTGCTTGGGTCTTGATTTTAAACCATTGACAGACCCCTGGGTTGCTTTAGAAGTAGTTTGTTTGAGGTAAACATACCTTGAAATATTTTCCTAAAGTTTGTTATAAGCCTTTTCTAAAGAATAACAAAACGCCAGAGATATTTATTTCTCACCAGTATGTGCATTTTTTTCATCAGATAATTCTCAGTGGTAGATGATTTCAACTACGTCAGACTTTGTGTTACTTTTTGCTAGCACCATGTTGCTTTCATTTAAGAGATTTACTACTAGACCTGGTTATGCCACAAATTGTAAGTTCGTTTCTATCTCATTTAGTTTTTTGTCCTTGTTCTTGTTGTTGTTATATCTTGTAGTTAGATATTTGACTGTATTCATTATTCATTTTCAGTCATATCACATCTACTCATTTACACCTCTACAAATCTTTACATCTAAATACACGTCCATGTGGCAAATTAATTAAATGTGCTCTCACTTTGTGGCATTCAACATGTAGTATTTATCTACAAGATCAATTTTTAGATGAGACATGTACGTGTACCTGGTGGAAACCACTTGAAAACTTAATTTAGAAAATAGAATTAAAACTTCATTTAGATATTAGCCTCCCAAAGAATTTGTGTTCTGAGTTTGTAACATACCTATCTCGTTTGCTATTCTGACAGCATCTTCATCATTCTAAAGAAACACAAAACTCAAAATGTTACAAATTCAGACAATTTTAATTCTTTCTATAACTTGGAATTTTGTTTGATAACATTTCAAAAAATCAGACAGGAATTTTATTTTGAGAAACCCTTACTGGATTGCTACACTGTCTTACTGTATTAAATGTGTTTTTGTAATAAATATCCATGGCTTGAAATGATCTGTGATCCTTAAACCTTTCAAAGTAAATACCATATAATTCTCCCGCAGTATCACCTCTAAATCAGAAATTAAGGTCGCAAGAGCACAGGAAATGATTCCCAACTGGAAGGGCTCTAGATTGTTTAACAAATATTCCTATTCAGTGCCATAGAAAATTTATAGAGAAAATTAAGGAGAATATTAATAAGCAAAATGATATTGGGGTATACAGGATTAATTTGTGAAGCAACATGGTCTCACCTTTACAACTCCTTCAAATCCAGGAATAATATTGACTCCAGCCTTCTTGCCAATCAGTTTACTTTGAATTTTATCACCCATGGCTTGAATTGCTGCAGCATTTGGTCCAATGAAGGTGATACCAGCTTTTTCCTAAACAGCACATTCAAATAGTTATCATCTATTTAAAAAAATATTTGAAACATTAATAGTTAAATGAAATGAAAATTGGGTAACATGTGCCACAAAAAATTATCATAAATACACTGTCAGAGGTAAACAAAGATAGAAAAAAATAACCCTGTGACCAGTTTTTTCTGTTTTTATCATAAGGGAAAACTTTGTTAACAAATTTATAAGAGAGACAATAAATATTTCATTGCAAATGATAGTTATTATTATAATCCAAAACTTTTTTTGTCATGTGCAATTGGTAATGCATAACATGACCAAATATCCCCAGATGAAACTGGGAGATATTGGAGGATATACCCCATGTACCAAAATGGAAAAATCTGCATTTAAAATCTAATTCAAGATGACAGAGCTTTGTGTGGTTGTACAGAGGAAGGAACATGTGTTTTTGTTCATAAATTGAACCAGAGAAAACTGTAAAGTGAACATCCCATGCAGTGAATGGTGAGCTGTTCTTAAACATTTTCCCTGCATGTTAAAAATATTTGAAGGATATCAAACACAATTGCCTCCACTGTTGTGTCAAATGGAGGCTATTCTTTATTTATCAAGCCTTCACTTTTGCAGAATGAATAATTTCACTACTTATGACTGAATTTTTGTCTCAAATCAATTTTCTACATGGCTGGCATTCCAAGGGGTAAGTTATGCTTACCAGCATTGCAACAAACTTGCCATTTTCTGATAGAAAACCATATCCTGGATGAACCTGCAAGCAGTAGTAAATAATGAGTCCAAAAACATTTAATCTATGCTACATAAGGAGAATATACAAAAACAGATGGAGCGTTCTTATCATAGAATATTATAACACAATTGAAAGGCTCAGAGCAAGAATGACCCCTTGATTTTTCGGCCATTTTTGAAAGTGTTCAGAAGTAGTTGAATTTTGGCATGTGGACTTAGTTTTACTCGATATACACTGTTTTGGTTTTTTTTTCGCTGGTTTGCGCTTCGTTTTTCGAGAAATAACGTATGCAAAAAACCTTGAATTTCGTAGCGGCTTTCATTGAATGAAGCTGAAACAAAAGAAGCCTTTTGTTTCATCAAAACAATACAGCCCCCGAGAACTTGCATATTCATAACCAGCTTAAAGAAAGAGCATGTTTTTTGTTTTGAGTTTAAAACACCGTTTAGCAAATGTAAAATATCCTTGAACAAACTCAAATTGAATTATTCAAGGCAGCTAAAAGGAAGGATTACATGTAACCCTTTTACCCCTAAGATTGATAAGCATTGAACTTCTCCTAACAATATCACACCTGAATCAAACATCAAGATCAGGAGAAAAAAGGAAATGAAAACAAAGTCATGAAGCTCTTGATTGTTAAACAAATTCTCCTTGCAATGCCATAGAAAATGTATATAGAACAGCAAGGAGAAGTTGCATAATGATGCTAGTGTATAAAAGGTTAAGATCTTAGTAGTTAAGGGCTAAGATGTTCATTGTCTACCGCTTGTGCTCCTGTTGTGTGTAAGGCTTCCATGATCGCATCCATGTTGAGATAACTTTGATTTGTTGGAGGAGGACCAACACAGAACGATTCATCTGCCGTTTTGACATGCAGCTAAAATGGAAAATAATTGAAAGTTCAATAATAAAGTTTAAGTCATTTAGTTTTAACCCATAACTCTTTAAATCCCAAGATCTAATTGTCAATTCTCCCCTCTAGCTACTGCAGAATTCCTTGTGTATTAGTTCCAAGAATTTAGAGTTAGATTAAGACAACAACTTCTACCTGATAAGTTTGGGTATTCTCATTACCTGTTTGCTGGACAATGTTTGAGTATCATAGCCAGAAGTTGCATGTTAATCACTTCTGGGAGTTTAAAGGTTTTAACTCTCATGAGTGATCAAGATGGAACTTCTCATAATATCATCACAATAACAAGCAGACAAGTGATGGGAATAAAGAAAAATATCAATAATGAATTTAAGTTTTATTGGCTGATCTAACACCTAATTCTCCAAAATTAAATCACCAGAATTGTATGGCAGACAGTAAGGAGAATTACAATTGAGATCTTGGGAGTTAAAGGGCAAACAGAGATTTTCAGTTAAAAGCCAGTCACCAGTAACTGATTGCTGCTTAAAAGCCCAGAAAGGCCTCCTTTAATTTCCATCAGTTAAGATTTTATCTAATACAATTCCTGTGGTCCTTTTTTCAGAGCTATATCTATTTTACAATTGATAGTTACTCCTGAAGAAAAGGCTATTGTTAAATCTTCTTTTCAAAATGCTAACTTTTGCTTGAGGTTGTATTATGATTATTTGAGATAATTGGTATTATTTAGTCTAATTTGTCCAACAAATAAAGACATAGGAGTAAGGAAAAAGCATTTTGATAGTAAACTCACAGCATTTGCATCTGCTTCACTATAGATAGCAACAGTTTTAATTCCAAGACGTTTACATGTTTTCATGACCTAAAATTAAAAGAAAGAAAAAAGGAAATTCATGTACAGTGTCAAGATGTAATAAAAGTGTAAACTTAGATTACATGCTCCCAGACATATGTTACATACCCTACAGGCAATCTCTCCTCTGTTGGCGATAAGAATCTTGTCAAAAAGCTGCAAGATAATGGCAATCTTAGAGTGAGAGATTGGAACATCTCTGTCAAATAGTTTTTCCAAAGATATCTCATTATCATCATCATCATCATCACTGTCATTATTATCACTGTCATCATCATCATCATTATCCTGATTACAATACAATGCATTCAACCCTTAAACTCTCAGAAGTGATTAACCCTTAACACTCTAACATCAGCATGCATATTCTCTCTACTTTCTCTCTACATTTCTTAAGGTTCTAAAAAGGAGAATTTGTTTAACAATCAAGAGCTTCTTTAGTTGCTGATCATTCCCCTCATTCTCATGACCTTAATGTTTTACTCAGGGGTGATCTTGTAAGGAGAAATTAGATGCCAGTCACTCTTGGGGGTTAATTAAGGAAAGGATTAAGGGGAGAATTAACAGCTAGATCATGGGAATGAAAGAGTTAATATCACTTGTCACATCATATGCAAGACATCAAGTAGATCCATCATGATCATAAATAATTTACCAACAATATAATCACATGAGGTAAAAATAAAGGTTATCAATGATAAATAGTCTGCATTTGCATCTTTAAGCTGGATTTAAAACACACCTGTTCATTCCGAGCCGCTGATGTTTGCAAACCCCTAAACCATGTCTGTGGATATCTTTTGAACCAGGCTGCTCGTTGCTGTGAAATTAAATTATACTGATTATTCATCCATTTATAGTAACATCTATGTGAATTATTTTCACTAAAAATGTTGAAATAAACTGTAAAATTTCTTGACGATGAAAACAGTATGCAGTTTCAGCTAGGAAAGGGGTACAGCAAAAGGGGTACACCCAAAGGTGACCCCTATTTCAGTCCTTCACCCCTTTTGTTAGCAGAGAAAATCGGGAAGAGCTGTTGTGAATATCTAAACAAATATTTTAAGAGTAGAAAATAAAGATTATGACTTGCCACATTTTTCTTTAACATTCAAATTATGCGTAAATTTAATTTCAGTAAAATGCACAAAAACACTTAGAAAGCCATCTAAATAATTACAGAGTAAAAATAGCGCAACGTGCAAACTGCCACGACGGAAGAGAAAAATCTGACTTGATCATGACGAAAAAGTTTTTTACTTGAGGGCACAAGTTTAAAATTAAAAAAACATTAAATATGTTACAAACCTTGCAAAATTTACAAGATCCTTGTAATAAAGAAGAGATTCCAGATCCTACACTTTTTCCAGCCATCTTCAAACGTGACTGAAACAGCTGAGCCTGAAGTTTATCTCTTCAGCGGGTCAAATACTACTGTCCGCGAGAGACTGGAGCAAAGTCAGGAACAGCGTTGTAGTTCGTTTTCAGGCGAAAAGTGTGTTTATTTCTCCGATTTTCATCGTCTGGAGCTGACTATAAGTAATATTTTGCCTTGATTTTCGCATATTTGAATATCTGAATATTTAAGTGAACGTGTCATGTAGACTTTGCTTCAAGTCTTTCAAGGAGTTTGCACTTATTGATGTTTGCACGTGCTAGCTTATAGTATTCCGATTCTGTAGATTATTGTAACTTATCAGTTGCGTTTGATTTCGTTTCTAGTTATTCGAGGATCATGATCATTCCTATTCGTTGCTTCACGTGTGGGAAAGTGATTGGAAATAAGTGGGAAACCTACCTCGGTTTCCTACAAGCAGAATATACGGAAGGGTAAATATTTAGTGTATGTGATTTGAAACATTAAGAAAAAGCAAATCCAGTTCCGGGTTTCTTAGCTTCTTGTCTGAACTGGAGTCGCAAAAATGTCACTGAATGGTCTATTTAGACTCCCCGCAACAGTTTCCCATCGAAAAAGTTCACCACTAGAATTAAAGTCAAGTGAGCTTACATATATACTGAAATAATTTCAAAATTATTAAAGCAAAACTGAGAATTTGCGAAGCAGAGTTCAGGTTGATTTTGTTTTTATATGACAAGTCAGTTACTTCCATTATTGAATTGTTGACTCCCATGCTTGATAATTTTAAGAATGAAGTGTAACATCAAGTAGTATTAACCCTTTACACCCTAACATCAGTATGTAAATTCTCCATACTGTTCTTTATACATTTTCTAAGTTGCTGACAAGGAGAATTTGTTCAACAATCAAGAGCTCCATTAGTTGATGATCATTTCCTTTATTCTCATGACCTTTATGTGTGATTCAGGGTTGATATTGTAAGGAGAATTAAGATGTTAGTCTCTTCGGGGTCAAAGGATGAAGCCCTCTTAAGAATCTTCCCATTCTCATCTGATGTCTTGACTTTGCATTCATTTGATATCGCTGGGAGAAATTACTTCTTGATCACCCTTTAAGTTCAAAGTTTAACACTCCTTTTTTGTCCCATCAGAGATGCTCTTGATGCTCTGGGTCTTAAAAGATACTGTTGTAGAAGGATGCTTCTTTCACATGTGGATCTCATTGAAAAGTTATTAAATTATGCTCCGCTGGAAAAATAAACTCTGCTGCAATTTTGCATTGGTCAACAATGGAAGCTGTGATGGTGCATGCTTACTACTGCAATCTAGATGCAAGCTTCTTGTGTGTACATGAGATGCAATATTGTCACTTGCTTTGTCTTACAAATTACAAGTCTGTTTAACCTATGATACTGAACTTTCTCTCTGTTTGCGACAGTGTGCTAGGCTTAGTTTTCATATGTGCCAGAGAACAATTAAGCAGTTGGAAATTGAAACATACATATAGATTTCTAGGAACTTTTTTCAAAGCAATGGTCCAATTTATGTCTTCTTTTGTTATACTTTGTTGTTCTGTTAATTTTCTTACATAGCCTATGAACTTAGTCTAATGCACCAAAGAAAGTGAAAAGTATTTTATGAAAAATCTAACTTAATATAGCCTTTGTTGTGGGGGCTTTCTTTTTACATTAGGAAATCTTCAGTTTGTTTCTTGTGTTTTCAAGGTTTGACAAAAATGAGTAAACCTCACGAGAACCTTTTTGTAATTGTCTCTTCAAACTCCTCAACATTTGCTTTCAACTTAGTTGTGAGAATTTGAGGTTACATTACGATAAATCCTCTTTCTGAGAAGTATGTCAATTCTTAGAGCCTCTACTGGATTATGTTTCATTGATATTTTAAAGAGAACTACACATTAGTCATTTCTGCAAGTACTGCTATAAGGCAAAGAATACAGTGTACAGTATGCCTTTCTAGTTTGGATTATAATAAACCACTATTTAGAGTTCTATAGTTGATGGAGAGGGAAAGAAAGAGGTTTACTAAAGGTGGGGCTCACAGTGTTCTCCAGATACTTTTTTGGTGGTCATCCATGCAAAACCACTAGCTGGCAGAAGATAAAAATTTATTTCAAATCGAGACAGCTTTTTGGCTGCTTTGACCATTTATAGTTTCTGGAACTTCAGGAGGAAGTAGCCAGTGAAAACATAATCTGTCAGTGCTTCTGGAGAACACTTGGCTCACAGAAAATGTAAATAAGGGGCATAAGAGGGAGAAGTGGGCAGGGGAAGGGATTGTGAGAGTGGTTATGGTGTTTGAACCACGCTTTTGGACGTAAACAATCACCCATCTTGTTTTCAAGGTTATTATAGTCTAAATTTGATTATCATGATTATTTATTGAATTCTCATGACCCATCGGAGAGTCTTGATTATGTATCTTATTAAGAGAAATTTGATTTTAATCATTCTTGCTTTTAATTTGACTGATTATTTAGTTCAGAAGAGCTGTCAGATGAATTTGCGATTTTCGTGTGGCAAATTGTCAGCAACGTCTGATGTCTGTCAGTGCTTCATGAGAACACTGGGCTCGCAGGAAACTTGAAGTTGTAAATAAGGGGCATAACAAAAAGAAGAGGAGAGGGGAGGGGGTTGTTAGGTGTTTGAACCAGGCTTTGAGCTTTTATTTCCAATAATACCTCAGCTGTTCCGGACCCAAGGGTCCTGCCTATGCACGTGACTCCACCCTCGAAACAAAATCACTCGCGAATTTCGTGCAGGCCACTCACAGAGCATGTTACAAAGGCTGATTAGTCTTGATAGAGCGTTCGGCGATCCAGCCCTTGGTGAACGAGATTTGAAGAAAATGGGCGTTGGGATACTCTCTTTTGCTACTTATAATGTAGGTGGCATGATCTCTAACCTATGCCTAATATGAGAAAATGGTCACACTCCATACTAATTACAGCGAAATGTGTGAGGCCTATTCCAGGCGTTCAGCAAATTTCCGTGCGAAATAGTAAATGACACGATAGTACAGGCGGAGCGAATAACGAGAGAGGCTTGGGTAGGGTCGCGTAAAAAGCGACCCGACCCAAGAGAAATGTCCTGTATTTTTTTAATGTTCTGTATTTAAAAAAACTGTTTTGATTTTTAAATGTACTTTACAGTATTTATGACTGTATTTGTAACTACAGGAAAGTTTTATGGAATGAATAATATTTTATCGGTAAGACTAAAAAGCAGTACACTACAAAAAATTTCACAATTAAAATCTAGAATTTGAACATCAAATCTGGAGTGTTTTTTTATATAAGAACCTATTTTTCTTTGTCAGGCTGAATAGGTTCTTATGTATTTGGGTATTAAAATGCCAAATTTAAGCCTGTAGGTTCTTAAATCACTAGGTTCTTATACGCGGGTTTCTACTGTAGTAAACGGCACGATAGTACAGGCGGAGCGAATAACGAGAAAATAAAGGGAACTACATGGGAACGTACGCGCTTGGAAAAACCACTTGTTTAATGGTGAATCTACAATTGGTTCAATAAGGCAGCTTGCCATTATGACAGTCACTGAGTCACTCTTCTGATAAAATGTAAGGTGTTGTATACACTCGAATCAATAGGAGAGAACTACCGTCTAGGCGACTAATCTTACATAAAACTGAACCTTCACATGTGGAAGACACTGCATTTCCTTCTACTCTTCGGTACATCTTCGTAATATAATCGGAACGTCTTCGGGAATTTCTGGACTTCCTTGGGTATGATAAGCTATGTTCACGAAAATGCTCGCCTTCTGAGCATAATACTCACGTCATTGACGTAAAATGCAGTCAGGTGTTCATCCAGAGTTTTTTTTTTTCGTCGTTAGAGAGATGCTACAAATAGTTGCCTATCATCGAACTACATGATGAAACTGTCTGATCGCTCGATACTCGTTCTAGAATAGATCGGCTTTTTCTGTTTCCCAGCTCGAGTGGACAAAACAGCACAAATAAAAGCCGAACCAGTTCCTACCACGAACAAAAAGAAAGCCCAGCTAAGTTTGCAATGGCCGAGCCTGTAAAAATTTGCTTCTTTTCCACAAGCTTGCTTAAATTCAACACTCCCCCAGCCTGAAGGGTAAATACCAAAACCAATCGCCAGAAGAAAGCCTGTGGATTAAAATGAAGAAATAGATAAATTAAGTAAGAACAAGGTAAGATAGTGAGGAAAAGCTTCACTTGAGCATGAGCTTATCCAGATTTCTGACGCATGAAGCAACTAGGGGTTTCACTACTCCCCCTGGGAAGGGTGTTAGTCCATTACAACTTACCCCCCCTCCCACGACATTTAGCTGGTACCCATTTATGTTCTGGGTGGGGGGTGGAGAGAGGCATCGGGAGAGTGGGGTGTAGAGTGCCACGCCCAAGAACACGCCATTATGACCCAGCCAGGTCTCGACGCCAGACCTCTCGATAAAAGCAAGATTGAAAACAGGAGATTGAAAAAAGTTGAGTTATTTTAGTGTGACTTTACCTTCCCTCCCTAAAGAGCAATGGAGAGAGGAAGGAAAGAACAAGACCGTGGTGTTTTGGGGAATTATCCTTAAAGTACCGAAGAGTTTATGGTTCTTATTATCCACAGCGCGGTGTCGATCACAAATCAGATCTACCCTTGAGCCTGGATGTGTGTCAAGTCACAGCATCTCAATAACTGTTTGATTCAAGTTTCCTGGGGTTCTGTATTACTCCTAACCGACGACAATGTCATTCCTTTCTAAATGCGTCTCTGGGAATTCGAAGAAATAGGTAAAAAATAATTTATCTCCAGCTATGTTTTGAATTCACTAATTACTTCCTAGAACGTTATGTTGAATAAATTGCTACTTTGCGTATTATTTTACAGAGAGAGAAAAAAAAGAACGATTAAAAATCTATTAACGTTAGATATTTGACCTTTCCCCGGCGACCTTTTTATTGAAACTCAAACTCGTTAATCGGTTCCTTCCCTTTGTGTACAAACAGACACGGCACGAATTTTCATCTGAATTGAATCGATCACTATTTTTTATATTATCGCTGCGAAAACAATATACACTCTCTTAATGGAGCCGGCATACTTTTGTTTATCAGATGAAATTAAGAACACCACAACAGAGCTTTGTTTTTGAATCAAAAAGTTTCCTTTTCAACACAGCAGTAGGTAATTTTCTTGCGGTCAAATTATTGACCCGAGCATATTTCATTTATTACTCACGAACGAAGGAAATTAATTGAATCTGTTTTGACGTTTCAAGTAAATACTCAACCCAAATTTTACCTAGATAGTTCCATCAATGTTCATTGCGATTTGAACCGGATTCAATTTGTAGTTTTGTGAAATGTAACCTTGGTAATCGTCATTGTGTCAATTTGTCGATTCATCGCGGCTACTTTGTTATTAATAGTCATGATCAGAGCGAAACTGCAATTTACCTCGATTCATTAGAAAGTAGTAGGTGTAATTCTTTTGAACGGAATGTTAACTCTGGAAAGTACTTTCTTTTCACGGAATAGCACTTAGAAATTATCGAGGAAAGTACTCCCAAAATATTTGCACAGGGCTATAATAGCGTTATTCAACTTTGTAAACTTTAATTTTGTGATTAATTGAGAGGTGAGAGGCGGATAATTTGCAACACCGACAACTTAAGCAATTTTCAGGGCAGCGAAGCAAACTAAGTGATAAATCGTTTCAAATTTAACGTGGCTCGGTAAAGAATCCCTTTAAATTCGAAATTTCAACCAGAAAGTTTCGAAAGAAAGTAAACAAACTATTGCGAGGTGTTATATCTAGGAGCTAGGAGCTGCTTGGTAAATATACTCGACACCCTTGTAATGAGATCAGCTTTTGGCGCATTGAGTTTAGTCTCAAATTTTTACTCACCAGCCATTACTTGCAGTGCTCCTCCGACCCGAGCCGAAGTCCTCGTGAGAATGTCTTTACAACAGCAGGAAAATATAGCTGTGAAGGCTACAACAAGTAGGAATCCACAACCGATTCCTATCATCACTGTGCTGGCTTTCCATGCTTCCGAAGGAATGTCTTGAAAACTTGCATATCGGCCACAGGCTCGCACAAGGACTGAGAGCCCGTTTGCTTGTTTTTCTAAGAAATTACATCGACGAAACACGCCTAAGTAAACTGTTGTGTTGTATATCTGTCCCTGTATCCAATAAGGAAGGAAAAAACCCGTAGAAGCCGCGAGCGCGCTCAGAACGGAGAAAATCACCCAAAAGAAGCCAGTTAATGTCAAATTGTTCGACATGACAATATTTCGCTAGTTTAAGTTGGGTTAAGAGTTAAAACCTATGTTTACGAATTGCCACTCCAAATTCTTGAAATCCTGTCGTCTACGCGAATTTTTCGCTGCGTGTTGGCAGATGAAACAGCTGGAAATTCCGGGGTCTTTCACGACTTTAAATATATCCGTCCAAATTGAATGGATTCATTCCAAGTAAACAGTACCAGGGGAGAATTTGTCTGTAACCTACACCTTAGAGATGATGACAATATTTGAACATCAAAGATTACGCGATACTTAATTTATTGTCTCTCCAACAAACAACATCGGATGCGAGTAATTTGAGAGTTCTCAAGTAATAGAGTTTCTTTATCATGAAAGCGAAAGATGCGATTATGGTAATACAACATGCTCAGGTGTGAAGTGCTGTGCAAGTTTTTGCGGTTGATTGCGCCAGGAAAATGAAAAATATAAAGCCACTGTTTTGCTCAGTTGTGAGAATATTGAATTAGCCAATAAATTTAATAAAACTGTCGAATAATAACTTGTGTTTCCGGTACAGAACATAATTTTCACGGCGGTCGCTATCACGGAAAAATCTTGCGTGAATTCTCTCGTCAAAAAAGTTAGTACAATCTTCTGCTTATGGAAACAGTAACTGTTGATAGAGATATTGCTAGAGAGCTTGTAGAACTGATCCTATTGCACAAAACTTTTGCAACTCAGAATATTGTCTTACAAATTAACAGGTTACACAAACATTTAAGAAATAAAAGAACGAGATTGTTTTTGAACGTAAACAATCCCCCATCTTCTTGTTTTTGAGGTTAATTCGGATATCATGATTATTTCTTAAATTCTCATAACCCATAGTGGACTTTTGATTCTGTATCTCATTAAGAGAAGTTCAATTTTAATCAATCTTGCTTTTAATTTGACTGATTATTTAGTTCAGAAAAGCCGTCAGATGAAATTGCGATTTTCGTGTGGCAAATTGTCAGCGATATCTTCGCCTCCAGAGGAAATCCAAAGTTATGAAAGCAGTGAATTGTTTACAAGATATAAGGATTATCAGCTCCGCGGCACGATTTCTCGTCTTTCCGGCGTGGCTGGAGCTGTGTTATCTCGAGCTTACGATTTCTATCGAGGATAATCCGTTCAATTACTTCATAATAGATTCGCAGAACAGATAAAATATTCCTGATAACCAAAATCGCTCTGAAGATATTAAGTTTCTATCGGAAAAACTAGTCTGAATTGTTAATGGTTGCTGTTGGTCCCCAAACTTCCACAAACATCTCCTTAAGATAGGTCATTGCTGAGCTGACTAGATCAGAGGTCACCTCAAGCTCATTTAAAAAAGTATGAAGTGTGATTAACTGCCTGTTCTGAGAAGATTTTCAGTAATAAAAGGGATTTGTGAGGTTGATCTTAGTAACCAGGTAAATTTTTAAACAGCTTAACATTTCCACTGCAAATTAATCAGAGGTGGTACAATAGTTGTCAACTCTCGCCCCCGCTATGACGAACAGAGACTAAATCTTCGCGCACAGCAACAGCAAAACAAATTCCGGATCCGGTATTACCTACCACAGCCATGACGTAATTGGACACTTCGCGTGACTCCAAACCAGCATTGCTAGCGTGGTGTACCTACCCCTCCCCTAACCCAACAACAGTCAACTAATAACAATTTACGGTTAAAGTTGGGTTAGGGGAGGGGTAGTTACAAGGTGCGCAGTTGCTCAGATACTGACGTCGATTCGTTGCTTAACTAATGTTACAACTAAGAATTTACTTTCTGTTGTCTGAAAATGTACACGTTGGCAAAGTACTTTTATCCCTGCGTCCTTAAGTCAATGTGTGCACCCCATCTAAGAAGAAACTGGAAATTCCTAATGAGCGTGACGGTGTACGTTGTTTGTTCCTCTTCACTCTTTAACCCTTAAGAATGATTAGCATCTAATTTCTCCTTACAGAATCGCCACTGAATCAAACATGAAGGTTATGAGAAGAAAGGAAATGATCGCTTGCTGAAGAAGTTCTTGATCGTTAAACACGTTCTCCTTGTCATTATCGTAGGAGACGTAAGGCGAACAGTGTGGAGAATATGCACATTGATGTCAAGTGATAATAACCATTTCTGTCATCTCCTTGCACTGTCGCTTTTTCTGACCCAAAATAAGAAATTAAGGTTACCTTTGCAGAGAGTTGACTGTGTAGTGCAACTTCGGTTTGTTTCATTCAAATTGTACTCTTCTTTTACGTATGTGCTATTATCGGCCGAGTTATAGGGTCAGAAGTACGTTCACTGCTGTCTAATCTGACTAATGTTTTACATTCGAAGTTAGACTGGGTTGAATTATGGGGAATTCTATCGTTCCTATGGTTTGGAAGATGATTATGGTCTTCTTCATAAAATAAACAGGCTTTCTTCTAATACACTTTACCTGCTTATTTCTGTAGTGTGTACTTTGGCAACAGAGCCTTTCAACCTCAGTTTGAACTTTGTAACAAACAAGATTTTCTAAATTTGCCAGGTAGCTGAAGAAGGATTAGCAAATCGGAAGTTAAGTGATTGAAAATTCGAGTTGTAGCTGAGAAGAACAGCTCACTGAAAAGTGTCTATTTTCCTTTTCACATTCTTTTTATTTTTAGGACAAACGGAGCAAGAGTTTTAGGACGACAGTTCAGGGATTTTTACATGCATGACTAACTATAGTTTTGACGTGGACGCTAAGATGGCGATAGGCGAGTTTTTCTTCACTCCTCTAGTGCTGTTGATTGTTCCAAAATACTGCCACGATGAATTCTTTATCAACTTCAACTTCTTCCATGGTATGCTAAGCTCATACGCTGACAGATCGTTGCTTGTATCATGGTTTTGAAACCTTGAGATCTTTTTTTATTTCGGTATAGAATAGTCTGTAGATCTTTTTTGTGTGTCAATATTTCAAGATATCTTGTTGATTTTTTGTTGTTGCAGCTGCTTGCCTGAAGATTGCAATCAGCAAGTGCTTGGGTTATGGAATTGTCGTTGGATCGGCAATGAGTAAGTTGTTTGGAAATTTTCACTCGAAATTTTAGAAATTATATTATTTTCAGAAATAAAAATGATTGATCGATCGAACTTATGTTAAATTGGGGACTGTTGAAGCAATGCCATGCTGAGAATTTCTTGTGATAAGTATAACAGATCTTGCAGCCTATGTGAAAATGTTCCTTTTAGTGTGAGCGATCGCGTGATATCCCCTCCCCCCACATCAGGCAGGGAACACCTCGTGGTGCAAAGAACCTAAGGGCGCAGACTGGAAGCGGAATACACACCCACCTTTAAAAAAGTCAGATCAAGAGCAAGAGTCGATTTTTGCTGAAATTTTGCCAAACGATCAATACATAGAGTATGGCACAACTTGAAGAGATCGTGCATGTATAGAGCCATTCTTGGCTACGTGAGCCATGTGCATTACGACTAAACCTATTAAGGTCACAGATGCTTAATTGATTTTCAACTGCTGCATGCAATGCTTTGACGCAAGCTTCTGCAGCAAGCCCCCCCCCCCCCCACTACAAAACATACCTATGCATATATCAGTTCTTCCCAGCAGCCTTGCCGAATGGTGCATGATGGTGAAATTTAAAAAGATACAGGCCAATACACTGTGCTAAACTAATATGGTATCATCAACAAATTTACTTTTCACAGTCAAAATTCCCCAGATTATCAAGGTTATACAAGCCTCTAGTGTGGAAGGTCTCAGTTTAACAGCTTTCATACTTGAGTTGGTAGCTTTGACCACTTCTGGAACGTACAGCTATGCCAAGTCTTTCCCTTTTAGGTAAGTTTTAATCTAATGAATGAAGAGTAATCCAAGTTTGTACTAGCTTATTAGGGAGGTATGATTAAATGGGTAAAACATGCGCAGTAGGGCTGTATAAGAATTTGTGATCTGTGGACAAATCCAGATTGCAGTGGGTGTTCTCTTTCCAAAAAAAAAACATTCAAAAACATTGATTTATGGTGCAGCAGAACAGTACATTGAACCATTTACACCTAGAATGGATTGACATGTAGTTTCTCCTCAGAATTGTGATGCATTATTCAGCAATCAGGTGTGATGAGAAAAGATACTTTTATCAGATGGAGGGTGTTATCTTGATGGGACAACAAATTCTCCAGACTAATCTACAGGAAGATCTGTGGCAGTTAGAGGGGAGAATTGATAATCAGATCTTTACTTTGAGAGAGAATTTTTTTGTTTTCATTTAAGTGAATAAGGCCTCCTCTGTACTTATGGACTACCAAAAAAGGGGAGGGGAGGGGAGGGGAGGAGAGTTGGGGATGTGTTTTTGCAACATTTTAATTGACTGGCTTGAAAGGATAGACTCAGTTACCAGCTGCTGTTTGTGGAATTTGGATGTGGGTTTAGTGAGAAAGAGTGATCAAACCAGGCCTAAATCAAGAGGTGCATGGATATAATGCTTTAGTTGGCTTCTGATACACCTCTAGATTCTCCTTTCAAATTATTCTAATATCTATACATTATCCAACAAACAGGTAAAGAGAATTCAGTTCAAGGGTTAAAATAGATTTCTCTTAATCCATGGTCTCTCCTTCCTTTTCAGTGCTTGGGGTGAAAATTTCTTCATGTCAATTCAGGGCTGTCTGTTGATCTTGATGTACTTTTACTACACCAGCCGACCTTTGGCAGGTGTTGTTTTCCCAGTGTTGTATGGAGGAATTGTTTATGTTCTAGCATCTGGCCTGACTCCAATGTCAGTGTTAACTAAATTTGCTTCATTTAACATTGGTCTTCTTGCAACAAGTAGGGTGAGTTGCAGGACATTATTGATGCTTTTTTTTTCTTCTTGAATAGTTTTAACTCTTTTGTTGTTCATAGTTGTGGTAACAGTCATTTATTTTGCCAGAGTCTGAATCAAGAAGCTCATGTCTTATCCCTGGGTGGAGTCATCATATTTTTACTTTCTTGCTATTTTTCTGTTTTTTCTGTCATCCTTAGATGATCTACTAACTAAAGGGTTTGTCATTCATCGTTAAGATTGCATTGTGCACCAAGAGATGTACTAGTCTAATGCTAGATTCCAGTTTTAGAGGTCTGGGATCAAGTCCTGGCCAAGTCATTGTGTTGAGTTCTTGCACAAGACACTTAACTCTCCCAGAGCCCCTCTCTATCCAGGAGTACAAATGGGTATGGGCAAACTGCCATGGACATTTTACCAAATGCTGGGGTTAGAAGGGATGAAAGAGAAACTTTGAATGGACTAGCACCCTATTCAGGGAGGAAGGAGAGTAGAAATTTTTGTATTTTCTTCATGTCACTGTACTGATATTCAATTATTCTTCAGCTCATACAGATAGTCACTAATTTCCGTAATGGCCACACAGGGCAACTATCATTCATCATGGTTCTCTTGTTGACCTTGGGAGCCGTGGCGCGCATCTTCACCACTATACAAGAGACTGGCGACAAGGTCATGCTTGTGACCTTTCTTGTGTCAGTTACGCTGAATGCCACTCTCACCTTCCAAGTTCTCTACTACTGGAATGTCAAGCCTGACTTGAAGAAGAAGGAAGCCTAAAGACTTGTCTTTTGATGTGTAACATATACTCATACATTTTTAATCCTGTACACCTTAACATCAGTATGCATATTCTCCATACTGTTCTCTATACATTTCCTAAGGTGCTGACAAGGAGAATTTGTTTTACAATCAAGAGCTTCTTTAGTTTGTGATCATTTCCTTTAATTTCGTCTCTTTAAACCTTAGACTCCCAGAAGTTATTAACATTTAACTTCTCCCAATAGCATTCACACATTAGTCAGCAAAAAGGTAATGAGAATACTCAAAATTATCAGGTAGAAGTTATTATTTTGATATAACAGAAGATTCTAGTAACTAATTTACAGAGAGATGTGTGTGTAGGAGTTAGAGGGGAGAATTGACAATCAGATTTTGCGCATTAAGGGTTAACGTCTGATTCAGGGGTGACATTGTAAGGAGGAAGTAGATGCTAGTTACTCTTAGGGATCAAAAGGTTAAAATTCTGGATGAGGTATCTTCAATAAAATCACTGCTGCACTTATCCCAGCATTAAAAGGATGTGGAAGATGTGAGATGAAAAAATTTGTGGTAATAAAATGATAGGCATTGGGAATTTTTTTTCTGATATTTGGGAAGGAATTTGATAACTCACAAAGCAATGTTTTTGTGTTTCCTCCCTTTGGTCTTTCTGAGGGAAGTTGTGGTAGTCCTCAACCATGTGAAACCTCTCTCAGTACTTTGGATGCAAAGAAATTGCTTACTTTCCATTTTCTTAGATGAACAATTTAACTTGTTTATTCATATTAATTTTACATACCCCTTACTATTTGTAAAGCTTTACTTACAATAACACCTCTTTTGTCTTCGAAGGTTAAGTTATTTCCTCAGTCTATTCTACTGTAAATTCTACTCTAATTTTTCTTTAAGAGTGAAAAAAAAATGTGGTAGTTTAGTTACATACAAAGTGAGTTTGCAATGCAGACAGTGTTGAATTCTAAATTTGCATTGTACATGGTGATATTTTCACATTTAATTGTTGTGTATGAAAACATTTTGAATGGATTTATCAGAATGATTTACATCATTAATAAAAGTGATTCCCATGAGTGAAAGTGTGGATTGTGTTCCATGTCTCTGTTAACCCCTCAACTCCCACGAGTGACCAAGACAGAAATTCTCCTTACAATATCACTTCAATATCAACCAGATAAGTGATGAGAATAAATAAAAATATCAATTTGGGGATAATAAGTTGATCCAATACTAAATTCTCTGAACTAACATTATAAGAATTGTATGGCTGACAGTAAGGAGAATGACAAATTTTATCTGGGAGTTAAAGGGTTAAATCTTTACACCCTAACATCAGCATGCATATATTCCATACTGTTCTAAATACATTTCTTATACTACTTACAGTAGAATCTGTCAAATGATCAAGAGCTTCTTGAATTTAGGATCATTCCCTTTATTCTCATGACCTTGATGACTGACCTAAGGGTGATACTGTTGGAAGAAATTAGATGCTGATCACTCATAAGGGGTAAATAGCTCCTTGGAAAGAGAGTAAAAGAGGGTAATATTGAGGTCACCCTTACAGCATTCAGCAAGATTTGAGCCATGTAGAATAGATCATGCAAGTTCTTCTGGGGAAATTTGTATTGCTACGCTCATAAGTTGAGATTGAGAGACAAAAAGAGTGCTAGTTCTTCAATAGCATTTAGATATTTCTCGCTGCATCAACTGATGGAGAAAGAAAACTTTTTTCCTATGAAGACATTTTATTTATCAGTCTTATCAAGAATTGTTGAGAATAGAGTTATGTACAGAAGATTGGGAAAAAATAATTGTATCTGTCAAATCTTCAATTTTGAGGGATTTCTGGGCCACTGGTATGTCACGCAATCTTTGTGACATACACGAAATGTATTGGGTATTCATCTTTGACCAGCGGTAGAGGAGCAGGGAAGCGCGAGAAAGTGAAAGAGGAAAGTCTTGTGGAAGAAATATTCCATTCCAGATGGCAGTAAGCGAGTTCTTTTTCACTCCGTTGGTTCTCTTCATTGTTCCAAAATATTGTCACGATGAATTTTTCGTCAACTTTAACTTTTTCCACGGTAAGCTAAGTGTTTGGCTATCCAATTAAAGATATATCTATTAAATTAAAGTCTATTAAAATGTCATTCAGAAGTGATAGGGAAGTGATAGGGAAGTACATTTTGTGACATTAAGCTCGAATGAAATGTTAAAACAAATGCTGGTTAGCAATTGTGCAACATGTAACTGATCTGTCAAAGTCTCTTCGATATTCACTGGCGATTTCGTGGTTACTCTCTATTACCGCTTGCCAAGATGATGAGACGACGATCGATCCATATTTTTTACTTTTCCTTCACAGTTGCTTGTCTGAAGATTGCACTCAGCAAATGCCTTGGATATATTATTGTGCTTTTAGCTCCGATCAGTGAGTCAAAAATTCTTATACTTTTACACGAGGCCTAATAGTTGTTTACCAGAACGCTGCATGCTTGAGTGACTTTCCAAGAACTTAATTAAATCATAAATCACGCAGTAGGGTTCTTCTTTCGTCACGCGGTGCGAAATGTCTCGGAGAAGAATCCAAGGAAGGGTAGCGGGTATTCCTTTCCTATATAAGCTATAAAGACATAAACTGTTCCAGGGGGATTGGCCTATGAGTCATTTTGGTATGAAAAGGTTGAATATTAATTTTATAACTGAGTTCGATCAGAAAGGGGCCAGGAGAGTATTCAAACATATTTATCGTCTGAACTTAAACGAGTGATAGGAAGAGTTGCAAAACAAAATATATCATTCGAGCTATAATTTTGGAGGTAATTCTCCAATCCTTAACTCCAGCTTTGATGTGAAGCCCATTTGCGCCATAACAAAGCGCATTGCTTCCAAAACCAAGAAATTTTTTCAGTAAACAGGTTCCAAACTCAAAGAAGTTTTGATTTTGGAGGCCACGTTAAAAAATTAATGAAGAAAATGACATGTTTCGGCCTAAATTAGTGTCTTTTAGAGTGTCAGGAATTAAAGATATAGGCAGCACATTCATACAAAAGTTTTTAAAGTGTCACCCTCCAGAGAAACACCATAACAGTAAAATGACGTTTTACTAATACCCAATCGTTTTTGGACACTATTGTCCAATTTGAGTTTTTGGACATTAGTGGCCAATTTTAGATTTTAGACATTAGTGGTCGATTTTAGAGTTTGGATGCTAGTGGCCAATTTTAGATTTTGGACACTTGTGGCTGTTTGGGTTTTTGGACACTAGTGGCTGATTTAAGATTTTGTACACTTGTGGCTTATTTTAAATTTTGTACAATAGGAACCGATTTGAGATTTTTTACACTAGTAGGTGATTTTAGATTTATGACACCAGTGCCTAATTGGAGATTTTGGACACTAGTGGCCAATTTTATATTTTGGATGCTGGTGGCCGATTTTAGATTTGGGACACTAGTGGCTGATTTGAGATTTTAGACACTACTGTATAATTTTAAATTTTGGACACTAAAGGCCGATTTTAAATTTTTGACATCAGTAGTCAATTTGAGATTTTGGACACTAGTGGCCTATCTCAGGTTTTGGACCCCGGTTTTAGAGTTTGGATGCTAGTGGCCGATTTCAAATTTTGGACAATTTGAGATTTTTGATACCGGTGGCTGATTTTAAATTTGGAATTTAGTAGCCAATTTGAGATTGTGGACACTGGTGGCCCCCTTTGGATTTTGGACACTAGTGACTGATTTGAGATGTGGGGCACTGGTGGCCGACTTTGGATTTTGGACCCTAGTGACCAATTTGAGATTTTGGAAACATGTGGCCAATTTTAGATTTGGGACACCAGTGGCTGATTTGAGGTTTTGGACACTAGCGGCCAATTTGAGACACTTGTGGCTGATTTTAGATTTGGGACACTAGTGGCTGACTTTGGATTTTGGAAAGTAGTGGCCGATTTGACATTTTGGACGTTTGTGCCTGATTTTAGATTTAGGACACTAGTATGCCTTTTAGACAATAGTGTGGATAAACGACTGGGTTTGCACTGCATTAATTTGAGAGGATGACAAATGAACACAACATAAGTCTTTCTATTGTCGAATCTGATATGTTGAGGAAGTCTTAATCTCCTCAAACATTTAACTCCCAGTTATATTTCTGATTTTTAAATCAGAAATAAAACTGATTTTTCCTCTAATAACAGATGTGGTAATTTTTTTTAATTCCAAAAATCAAATCTTGTTTTAGTCAAGTTTCCACAGATACTCAAGGTCCTACGAGCATCAAGTGTGGAGGGCCTCAGTCTGGTGGGCTTTGTCACAGAACTGGCAACACAAACAGTAACGTTCAGCTACAATTCAGCCAGGGGATTCCCATTCAGGTCAGTGATTAAACCGCTTGACTGTCGACAAAGTTGTCGATGGCAAAGATTTATGAAGATACATAACGCACCCCCCCCCCCCATCCCCCTTCCTATCTATACACCACCTCCTCTAAGTCATTACACTTTTTGTAGTGGACCCCATGAAATCCAAAGCGGCCCGAGGATTTCCGAGTACCACATGTCAAGGACACTTTTCCCTTCAAAGCACTCTGGAGACGCGGTTGTCCCGAGACGCTCGGAAAAGTTCCAGGACAACCCATTCTCCAGATACTCTTTTTTTTCTCCCTCTGTTATCAGAGGAACGGGAAAGTACGTGGCGAGGTCTTTTCTTCTCTTGTATCGGTTCGAGCTTATAGCGCAAAGTTTTTGATTGGGAGTGAGACTTAGGTCAGAAAGCGCGCGAAATTTTTTATGCACATGTGCGGAAATTGTAAACACTTAACCTTGACTGTCAGGTTTCTGAAAATCGGGTGTCAAACTAGAACTTTCCTAAATTACCTCCCTAGGCTAAGTCTCTGCTATGAAATCTCTGTCAGCCCAGTTTAAGGGCTCAAATGAAAGGGTCATGAGTACCCCCCAAAAATTCCAAAACTCTGCAGTCTCGGGGACTGAGAAAATGCGGGCTTTTTGGTATCGAGGATAATTTTTTCTGCAACATTTCACCTTTAATTTTGATATTGCATTCTTTTGTTTCAGTACCTGGGGTGAGAGCTCGTTTAAAGCTTTCCAGACCTGTTTTCTTGTTTTTCTGTATTTCTACTACACCAAAAGAACTGTAGCTGCCATCTTGTTCCCTTTCCTGTATGGAGCCATTGCATACGTACTCTTGTCAGGACTAATCCCCATCTCTATTTTGGTTCAACTGACTTCTTTGAATATTCTACTCCTTTCCATAAGCCGGGTGAGTTCATTAAAAATAATGTTAATAGCTTGTTTTTGCACTTATCAGAGCTAGCGGCGCGTTTTATTAATCTAGGGAAGGGGAGGGGGGGGGGTGGAGTGCTTATTGAACCCCTAGCCAACTGCATATACGTTCTAAAATTTCCCAATGTCCTTTGCGCAATGCATTGGTGCAAACGAACCCTTTTTATTCAACTCTGTCAAACAACCAGAAGAATTTGGTACGAGATAAGTCCTTCTCCTTAGCAGGAGACCTTTTAGGAAACCTGAGGACCTTATGTGTCCTGTCTGAGAAACCTCGTTCCTAGCGTTCTCTTTCCTCCTCCATAAGAGAGGGCTCTGGAAACGAAGATGTTGTCTTAGTTGGTGTCCGAGAGCGTGATGCAAGAATTTCAAGGACCAAAATTAAAACGTTTTTTGTCGACATGGAACTTTTTTTCCTCCATCAGGTTTCTCAGATCACGGAAAACTTCCGCAATGGTCACACGGGTCAGTTGTCATTCATTATGGTACTTCTGCTATTGTTTACCCACGCGGCCCGTATCTTCACTACAATGCAAGAGACTGGGGACCAATACATTCTGGCTATTTTCACCCTCTCGACCGTATTCAACATTACCATGGTTACACAGATTTTGTATTATTGGAACGCAACCATTGATGCCCAAAAGAAGAAAGAGTAGGAAACACCTAATGTTTTGATTCGCTCGAGAATAATCTAGGAGAACTTTATTTTCATTGCTATTAGTGACTACGAGAAGTCCCTCCTTTTCGGCGAAGTCCGTCGAGCGAAAAAAATTTGATGTTTGCATACCGTGGGGAGCTCTGTCGAGCACCTCGCTCCCAGGGCTCTCCGCGTCGCCTCAACATCAATTTTTTTTCGCTGATTTTTCGCCGTAAAAGATGGCTGCTCATATTCTATGTTAAAAATTACGATTCAAGGACAATCTGCGAACGTTAAACCCCGCAGAAATTTTCGTGCTTCTTGCTGCTTTAGGCTGATTTTGTTTCGATGCAGACAGTGAAGTGAAGTTTCCACAATTTGAGTAAATTACTTTATTATCAACATTTGTCTAATGAGAAATATTTGGTTTTCGTAAAAAAGCTACATTTGACATTTATTAAATTTGCCTGCGCTTATTAATTCTAACTAGTATACGTCTGTAGTAACCTAAATAACTATCTTAAATATTATCACCTGTGGCACAGGCATTTCTTAACGAGAGATCGCATAATTCACGCTTACCTTTAAAGGAACGCATTAACTGCTCGCCAAGCAACTTGAACCAAGAAAAAAATTGTTTTAAAGTTATTGACTGAAACATGAAAACTCTCTCTTTTTTGTGTTGTTACAAAGTTCAAAACACACTTACACCTATCTACCTACCGATTAAATGCAATAAATATTAAATTATATAAATAATCAAATCTCTGAGTGAGTAGACATTGCTTTATGGAGGTTTCGCTCCGTTGCAAGTTCGCCCCCTAAGGTAAACTAGCTCGTCCCCATCTTTATCAGTACAGAAAAAGTACGTTGGTCAGCACTTCAGAATTATAACAGTGCCAAACCAGTTAGATTAAGACTGGAGTAATGTAGCGGATTCGCATCACTCGCGCTGTAGTTTGCGTCGGTTATCCTTACTTTTTTTAACCTTACCCTAACTCTAACATTAGTATGCAGATTCTCCATACTGTCCGCTAAATATTTCCTAAGGTACCGGCAAGGAGAATTTATTTAATAATCAAGAGCTTCTTAAGTTGATGATCATTTCTTTGATTCTCATGACCTAAATGTGTGATTCGGGGGTGATATTGTAAGGAGAAATTAGATGCTAGTCCCTCTTAAGGGTTATGGGGTTAACGCGCCGGCAGATTTGCAAGTTGGCGAACTCGCAGTAGTGGTAGCGGGCGAACTTGCAATGGGGGGAAATCTCCACATACCTAAACAGTTGGTTTACAATGACGTCGCCGCCGTTGTCGTGGTTTGCTTAGGATTTTTAATACAACGTCGCGTTGGTCATCGACGTGTCGTGAATACGCCATTGTCTGTTATGTGAACTTGCAAGGCTCGAGTTAGCCCCAGCAGAGCTAATCAGCGATGGAAAAGACTGGTTTGCCTGTGGAGTGAGACTTGATGACAAAGGGTCGCCGTAGAGTGATAACTGAACGACCTCAGTGATGTTGAAGACAAAAGCGACCAGGAAGTACAAGATAACAGGGTACTGCAGGTGATACAGATAAAGTGACAGGGGAACAGGAACACGCAGATGGCTGAGGAAAAAAAAAGAAGTAAACGAGAAGTTCTTGGCTTCTTCATTCTAGTGTCGCAAAACAACAGCATCAACAAGAAAATAACAACAACGGTGAATACGAGCAAAGGTTTGCGCTCAGACGAACCGTAGCTAACTAGTCGGTTCCCCAAAGTCCATGGTCAGATTCCCAAATTTCAAAGAGAGGATAACACTATTGAGTGGATAAATCTCTATCCAGTTGATAGTGCAGAAAGTTTTGTTGACACTTGTCCGCTGTATAGCAGTTTATCCGTTAGATAGTGTTATCATCCTTGGAACAACCAGGTCTTGGTCTTTAGCAAAACAACTTGCAAAGAAATAAGCTAAGGTTCTAAATCTCACCTGAAATCCAAACTATTTGCTCGTCGCAGCATTACAATAAGAAAAACACCTAATTCAGCAATCGATGTCAAGGATGCAACGTTTCCTGAAACTAAAGCAGTGCCCTGAAAAAAAATTTGAACGCCAGTTATCCTGTCATAAGGGAGGGGTGGGTAGTGCAACGAATGAAAGTAACAGGGAGTAGAGAGAAAGCATAGAGTCACTCACCACAGGGTTCAGTACCGCGACAGCAAAAACAAATCCAAACAGTGATAAAAGTATGAAAATCTTCATCAACCTGTCAAAATTTACAAGCAGCAAACTTCTTTAGATCAACCTCTCACTTCCCCTACCACCATCAAGTCAGAGTTAAACCTTTACACCCTAACACCAGTATGCATATTCTCCAAACTGGTCTCTATGCATTTCCTAAGGTGCTGACAAGGAGAATTTGTTTAATAATCAAGAGCTCCTAAAGTTGGTGGTCATTTCCTTTATTCTCGTGTAAGGTGGAATTAGATGTTAGTCAATAGTCAAACAGAAATGTGAAAAGAACTGATGGAAAGCATAAATCTCTGGGGTGAAACCAGATTCTTATAAATACAATAAAAAAGTATTGTATGAAAAACGGTGAGAAAATGAACATTTCCAACTCATTGCATCACTGACCATCTGATATTAGCGCAGCAGTAGATTCCTTCCCGTTTGGTGTTTTGCCAGGACGTTGCAGCCGTTGGATAAAATGTGTTGAACCAGCTGTCAACTGTAACATGTAATGAACACTACACAATGTAAAATGTAATCCTAACTACCCTGCAGAGGAATCTCTCTTTGAGCTGAGGAGGGGGAGGGTGGAAACTGTCAACTTTCACAAGCATACACAACTACACAATGTAAGATGTACTTTACACCACCCTGCAGAGAAATCTTTCTATGAGTTGAGGAAGTGCAGGGTTAAGGCAAAATAACAGCTTGCTCTACATCATTTTTGAAAATCTGTTTCAAATTTTACATGAGCTTTCACCATTATAAAATGACTGAAAAATGTCTGCCCTCCCCCACAAGGTTACACTTAAAGTCCCAAATGAAACAATTAACTTAATCAGTATTTTATCTCTCCTTGCAGTGCTAGAAGGTTCTATGTTGCAATCTACTCACTCATGTGTTTCAATCCTGTTCCCATTGTCAAAAATGAGACCGTTACACTGATAATCAACAATATTTGAATGAGAAGAGGAATCCAACCATGGGCTGGGTAGTTTGATCCTACAATCTGTGAGGTAGACAAAATGGAAAGAAACAAAGTGAACCTTCATAATATATCAGGATGAAGGGTATTGGAAATAAGTCTGTACTTGTGGCAAGTGGCTTATCCAGATGGAGCTTATTCCAGTTTCCATAGCATGAAATGACCAGGAGTATTCCCCCCCCCCCTCCCCCCAGCACTTCATCAAGCTTCCTTTAACAATCACCAGTACCCATTTATGCTCCTGGGTGGAGAGAGGCATGGGGAGAGTAAAGAGGTTAGCCCAGGAACACAACACCAACACTAGACCTCTTAATCTATAGTCCAGGAAGATTTCAAGAGATTTAAAACAAAGTGATTGGTGAAACAGCACAGAAAAAGTGTAGTACCTTTGCTAAGGGATAAGTAAATGTAACACCATATCTTGCAACCCTGAAAGAAATAATTTCTATCAATTTTAAAATGTTATGTTGAAACAGTTTTTCAACTTCAAGGGAAAAAAAGGAAGATACTGACCAAAAAGTGGTAATTGTTACATAGGTCAACACTCCAGCAATAACAGATCCATAAAACCAACGAATCTGTGAAAATTTGAAGCAAAAAAGAATTTCTGATTTTGAATTTTTTTCACCTATTTCAACCCACATCCCTGATTTAGTTATGAACAATTTACATTTCACAGTTTTTTGATATTTCATTTACACAAGTAGTAATTATTAAATTAAACAAAAAGAGTAATAATTGCAAGGTCAAATTTATTTTAGTTTGCTCCTTACCTCTGAAATGCAAGGCTTCATTTTCGCAAAAAGCACTGGGAGGATGTTGACAATCCCTCCTGAAAATTTATTCAAATTATATAAAAGTCAAAGGATTGCAAATACCTTAAACTGTGCAGTTACGAGAATCCATCTTCCAAACCTATCACTATCAATCCCACCACACATCCAAAAATATTGCAAAAGAGATAGTACCCAGGCCAAAACCCTTCACATAGTTCCCTCAGTAATAAATATAAATGAATAATCATTGTTCTCTTTAGGTCAACTGATCACTAGAGTACACTCACCCATTGTAATTGTGCCAGAAACCAAAGGCTGACCAACATATTTCAATTCACCAAAAATTGGAACACTGATTATGTGGCTCTCTAGGTTCAAAGTTGCCCAAACCTGGAAAAAAATATTTTTGCTGATTCAATCTCACTAATAATTAATATAAATCTATAAATTGTCATTGACAGTAGAGTAAGTTGAAGAAGTGATGAAGGGCAGCATGTAAAATGTTCTTTAAAAAATTCAACAATGTAAACTTAGAAAAATGTGTTTTAAATATTATTTTAAATTTTTTTTAAACATATTATCAAAAGAAATCAGTTAAGTGTCATTCATCCCTTGGTTATTGCTCATTGATCTTTCAACCATGTTGAATTCAAATCTATTAAACCCATCTGTCAAGGAAGGTAGTTGCTACATTTTTTGAAAAACTCATCTGAATACTTCAAACTGACATGAAAAGAAACACATATGGCATAAAACCCAACAACTAGTGACAAATTCCAATTCATCTTGGGTACAGTGGACAAAAGCCTTTATAATGAAGATTAATTTATAAAATCTGACTTAGAATTCTCATTATTGATTTTTACCCAGTCAGACTACAGAACTATGTACTTACAGTGACAGCAAGGATCAAACATCCTCCCCCAAATGTAAGCAAAGAAACAAATGGTAGGACACAGAAATTAATAAAGATAATCAGGAATGCACAGCTCCAAACTAAGACTGTTACTCCATAATCCACCCTGTGAATTTAATAGAAAAAGGATAATCTCTTTTGTTTTGTATCTTGTCTCACTGTATGGAATCCAAAACTTGCTTTGAATGACATAACTTATCATTTTAACGACATTTTAAGTGAACATACCAAGCTATCGAATAAAGTATTTTGTGATCCAGTAACAGTCAAATTGAAAAGTGAAAATCATTTTTAAAATGAGAGATTCACAATAAAATTCAAGGTAAGTTTTTTAGGTGGGTGGCTTTTGGTTTTCTTGAGACAAGATTTGATTTGGCAGATTAACTTTAAATAAATAGATTGCCTTTGAGCTCAAAATTAAATTAATATAAAAATATGTGCAAAAAGCTCTAGTTTAAATCGTTTGCAACGCTTTGAGATACAATTATCATGTCATAAATAAGCTCCTGATGAGAAAAACAAAGAATTCCACAAGAAGATGGAATAATTTTTGCACTTTGAATGGATTAACTGTAGATTTACTGATGCATGCAACAGGCAAAATGCAGAACACACACCTAAGATTCAGAAGCTGCAAACATGCCTGACTCCCAGCAAGAGCATAATTGATGAGAACAGAGACACTAAAAACATCAAAAGAAGAAATTTTATACTATATTTTCTGACATTCTCAGAAATTCTCAAAACTGAGAACTGAAATATTTTAAAAATGTATAGGCATTGTATTACAACCAATCACTGGATTGCACCTCCATTTTGACTACAAAATAACAAAAATTAGTCATAGATTGAAAAAACTTTGGTGTGATGAGGAGTCTAATTCAGTCTGTAATCATAACAGTGATTATGTTTGCACAGCAAAGAAAGTGAGGACCATTTTAAAAAAAGTTCTTACAACATCAGCAGCACAATCACTTTAAACAACTGCTTGGTGCCATTCTGCAGGAAAAGCTCAGCCATTGTGTGAAGAGAGGGACAATGTTTGATTACATCCTGACCATCTGTTGTCCTTAACAAGTCTGCCCCATCCTCTATGTCTGCAAGAGAGCACACGACAACCATAACGCATAAAAATAGTTTGTAAATTTGTGGTAAAGTCAGCACTTGAGCCAAGACTGATCCACAATGTGGGAACTTACAACACTTTCCATAGCATGAAGTGATTGGGTGTATTACTTCTTCCCCTGGACAAGATACTAGTTCATTTCCTCCCCCTCTACTCCCAGCATTTCTTAACAGTTCATTGATACCCATGTAAAACTTCTGGATGGTGAGAGATACTGCAATTTAGAGTAAATTTTCTTGCCCAAAAACACAACATAATAACCAAGACAGGGTTTAAAACCCAGACCTCTCAATTCACTGCCAGCTTGCTAATTATCAAACTACCACATCTTCTGTGAATTTATTAATGAAAGACTTCCCAAGCTTAATAGACAGCCACTCAAACTTTTAAACTTTTAAATTACAGAAGGTCTGGTAAAGAATAAAAGTGATTTAAAACAATCCTGGTCAAGCTTCTGTTTGTGAGGTGGGTCACTTGCAGATGGTTTTTCAACCCCTGCCAAACCCATCCAGCAAACCACACAATGTTTCAAGCATTTCCAAGGATGGATTATTATAAAAAGACAAGTTTTAGGCTATGAAAGTGAAAACTCATAGCTAGATATTTCAGGATGTACAAAATGCAATGTTGTTCCCAAAGGTTATGACTTTAAAGGACCAAATATTGAATTGAAGTAAAGTAGAGGTTACTGATGATGAGGTTTTGAGTAACATGGCATCAGTTAAACAGGTATCAAGGACAAAATTATGTGTATTAAAATCTTCCTACCTTTGTCATTTCTGCAGAGCTCCAAGTCCATTTCTGATTTACCATTTTGTTCCTCATCTTCATTTGTCTCCATATCATTCAGGGGAACATCTTCCTCCTCTGTCAGCTAAATGTGTCAAAAGAAAAGAATTAAGAATTGTTAAAAAAAAAAAAGCAATGTCAACCCCTTGTGGTTGATCCTGGCAACTGTTGAACTTTCTTGTCTGGAGAGTAACATGCTAGCAGAATTCAATACAAGACTTACGACATTTGGTTCAAAGACATCTTGTCTATTAGCTTGATAGCTTCTTTGTAACAGCTCCAGGAAATATAACACTATCAAAATCTGCCAGTTGAGAACAACACATTATAATTATGATAAAGATCAAAATTATTAGACAAAAGAGTACTTAATGAATATTTGGCAACAAATATCTCTAAGTACTTCATCACCCTGTACCTATACATTTAACTTTGGGCACAAGATCACAATCTCTCCCCGCATTGGGTACATTGTTTAACCTGTTAATGTAATTTCGGACATTCTTGAAAATACCTTTTTTTTCTACATGCTATTACAATCCAAACAGTTGTTGCTTGGAGCACTGTATTCCACCCAGGCATACATGCAAATGACCAGATCTGCTGTGGTTATCCAGCAAAATGAAAAAATATCAACAACCACTGCAGACAAATTTTAAGTTCTTTGCAAGAAGACTCTCTGCAAGATAGATTGATTTTACAAAAGGTCTGCAAAGGGGTTTGACATAAGAAATAAGAAACCATAATTCTCCCATTAAACCCCTTGCAAGCTTATTGGCGACTTAAACAATCTTGTAAATAGAATAGGAAAGTAGTAAGTTTTGAGCTTGGTAAAGAAATAGAGAAAGTTGTTTTTTTTTCATCTTTTTATGAGTGTGGGACAAAGAAAAAATTCTGAGTCCCTATGATGAATCTGACCTTCAAATTCCATGATCCCCTTTTGAATCCTCTACCACTGAGCCACAGAGACTCTATGGTGAGCGAGGTCTATTATGAAGTTCGTATGACATGCATCCTGCATACTACTACGATCAGCAATGTTGATAATCTTATGATTTGTGAATAGAAACAACCTTGTGGGCAAAGCCACTTATGTTACAACACTAACAAGAGCGGCACATGTAGTGACTTAATGGTCAGTGCGCTGGACTCCAGGTCAAGAGGTCTAGGTTCAAGACCAGGAGCAGTCATTGTGTTGTATTCTTGGGGAAAACCCTTTCCTCTTAACTAACAGTACCTCTCTCCATCCAGGAGTATGAATGGGTATCTGCAAATTGTCAGGGAAGCCTTGCAAAATTGTGGGGTGTAACCTTGTGATGGACTGGTATCCCATCTAGGGGGGGATACTCCTAGTCCCTTAATGAGGATTAGCCCCACCTGGGTGGGCCACTTAGCTTAAGTGCAGACTTAACCTATCAGAGCCTGCTTCCTAGATAATCATTGGCAAAACCAGAAATCACATCTAGCCTTCATCTTACCTGTACAAGAGTCTCGGTCAAAAGTACCACTATAACAGGCAAATATCCTGATTGAGAAAGGTCCAATGGAAACCCTAGTAATAAAAAGCATATCTTTTAACATCAAACTCTTAGTTTTTAAAAAAACCTAAATCCAAGACCATTTATGATGGTAATTGAACTTCTTGTTGTGCAGTTTATGCTGAAATCATATGAGAGATTTAAAAATCACCCAAGTGCCTAGCATGAGTTTGATTTGAAACCACAAGTACGATTAATCAGACCAAAATTGCACAACACTAAGTTCAATCATCACTTTCTTAAACTCATTTTGAAATTGTAAAATTCATTGCTTGAGAAACAGGCCAAATGTTTTTTGATCCAGTACTGAGCTGGTTTGTATAAAGTTGCAAAAGTTGTTCTTCATTTTCCTGCAATTTGATTGGTTTCCTTAAACAAGCTACTGATTGTTTTATAAAGTAAAGCTTCCTCAGTGGATGGGAAAAAGATGCAATTTAGGGAAAAAAATGGTGTGATTTATGAATAAATTGCACCAATGAGAGTCAATCAGATTACAAGAATCACCAGAGATTTTAAAATGGATATAATAAATCACTCTATTTTGCAGCAGATGATAATTTTGTCGATGTTTATCCTATCACTGTGTACCGGTAGTGCCTTGAGGAGCCTTAAAGCATATTCACAAATATAAAGACCCATCAAAATACTTCTTTCTGTTCAGACATGGGCCTCCTGTTTGAACAACACTGCAGTCTATCTCAAGACAAGTTATTTTCAGAATAGCAATCGAAAAATCATCCTAAGCTCCAATGAGTGACCAAGACAGGATTTCTCCTTACAATATCAAAATAATATCAAGCAATCAAGACAAGTGATGAGAATTAAGAAAAATATCAATAAGGGGATTACATAAGTTGATCCAAGACCAAATTCTCAAGTCTAACATCACAAAAATTTTGCAGCAGACAGTAAGGAGTTTACCTTTGATATCTTGGGAGCAAAAGGGTTAGAGCCACTCACCTATAATACCAGTTCCCAAAACGGCTGCAATGGTTGAAAAATCTAAAACGTAACACCAAGAGAACGAATGCAATGAAATTTTAACAATTATTTAAGGCGTTATGCGGACATGCTTCCCACTAATAAGCAAATTTGAGTTTGAGAAAAACCAGTTTATCTCGGGCAATAAGAAGACGAAGCAGTCACTGCCGAAATAAGGGAAGTCCGCATGCTCATTATTAATTTAGTAGAGTAATTTAGGTGTTGCAACTATGTTAAAAAGTTTGTAACTTCGTACCGAAAAGCAGTTTGCTTGGAATTAAACTTACAACATTGAAGATACACAAGAAGTTTCCATTTTCTTCCCCCTTTACTGCCGATTGTTGAGCTCTGAAAATCGAGGCTTTCTGAGAGCAAATTATCTTCATCGTTTCCACATTCCTCTAGCTCAGCTTCGTCCTCCATGTTTTGGTTGGTGCGCAGGGCGTTGTGGGAAATAATCATTGAACAGTTCCTTACCGGGGGTGGGTACATACTGGCTGGGTATTGCGTGATATTTCAGGGAGAAACCGTGACCAGCTTTAACCCTTTAACTCCCAGATGTGATTAACATGTAAGTTCTCCTTGTAATATCCATACATTATCCACCAAACAGGTAATGAGAATACTCAAACTTCTCAGGCAAAAGTTGTTTTCTTGGTCTAACATCAAATTCTTGTCATGTTACTTATTTTCAAGGAAATTTGTAGGAGCTAGAGGGGAGAATCTACGATCAGATCTTGGGAGCTAAAGGGTCAACCGCGCGTGATAAGGGTGGGATGTAAAGTCACCTTCCCACTGGTGAATTTTCCCCTGTTTTTGATCAACCGGTTTTTGCTTCTGTTCCTCAGCAATCTGTTCGCTTTTTGTGTTTTGCGTTTTTTTTTTTGACGACGCTTTTTGGCGAAAATTTTGTCATGTAAAGCGAAACCAGGAAAGAAAGATTGAAATATGCCAAAACTGATTAAATGTTTCCCGCCCCAAAAATACACTAACAATGATAGTTTGAATAAATTTATTTAATGCAAAGATCATCAACAGCATAAAAATCAAGCAGACGAGCAAAATAGATCAAAGGGAAAGCAAAATTTAAAAAATACAGTAGCATTTTTCACATCTCATGTTGTAATCGCGAGGAATTCCTGCAGGAAAGCTAAATGTCTGATTGAGTAATCTAATGTTCTCCTCTCTGATCAGTAATCCGGGTATATAATTTGTGCACTGTTTGTTGTTACAATATTTAAGGATCAAACTGAATATTTTCGTCAAGCGTCGCCAGTTCACACTCGTTCATAGAAAAGATGAACTAATTCATTTGTACTTGAATATGACATCTATTTGGAAGCAAAAAATCGTTTTGAGGCTTTGGTCTTTCGCCATAATTTCTGCTTTTGCTTTTTTCAAGTGAAAGTGTGGAAAGATGTCCTTTAGATACAGGGACATTTTTGCGTCGTACTGCTTTTCCGATTTCAGTGGACACACCAGCCCGTGATTTTTGCATACATCATTGTCGGGGTACGGAAAAGGCACACGCAACCCAAAAGCCAACACGAACACTTTTATCGTTCCTTTTTCTACCATTTCACTAGGAGTGAAGGACATGGAGGCATTGATGGTTGAACCAACTTCTAAAACGCACGGATCCGATGAGCAGGAAGGGATATCCACAGATTCGATATCCGAGTACCCTCCACATTTTTTGAACGAGAGTTTCTTGCCAACAGCCAAAGTGCTCAAGGTGGTGAGGATGCAGACCAGAAAAATGCTGGTTATCTTTACAGCCATTCTCAAGTAAAAATAACTGACTGTCAACTGCAGCAGCTCGATAGAATTTTACCTCCACTGATCACTGCAAAGGTTCCTATGCTAGGATTACTCTTGCTCATGACTCAAAGTTCTCATCATCGAACTTGCGCTGGTCATGAGATGTAGGCAAATCAGAAGATCAACCTCCACGCTGTCCAAACGAGTGCGACGAAAACATTGAACGTGATCAACCCAGCAACAGCATTCTGGGATAAAATACCAAATTCTCAAAACTTTCATATCAGAAAATATATAGAAAATAAGTTAAGAGAATAAGCACTTGATGTTAGGAGTGAGGATTGAGGTATATTTTCAGTTCAGTGTCGTGTAGTTTTCTTAGCATTTCTACAGGTGAAGATTTACACGTGAACAAGATCAAAACATGCATGCACAGTTTTTCCCAGGCAAATATTTTCAAGTACTTAGTTGTTCACGATCAATCACGTTTTCTGAAATTTGTTCGAAGCTTTAATTCCCGCAAGGGGGTTTTGTGAAGTTTAATTCTAGGACTAATAATAATAACACGAAATCCAAACTCGTCCAGCAATTCTGGCCGAATATATTTTTCTTGTGAAACTGTAACTGATGGTACATCACGACATCATGGCGAGTGCTCAATAATTTCATAACGAAAATTATGACCGCCATCTTTGATTTTAATAGCAGCGGAAGGTCGGGAAGAGAAATAAATTTGTACCAAGGGGGGTGGTCAACGGTTAAAAAACAAGGAGAGGGGTGGGAGTGGAAAGTGAAGATCACGCCCTTCCCACGCCTTCTACCCTCTCCGTCCACTCTAACTCCAAATCAAACATGCCCGGTCGGATAAACGATCGTGGGATTATAACGTTAGCTCGCGCTGATAAGACGCTTGCACCGTTAGCTACATCACGAGAGAAGTTGGACTTTACAATGAGCGTGCGCCTCACGTCGCCTGAGGAACTCAGGCTGTGTATGGGTACTGAGGTTTAATAAAAAATAGGAAATACAGTGGAAACTCGCCTAAGCTCATTATTACGGCCTCTTTTTTTGGCCCGGAAAAACGGCCCTACAATTTCTTGTCATTATTGTTATCACTATAATCATTTATGTGTGGATCACTCTGACTCTTCAAAGTTTTTCAACGCTTTAAAAGATGCGGTCATCGGTCAGATACAAAATTAATTGAAACTCAAATATTGTTCAGTTTTCGGAAGCTCATCTCCAACGACTCGTACCTGGATGTCAAAGCAAACTACCACCTTTCCATTTATGATAAGTGCCATTTCAGCGACCAACAGAATCCAAGGAAGAGTATCCCTAACCGGAACGGAAATTTCGACCTTGTACTGGATTCTTGGCTGAAGTGGACACTTTTGGCCCTGGGACAGCGTGGCATAAGGATTTGACTGAGGTAAAATAAGGCGAACCTTGCAAGAGTGCACTATTGCATACACTCTCAGTTCTCCGTCAAAGACTTTTTTTTGTTGAAGTTGAACGTGATGGTGCCGTTAACAGTGTTATCTCTGTGGAGATTGCATGGTTCCTTCAGACAGGGAGAGATGTTTACCGATTTCAGTGAACAAACTGCCTTTCCTCTGAAACTACATCTTGTGTATCTTCTGACTCACAAGGAGCATAAGATGACTCAGCCATATCCCGTATGGCGTGACATGGTGTATGGCGTGACATGCGTGCTAGACCACTGTTATCTTTCACTTATAGATGCGGTAGGCGATTATATGTTGAATTTGAAAGAGACTACAAAACATTTGTTCGTAGGAAATACTCTTTAACAAATCTAAAGGGATTAATAATGACTTGGGATGGTTAAGATTAAAACAGATTGCGACGAAAGAACTCGAAAAATTAAGACTGGATTTCTTAGATAAATAAGGTAAGTTATGCTACAGTAGCATGATACCGCTGCTGAAAGAATCACGTGAGTAACACAACGTTACATGCTTAATTAGCCGATGAAAAGCGCCAAGAAATCTACCAGCTACGCACGCGCAAATCCCTTTTTTCCGAGTATAACTCAAGCGTTTTCACAGTCATGAAAGAGCGACTGTTTATTGAGCCTCTCCGGCGAGACGAGAGGAGAAAGAAAAGACAGGAGAGGGGAAGCGAACAAGAAACAGAAGTTGAAATACGAGCAATCGTATCATAAAATGCCTATCGTCTAAGTAAGGACGCGCCAGAGCGGAAAAATATTTGGCTCTCTAGTATTTCGTACAATTCAAGACTATTCAGGATCAAGAAGCCTGCAAATGTAAACGAAATGTAGACTTTTCGATCACTTGCTTTTTCTACTGTACATGTCCACATGAATAGGGCTTGCGAAATATATTTTTTAGTCTTGTCACGAGCGTGCATGGCGTAGGACCAAAAAAAAACTAAAGACAAGAAAAAACTCGGAGTCCCCACGAGGAATGAAGCCTAAAACTATCCGATTCCGTACCCCAATGCTTTCTAATAAGCAATCTTTGCACACATGGAAAATTTTAATGAACTTCGTCACCGAGATCCACAAAGACATGGCCACGCGGCAGAGCATGGAAAAAACTATTCACTCGATTACCGAGGACTCGATCGTAGAAACTGAGATTGCAGTAACCTAAAAAGTCCTTCCTCTCGTTCCTGCAAATAGGAGTTTTATGAAGGAAAGTGATAAGACGAGACATTTTATCGAGAAAGCCTTGTTGGCCGCAAAGCTCGTGTAAACCGAACCTACTGTTATTACTTCGCAAGGTGTCTAGGTTTTGTGTCCCTTCATGTATTGTTTCCATAAATACCACGTGAGGCATCCAGGAAACACATGTTGATTTCAAGAGATGGTACGATAGTGGTGTGATTATGATCCGGTTTATCCTGTGGGCGTGCTCAATCGATCTCGCCACGAGTTACAAGAGGAAATATACCAATATCTCTGCTTACGAAAGCTTCTTGAGAAAGATGGAAATCTCTGCTGTTATACCATAAAATTTTTCTAAAGGAAGTAATATCGTTTGAACGATCCATTCGTTTCGGCTGAGAATAAAGAGAGAAACCGAAATATCGCCTGCGCTGTTGCGTGATTAAGTCCATATTAAAGCTCATTAAGAATGCAAAGATTTCAATGTTTCACAAAAGTTTGCATTTTACATTTTTATCAAAAACTTCAGGGATTTAATGGTATACTACATTAATTTTTCTCTCTAAAGAAAGTTTTCACTGATCATTACGAAGCTTATTTTTTTCGACAAACTAAATAACATGCAATTACTGACAATAGAGTTAGTGTGTCCAGAAACCGAAACTTGTTCGGTAAAAAATTATACTTTACCGCGCATACATAACATTCGTTATTCTTAGTGTCTTTGTACTTAAACATAATCAGCTTCTTAAAATCTATTTTCTAAGACGTCGTCAAAGTCTATCCAAAATTGAGCGAAATCAAGGTATAAACATTTTTGCTAACTTCAGGATCAATCTTGATTAAAGACTTTGTCCCGTCGTGTTCAAAGTTCCATTTGTAGTTGACAGCGTCAAATCGATCAAATTAATTGCTAACAATTATTTCAGACGAGCTTGTGATTCTTGCCGGGAATTCAAAGCAAAACACGTACTTGCCATTTTGGTCGAGCATCTCCATTTTCGCTATCAGTTGAGTGCTCGGGTACGCATCCTTTATCTCGAGCGAAATGACTGTCTTGTATTCGACGTTGGGCTTCAACGGACATTCAAGTCCATGGCCAGTGCATGCTTTTGGTTGATCCAGTGGGAAAGGCAACCAGGGAAGAGAAGGAAGTTTTCCATACACCTTAATCAAACTATCATTTGTAATTTGCTCTTGGGATTTGAATGTTATCGTGCCATTCACAACGCTTCCTTTCTTGAAAACGCATGGTTCGCTCGGACACGGTGTGATGTCGACAGAAACAACAGTTCCATACGCTTGTGTTTCCTCAGGGCACTTGTTGACATGAATAATTGTTCCAGCTACCGAAGAAAAAGTAAACGCCACAAGGTATAACAGGACGACCTTTGCTTCCTTTACAGCCATTTTCAGCTCTGTTTCAGTAACACCGTGCTGCACCAGGTTTGATCCAAACAGCGAACGAAAGTTATTCTTATACGATGTTGCGTGACATCATGTGACATCACGTGACATCATGTGATGTGAAGCGCACGCTCAAAATAAATTTGTCTCCAGGATCTTTTATTCTTAGCGTATGAATCAGATCCTCAAAGAGGGAGGAAGAAGGGAACTAATAAAACAAGGATGAGATAATTAATAGAGAACTTTGCAAAACCGTCCGAAAATGTATGATATCAAAATAATCGATGTTTTTCGCATGATAATCATTGGGTCCCAGTCTCCCAGAAGTACCCTATACTATCAAATAGTCTTCGTTAGACAAAAATAATGAATTGTAGCGAACTTTTCGAGCCACAGAGACTCTACGGTGAGACATACCTATTACGAAGTTCACATGACACGCATCCTGTATACTGCTGGGATCAGCAGTGTCGATAGCGTCATGTTTGTAAATGTCGAGAACGATTTCTTTATAATGAATGATTAATGTTATAAATTGTCACACAATGTAACGAAATACAAGACTGATTGTAACGCGAATAGGAAGATTTCGTGACATGATATTTCACAACGTTGTAAACAAAGTTCAACACTGATTTGCATGCGTACAGTGAACTAAATAAGGGAAAGAAACGTGTAATTGTGAAATTGCAACTAAAATAGGGTATATTACAGTACTTTGGGATTGGGAATTTACTGAAGTCATGATTGTGGGAAAATTACTTTATTTCGCAACTAGAACTGTAAAACGAAGTAGCACTGAATTGTAATAGAGATTGGTTTTAGATCGTTAGAGTGTTAGTATGTTCAGATTGTCAGAAGTGATGGAAGAAAATAAACGCGTTTAGAAAACAAAGAAGTATACAGTCCTCTTGATTCCGCGACAGTAAATAGAGGAACAGAGATGGTAAGTTTTGAGTTCGGTAAAGAAATAGAGAAAGATGTTTTTTCGTCTTGTCACGAGCGTGAGATGAAGAAAAAATTCTGAGTCCACCGAGCTACAGAGACCCTACGGTGAGCGAGGTCTATAATTACGAATTCATGTAACACGCGTTCTGCATACTGCTTGGATCAGCGATGTCGATAGCGTCATGTTGGTAGATAGAATAAGGAAGATGATAAGTTTTGAGCTCAGTAAAGAAATAGAGAAATATTTTTTTCTTCTTGTCAAAAGGGTGGGATAAATGAAAATTCTGAGTCCGCACGAGGAAACGAACCTTAGAGCTTCGGATTCCACGCTCCGATGCTCTACCACAGGGCCACAGAGACTCCACAGTGAATAAGGTCTATTACGAGGTTTATATGACACGCGTCCTGCATACTACTTGGAATTTTTTCTGCTAAATCTTTCTGCTCATTTCTTATAAGACGAGAAAAGCAAAGCGAATAGAGAAGCGTAGCGCGCGCGTTAAACAGGTTTTTATAAAATAACCAACTGTCCAAATAACCGTACAATATCGCAGGATATTTGTACTCTACTTTCTGCAATTAGATGATAATAGTGGAATAATATATCCCTTGTTTGATGTTTCAACAAATAATAAAAGCGGATATTTTGCTCGTATTTTTCCTCGCCTCTTCGGAGCTCGAAAAAATACCACGCAACTCGCAAAATATCCACGCGTATCATATGCCTAACCATTGAATGGGATGTATGTATTTAACGGACATCTTGGGTGTCAATCTGGTCCTTGCCGGTATTTGTTTTACTTTCCGGGAATTTAAGGACTCTGAGCTAGATAGATGTATACGAGATACACTAACCAAAACATTGACGCACAAGAAATATAGAAATAATTGCACTGAAAGGATGCAACAGAGTTTTATTTCCTCTTTTATGATATAGTAAGAGAGAACTGATCTTTCCACGATACAACAATCCAGTTAAAAAGTCCTCAGACAATGTTTTTATACATCACTCAAACTAATCTCTTCAACAGTAACTCGAGGACTCAAATCAACTTTTACGAACGGAACTTTCGATGTTCTCTGATGGCCAAAACAATCCTGCACCCATAATTCCACCAACACCTCCCCAGCGGGGACTGCGCAGTAACCTTCGAGTCTCACGTGACGATATTCCATTCCTGCGAATTCCTTGGTGCCTTGTAGCCTGGCTTCTATGTTAGCATTTTCACACTCGAGGTCGTTAAATGCAAAGAACCACCGCTTGCAGCAAGAATTGCAGAAGCCGACGCGCATGCTCCCTTCAAAGATCACGTGCAAGAAACTCAGATTACTTTGTTTTGTGAAGACACATTCCTGAAGAAAGACAGGAGACAACATTGTAAGGGATTGGTCATTATTTATTGACGGGACGGAGGGGGAGAGGGGGTGAGAAGTTTTTGATTTTGTCACGATAAAGTTTACCTGTTCCCTTGGCGACGACTAATCGTCCCTCCGTCCCCACTGAAAACTATATAACCCCCCCTGAAACCCTTAACCCTCCCACTCCACTACTCTACTGGGCGATAAAAATAACCTGCACCGAAATAATTTTGAAATGTCGTGAGAACGATGGTGGTTTTTAATCACCGGGACGCAAAGCAAAGTGCGCTAGTAAACGACGCGATAGTAGCAAAGATGTGAAAACACATGAGGGAGGCTTGGGTCGAGTCGGGTCACGTAGTGACGCGTACCCAAACCGAACGTACGCTACAATCGCACCTCGTTTCGCTTTGCTAAACGTCTGGAATAGGCTAATAGAAGTACTTGATAAGAAGATAGGACGCACGGGTTTGAACCTCATTGAAGCCTAAATCGTTTCTAATACTGAGAATTACGATTCCAGACTGCTCGCACATATTCAATTCGTCCGTAGCTAAACCTCGGCCTATCCAGAACACGCCCGTTCAAAAGAATAAACTAAGCTAGTCGTTCGTGATTCTTGTTTTTATGCGCGTGGTACACAGGGCACCTCCGTAACACAGGACACCTTAACATAGAATATCACCCGCTTTCGAGTACAGTTAAAACTCGTTGTAGTGATTCTTCACAAAGAGGAGCTCCATCAAAACTTTATATTTGTGAAGCGTGTAAAAAGGTTGTTCCCAAATGCACAACAGTCGAAGACTAACCTTGAGCAGCCCGTACTGTTGCAGAGGATCATGGTCCCATGTACAAGTCTTCCAGCTGTAGATTGATCCAGATCTTCCCGGCTGACCTTTCGGTCCTTCTATGCCAGGAAATCCGCGGGACCCTTTGTCCCCCTTAGGTCCACGGACTCCCTGTTCCCCCCGGGTTCCTCTGAATCCCTTATTCCCAGGGAATCCTTTGGGCCCTCGTATACCAGGAAGGCCTGCGATTAAAGAAAAAAGGTAACTATCTTATACGTGGATACTTGTCCTATTTTTCGTTTGTTTCCCACAAAAGGGTATTAAAGAAATGCTCATCTATTGTTAACATGTTTAGATCACTTTTTCATTTTTTTTCGTAGCAACACTTCATATACACCAGTAATGAGAATAGTGAAAAATTATATTACCTGGTTCGCCTTTCCTCCCTTTAGGCCCAATAAGTGGAAAGGGGTCCACGATATAACTGGATCCCTTAGCACCTTTTTGGCCCCTTATTCCTTTCCTCCCAGATGGCCCTGTTGGTCCCGGAATTCCGATGGGCCCACGGGGTCCGGGAGATCCGATGAAGTCTTTCTTGCATTTAGTCTCTACCTGTTATTGGATAAAGAAAGGTGGATGAAAAGGTGAAAGGAAGGGAAATAAAGTGCAAACTATTGATATGGTTGATCAATTACTTTCTGCGATGATGAAATTTCCATTTCATTATGATAGCATATGAACTTACCTCCTGTCAAAATATTTCTAATGCAATAAGATTTTGACATCTTTTCTCTATTTCCCAGTTTTTGGCCCTCTTCTGTCCTTCTCGAACCCTCGCATGGTTTCTCTCCCCTTTAAGATAGGGCATTCGATCCTTCAACTCCCAGGATTGATTAGAAAGCTTATTTCTTCCAACAGAAGCAAATACGTGTCTTTGTTCGTTAGTCTTTAGAATTTGGTGTTATATCCTACCAGATACCCCCAGTTAAACCGATATTTTTTACCCCTCAATATATGTGGCTATCATACTCGAGAGTTATGAAATTGATAAATTTCTCCAGATTTGCGCGTTTTGGCGGACCTGAATTATAAGTTTTGCATTTTTTGGCTAAAAAAAGATATCACAGATGGACACCACAGGAACCCTACGTTCTATCGTTGTATCTTACCTGGTCACACAGTAATTTTCCCCAACGAATTTTGCTTTGAGTATGAACTGCTTGACAAACGGATAAGAAAATGATCAACTCCAGAATTCTTGCCATCGCCTGAGAAGTAGAAGTAAACAATATAATCAACTGAAAGTATTGGAAAATGAATTTTTTTGAAATAATCAATAGCAGTAAATTTGGACGCACAATGTGAAAGATATCGACAGACATTTCGCACTTCGTGTGCGGGAGAGACAAATGCACGCGCGAAAACACGCGTGGATTGAAACGATTTGCGCTTGAGAAAGTGCGCTCTGTCATTCGCGGGCAGCCGTATCTGTAATTGAACAACAAATGGGAACAATACAGCCTAACGCAACGAAAATCGTAGAAAATTGAGTTGCAAAATCGAAATTTAACAGTCTGGCTACAAGCCATCTGTAAACATTGGACTAGTAAATTTGTATGCGAGCATAAAGTGGTCCAACCACAGCGCAAGAGCTGAAAATGTATCAAAATATTTTTGATAACGGTGAAAAATATTACGCGAAAACAGCATTTGCTGTAAAGATACTCACCTCTGTATTCAAAGTCTTGTTTGATTATCTGGATGATGAAAACCCACGGAGCATGTTTGGTGAAAGATTAAAATTTTTCAGCATGTGGGCTCTGTGTCAAATGTCGGCTTCCGACAGTTAATAATTTTTTTTATTCTTAAAGAGAGTTAATCTTTTCCTGTTAAGTCACGAAATGAAGTGTGATTGGGTGGCAGGAAGGGAAGGGAGATTTGTCATAACCCGTGCCGGCGGGAAGCCGAAATGACCTTATTTAAGTTTTGACGTTGATCCAATACCAAATTCTCTGAACTAACATCATAAGAATTGTAGGGCAGACAGTAAGGAGAATTACTAATGCAATCTTGGAATTACAAGAGTCAAAGCAAGAGCTGCGTTGTACCTTTTTTTGTGCGTAATTGGTGTCATGGCAGAGTGGTACTGGGCATTGTGGAATCAGAAAAACATTTTCCGCTTTTCCTTCACAGGTCAACTCAACCTGCTCAGTTTAGACTCGTTCTAATCTAAGGCAATACACAGATGATGATTCTTAAAGTTTTTTTAATGAAAAAATAAAGTACAGAATCTGGTTGAGACTTTTCATTCATGGCCTGAGTAAAAATCTCTGAACCCTCTAATGAGGCCTAAGAAGCGCGATTGAATGCAGCTTGTTTATATATCTTAAAATATATCTTAAAAGTTCCTAACAAACTTGTCGATCGTTTTTAGTCTTACAAAGAACAGCTAAAATAAACAACGTTCACCACTCTGTTACTCTTAGGGTGTATAATTGTGAGCTTGCGTTTTACTTACTTAAGTATCTATTAAAAAAACGTGGATTAATGTCAGGATCTGAGGAACTGCGCACCCACACCTCCCCACCCCTTCTCACCCCTTGTCGACTGATAACAAGTTAGGTTTAATGCTGGGTTAGGGGAGGGGCTGGTGCGCAGTTATTTAGATACTGACAATGCAGCGCACCTAAAAAGTTGTAGCAAAATTCAAATCAACTTGAATTAAATTCCAGAACTAGGAAGCACTTTTTAATCAAGCGTTTTTAATAATAATACTCTTATATTTAAAATTGTGGGGCGGGAACTTCCTGAATGATCAGCCGACTGTTAGGCTGCATAATGGTGGATATATTCTCCTGGTCTCTGGGATATCCGGGGCAATCATCCAGTGAGATCCCTACGCGAACCAAGCCCCTAGGGACTGAGTTGCAATACCCGGAGATCGTTCCGTGCATAAACGTTGGAAGAGAACTTCTTTCACCACCAGTAAGTAAGTTTAAGGCGCTGAACACAGCGTTGATGTTTCCAGGGTCGGTACACGTCAAGTTGTCAAAGGTGAAGTGCCAAGTCTTGCAACAGGTCTTGCACAGACCGATATGTGTCTCACCCTGGTAAGTGACATGAAGTGAAGTATCGCTGCGCATTTTTAAAAACGAGCAGAACTAGAAACAGAAAGGATAAAATGAAGATGAGATCAAGCTGAGTCGTGTCATATCGACTTCAAGTAGCACAGGTGACAAAATATTAAAAAAGACGGTGTGCGTTTCACTCAGTCAGTACTTCAGACATTCGGTCTTTTACTAAGTCGGTCGGGCGTCTAGTCAGTTGGTCAGTTGCTTAGGAAGTTAGGGCAGAAAGTCAGTTGGTCTGTCAGCCAGTCAGTCAATCGGTTGGTCGGTCGGTTGGTTGACCAATCAGTCTGCCTGTTGGTCAGTCAGCCAGTTTTTCAGTTAGTCAGACAGTCAGTCAGTTGATCAGTCAGTTAGTAAGTCAGTTATTTTGCCCGTCCATCAGAAAGTTGAGGAATCTTGAACTTCAATCGTTGGAGTACGTCTTTGTACTTACAGACAATTCTCCTCGTGTTGTATTGATATCTGGTTTGAACACACATTGTTTCCAGTTCAGCTCGCTCACTCCAGGGTCTCCATTGATCCCGCGGGGTCCAGTCTCGCCAACTGCTCCTCTGTCTCCCGATATTCCCGGAGATCCCCATGATCCCAGCGTCCCTGACGCTCCGGGTATCCCTGGTTCCCCCTTCAAGCCGTTTGCTCCTTTTGCTCCTTCTTCTCCAAGGTCCCCTTTTGCTCCTTTCACGGGAAATCCACCACCTCCCTGTGGGGAATCACCGGGCTCTCCCGGAAACCCTCTGTCGCCAAGTGGACCACTTGGTCCCCGGGTCCCTTTAAAACCTTTGAGTCCAATTGATCCGGGGGGTCCTGGAAGACCGGAAAGTAGCTCGCACGACTCCATCATCTGCAAAAAAAAGTTACATTAATACTTACCTTTTTTGTGATTGAGGGCCAAATTCTCCTTTACCAGAAGAGCAAAGTGGGTTGAGAAACTACTCAGAGAAACTAATAAGTATTGCGGTGCATGAAAAAGAGAAAATTCTATCTTCTTGACAAGAGTCATGCTCCACGGGTGTTTGACTCAGCGCTTATTTTTCCGTATATCGTATCATACCTGCGTCATTTAGAAACAGGAGAGGGGGGAGCCAACCCAAGGAGGGGAAGGGTGAGTATGTGGAATGCTGAGCTGAAGATCGGCTAAAGATAGATTTCTTATCGAGTGTGTAATTTTCTGTAAATGGTTTCCATTTGGAAATATGTTTACATTAAACTCTCTCTAAGAAACTGTTGGCTTTACCAGAAAATGGCCTAGATTGTTGTCTTCTAAAAGGTCTGTTATTCACAAGACACAGAATAAGTAGCGTCAGAAGGAATATGTTCACTTAGAATGTCTTAATAAACGAAACAGAGAAGAAACCTCACCCTACGACATTCTGATGGTGTCCACACAATATCCCCTTGAGCAAAAACTGTCCTAAACACAACAAAAGACAGAAATAAAAGAGAGCAAGTTGCCGTCATCTCCGTCCGCTTTAAGCGCGTTGCGCGTCACGATCACATCAACTACAATATTGTGTCTGTTTTCTCTCACGAGATTACGTGACGCCGATAAGAATAGCGCAAAACAACAGGATGTCTTTCTTAACTGATTCATCGCAAGGGGATTTCCGGATTTAAAGAGATAAGCCCTGCTCGTCAGTTCGCGAAAAACAGCCACGAAAATTCTCATTTTGAACAATATAGTTGTGCATTGTTTATTCATTGTCTTGGAGTGTCTCTGAAGAAAATAACAAGTTACATTTAACAAAGATTCGCTTATACTATAGGACGGACCTGAGATTTTCATTTTGTCGATTATGCGCTTTTACAACTCTTTTCTCTCTGTTTGAAGCGCTCCAGGTGAGGTCGCGCGAGTGTATGAAACATGCGCGTATGAGAAGGTGTGGAATGAATAACTTGCACGATCGACAGGCGTGGGAGTCGCGCAGAAAATGACTGACTACAAGAATGAGGAGCTTTGTGATAAACAAACGCTGGCTAAATTGATTTATATTAGCTGCCAAAATTTCTCGCGAATAAACAACCAAGCCTTGCAAGCACTAATGAAATTTTCTGCTCCACAAGACGCAAAAAAATTTAAACTACAAACAGCTTCTCTTCTTCAGATTTATTCGTCAAACGCAGTAAAGAAAAGAAACAAGGAAACCGATGATGCATTCCCGCGCAGAGAAAAGGCGGTTTCTCGACCCCAGATTGCGCGCGGCGTCAATTTTCTCTGTTTTCTTACACAACGGTCATATTGTGAGAGAAGGAGTACTGCTATGAACACAGGGCAAGAAAGAGGAGGAATTTTAATGGAACGAGCTCTGATTATGAATGATCCACTGTATGACTTTACCATCAAAGAGTAAAAGACGATATTCATCTTAAGATTTCCAGGATTCTCAACAGTTCCTTAGATCCAGAGTTTAAAATAAAGGCTCCCACAGTTTGCAATGATTGATATATTTATTCCAATACTCAAGACCTTAAGTTTTACCTGGTAATTCAACAGTGTAGACTGTAGATTACCTTTTAAAATTTTTCCACAGGCAATACCCGCGCTTTTATCGATATCCATTTGTTTTTGGAGAAATTATTTATTTTGCGTAGTTATTAAGGAAAGATTTAAAGTTGTCATTGGCTTCACAGCTGGGAAAGGAACAAAAAATGGGACCGCGTTAACACTCGGGCTAAGAGAGACTGGGAAAACTGGTTACAGATGTATTTCACTGCGCTGGCGAAACTTCTTGAATGAGTATATTTCCATAACGCTTGTACAGTTGTATATTGTAGGGTAACAGAGAGCTCGCAAAAGTCTTACAGTTCTCCATTTGCAGTCCAATTCGAATCGGCCCTGAAGAAAATCTTCTTTCACAAAAGCCTTCGATTCTGCCATAGGAGTAAAAGGGGTAATCACGACTCAGACCTCCCGACACAATCGCGTCGATAGGGCCTGGGTTGTTACACTCGGCGTCGTCGAATATAAAGTACCAACGCTTGCAGCAATCCTGGCAGAGACCAATCTGTAGATTTCCTTCATACACCACGCGTAAGACTGAGTTGGGGTCTTTTTTAGTGAAAATACATTCCTGAAAAAAAGAGAATTTATTTGGATCCGTTCTAGATTCAAATGTACAGAACTGATTAAAAGTATTTGAAATGAACACAAATTCTACATCCACGAGTTATCAAAGGCAAATCTACGATTAGATGTCGCGGCTTGTTGCCGATGTGCATGTTAAGCGATTGTGTTTGTGGAAATCGATGAAAGACTGTTGTCTTTTGGAATCTGAGGCAATCCAAAGACCTCTTCGCCCTAAAGACGCTATGTCAAGAAGTTTAGCGCTTGATTCTCCCAGACCAAAGCAGCTGCATAATGGTATAATACATATTTTTTAAAAAAAATAAATATATAAAAACAAAACAAATGTGTGGCTAGCAAACCTTTAGCAGTCCGTTATCTTTATTGCGGTTTAACTCCCAGGAGCAGCGCGTCCAAGTTCCTATGGTACCGGCGGACCCTGTCACACCAGGAGGCCCTCGCTCTCCAGGACTTCCCTCCGGGCCTCTCCTTCCCTTAACCCCATCAAACCCTTTAAATCCTTTCCTTCCTCTCAGTCCATTCTCTCCATCGTCTCCAGGGTCCCCGGGGCTCCCTCTCCTTCCTCTTTCGCCGCGATCCCCTGGGGGACCCGGCCGTTGACCCGTTGGTGGCCCCGGTGGTCCTGGGGGGCCGGGTCTAGATCTTCCAGGAGGCCCTCTTAGCCCCTGTGGTCCTGTGGGTCCTGCCGGGCCCGGTTCACCGCGGCTCCCAGCGATACCTGGAGGCCCGGATGTTCCTTGGACGCCAGTTGTTATCTGATCACAAGCCTGAGTCATCTGAAGTTTAAAAAGCTTTCCGTCAAAACACGTCGTTAATCTGGTAAAATTCACTTTGCGGATGATTTGATCACATCGTAAAATAATGCGTATTTGACTAAACTAAAATCGTCATGTCTAAAGGCAAAATTTTGGTTTCTCCAATGACGCTTTATCTCTCGAGTATCTCATCACGATACACGATTATGCTCGCGTGACGTAAAGTGGTTGCGAATATCTCGTAAGGAACATTTCAAAGTCGGAGACAAAATGAGAGAAGGAGTGAGTAAAATCACCTTCGTACTTGGTTTAAGTGTAATGATTGTAAAAGCAAGTAGCGTACGCGGGTAAATTCGCGTTAGCACGCGTGCCGGCGTAATTTTCTCTCGCGCGTGTAAAAGGCGCGTTGGCAATGTATCATATCACGATTAGGGGATTTTAAGTAATCAGCTTACAGTTTAAAATTGGACGATTCATTGTTTATTCTCTAAATAATGGTGTATTGTTATCACTTTAACAGCTTAAAATAGATCTAATGCATTGCCAAGTTTACTCAGAAACTCACGCAAAAATTGTCTGACAATCGCTCTCACTGAAAGAGAGAATTCCTCAGCTGGGGATTCGAAGAGAAAAGAGAATGGATGGGGGGTGCATGGCTGAAAGATTTACTTCTAACGGGGAGAAGGTCATTCTTACCCTTGCGCAGTCCCTGTTTGTCCAAGGTGTAATCCTCCTCTGCCCATAGACAGCCAAGATGAACACATTCTGAACGGCGATTAAAAGAGCAAACTTCATATTCTCATCGGCAACATTAACCTTCATCGTCAAAAATAAAGCAAATTAAAACAGAAGAAAACGAGATGAATTGGGAATAGCTTTGTGTTGAATAAAAATTATCTTAATTAGGTTTCTTCTCTGAAGCAAGAGCTTCATCTACGCTAATAAACATCATTATTTGAAGGATTCCAACAAGTGCAGTAAAGCTTTTCTTAGAGAAGCAACCGGGATAAAGTTTTCACCAAAAATAGTCTGTTTTGTGTGAAGAGAGGGGGGTGGTGCTTAAAACAAACCTATGTTCTGGGGGTAGGGGGGATGGGGAGGGGTATTGCAGAAATGTAAAAAAGTCAAGAACTTGGTATGAACTGTTACGGGGTTCTTAAATAAAATTTACTTGCAGAAGAGTTAGACAAAACTCATTGGCCAGTAGATCTGGTCAGTTTGGGTTGACTGAAGCGAGGAATGCATCGATCGTACCTTGAGAATTATGCGCAGATCATCTACAAAGTGAAAGCCGAACGGTCACTTGGTGTAAACAGTGTCTTTAGTCGACTCGACTCTCTCAGTACTGTTAGCAACCAAAGCGTTCCGTATCAGAGATAACGTAGAAGAGTACAGTGTATATACTTACGTAAAGGAGGCAGCGTATTATCGAAGTACGTGGTGTATTTTGAATCCTACCGTGTCAGTGAGTGGAGCTGCCAGATAACCTTTGGCCTTGTGATGGAATCTGGTCGTGTTTCCTGCAGGGAAGGGAAGTTCCCTGCCTGGATTAACTTAATCGGCTTTGTATGTCACGATCACGTAGGGAGTGTGACGTATGGGAGCTGCGCGTGTATTTCGTGCGGCTTGCGTGCGAGATGATCACACAAACTTTACACACGCAAAAGCAATACCGATAAGATCTCGCGGCGTCCTAACGAAACCAATCCGCAACGCGTGGTGGACTCCATTTCCTTTACCTCGCGTGCCTTATAAATAGCATCCAATTTTAGCTTCATTAACCATAATGACAATTCTTGACAACTTTGCTTTCCCAGTTATTTCACTCAGTTTTTCTGTTCTTCGACGGCCAGCAGCAGTTCGTAGTAGCATGCCCACGCAGGAAAATCAAAGAAGTAACTTTAAAATTTCCCTCGCAAAGGCTCTTGTGATTTCAAAGTTGCTTTCTCCAAAAGTTCAACTCGGTCACTCAATCTTGTGTGTGCCCTCGGGTGCTCATAACCAACATAATTTTCAATTCGCAATGGAAGTACCATACAAAAACACTTAAATCTCACGATGTGTGTGATATCTGGTAAAGATAATGAATCATTGAACCCCTGACAAGATGTCAAAACTGAGAAAAAAAGCACGTTTTGTTGCCCTATGTGTATGTCAAAAAGGACATGTAACTCGCAGTTGAACTTAACTCTCTACTAGATCTGGATATTATTGAGTTAACAGAGCTTATCTAAAGGTGGGGAGGGGGGGGGGGGCCCGCAACTCCTTCGGGGGTGTCAGACTCGTTGTTAGTCTGGAAAAATTGAAAATCAAGACTACATAACTGTGTAATACCGACATAGGATTCCCCTTTACAACACCTTTGTAAATTCATTGATGTGATAACATCTGCAACAATCAATCCTCAACACTGTAACATCAGTATGCCTATTTTCCACACTCTGTTCTCCATAATTTTCACAAGGTGCCAACAGGGAAAATGTGTTTAACAATAGAGAGTCTCTTTAGTTAGTGATGAGGTCCTTTATTCTTGGGACCTCAATATTTGATATTGGGATTCAAAGGGTTAAGAACTGTGTTCAAAACGTTGAAACATAAACTTATATATATATATATATATTTATATATTTATCCTACATTTGGGTTCATGAGTGGCAAAAAATGGAGGGAGAAATGAATCTTCAGTTTTAAAAGTAACCAATCAGCAATCATCAGCTATCAAACCATAGAAATCTCACACTCATCATCCAATCATCAATCAGTCAATTTCCAAAAGGAAAAATGCTGTGAGCCTGGCCATAGTATGAACTTGGACTCTAAGTTTCAGAGTCCAGCATTTACAGACAAAATCAAGGTCTCCTTTAGTCACTGTGAAACAGATATCTTTATTTTTTGATGAAATTTTACATGTTTGGCTTTAGTTTAAGAACTTGGCACAACCTGTGGAACCAAAAACAGAAAATGTGAGTTTCAACTGTCATAGAAGAGCACTCTCTTAACATCAAATCACATTCAGCCTTTGGACAAAAATAGTGTTCCCCAATAAAAAGCTATGAAAAATTACAATTTAAGAACTAAAAAGCAGCAGGAAAACAAAAAGAGCACATTCCTCTACGAAACTATTAACCATTTACACCCAGGTGCTGACAGTAGAAATCTGTTTCACAATCAAGAACTTCTTTAGTTGGTGATCATTTCCTTAATTCTCATGACCTAAATGAGTGACTCAGGGGTGATATTGTAGGGAGAAATTAGATGCTAGTCACTCTGAGAGGTAGATACCATAACTTTAAGCGAGGAAGTTGTTCCCCTTACTTGTGAACAAATTATGGGATGACTGAAAAACTTTGACAGCCCAAGCTGTAAATATATCTCTTCCAAAACAAAGATCAAAACTTCAAGTTTACCTGGCAAGCGATTCGGTCCAAATCCCTCTGGCCTTGACTTGTGATTGCTCGGCCTCTGAAAGAGAACAACATTCTTGATCAACAAATGATGATGTTCCCTTACCCTTATGAACCACTGACCATTTAAAAGGTACAGCTGAAGGGATGGAAATGATGTAATTATGTACATGAAAAAATTAAGCTCTTCTAATTGGCTGAAAATGAGCGCATTCTCATGTAAAAGAAGTGCAAAGTTGTAACACAAGTGCAAATTACAAATAGCACATGCACACTTTCAAAAATTTCATCTGTCTAGACTTTCTCATGTTTTTTTCATGTAAATTATTAACATGTAATAACATAAATTCTCTAGTAATTTAGAGTAATAAGCACTTGTAAATTTTTCAGACTACAAATTGCACTTCACCTTATTGTCTCCTGCAATTTTTATGCCTGCTTGTGCTTTCTAACACCAAATTGCACTCAAAATCATGTTATTTTACTATGCCTGGTGACAGAAAAGTTTGTCTCACATATTTCAAGTGTATATAAGAACGATTGTCAAGAAAATACGTTATTTTTCTTACCCGGTGTTGTCCTTTTCAACCATTTTAAGCTGTTCCAGGCCTTTCAAAATATTGCGAGCAATAGATGAAGAACCGCGCTCAAAATGGCTTGGCCTGACACCACGTCGCTTGCGTCCTGCATAACACAAGAAATATCCTGGTTTGTCTCCCATGTTATAGTTTTGTTTTAAGAGGTTACTATGAATACATGCAATGTCTTTGTCCCTCTGTAAATATCTTCCCTCAAACTAACAAATGTACATAAGCAGATTAAAGTAACTGAGTGGATGAGATATGGGTGACTTTTTTAGTTTCCTCTTGCACAAAATAATTATTGTTAAGAAAACTATGTCAAGGTATAGAAGTCTGGGAAAACTGTTACAGATCTGTGTTGGCCCACATTCATTCCTGTGGTCTCAATATCATTTCTCCACACTGTCTCCTGCAACTTCCTATGAATTTCACTTTAGGAGGGTACATTGTATGGATTTAAGTAGCTCTTGCACAAAATAATTATTGTTAACCCTTTAAGTCCCACTAGTGACTAAGACAGAATTTCTCCTTACACTGTCAGTACAATATCAAGCGGACAAGTAATGAGAATAAAGAAAAATATCAACTAGGGGAATAATTAGTTGATCCAATATCAAATTCTCCAAACTAATATCATATGAATTGTATGGTAGACAGTAAGGAGAATTACTAATGAGATCTTGGGAGTTAAAGGGTTAAGGAAACTATGTCAAGGTATTGTAGTCTGGGAAAACTGTTCCAGATCTGTGTTAGCCCACTTTAGTCCCTGTGCTCTTGTTATCATTTCTCCACAGTGTTTACTGCAACTTCATATTATTTTATCTATAGGAGAATCAGAAAGTGTAGACACAACAAGCTGTGATGGTATGTTCTTGTGTTCCACAGATTAAACTAACATTAATTGGTTTACGATTCTGGGGGGTGCTTGCAAACAATAAGTCATAAAAAGCTATACCATAAGAAAAAACAATAGTGACCAAACAGAAAGTTTGGCATGTATGGAGTCCATCTTGATATTTAAATTAGGCTTGAGATTCTTGATGAACAACATTTCAAAGACTAAACTATCAAATTTTTTTCTTTTCTTGCGGTATAGCTTTTTATCAGGCAATGTTACTTTAGTATATATAGACTGCACCTTACAAATATTTTTTTTACTTGATAATGACGTTTAGCCAACATCGAAATGTTGTTGGTTTTTAGCAATCTTCAAATGATTTAAAGAAATGTTTTATCGCAATTTTTTATAGTTAAATGTTTTTCTAAATCACTTCTTCTTCGTTTCATCCATAATGACAATAAAACAATCAACCAATGTAAATTACACAACAACAAGCACAAAGGATAATAAAATACCTCCATAAACACGAGTGAGGTGACCAACACCAATACCACTGCGCAGGTACACATGACGGAGGATCGAAGCTGTTTAATTCAATAGCAAACAGTATGTTCATCAATAATAGCATGAAACAAATAACCAGCTCTGCCAATTCTTTACCCTTGATTCTTTAAGTGATTATGGGAATGACATCATTCATGTTAACACTTAAGTGAGACCATGACACACAATCAAATGGTTTCAACACAAACAGAGCAAGTACAAATATTGGGTTCATCTATTTTCCCCCTGTATCTCTCCAAGCTGTAGCTGTTTTGATTGCCATGGTTAGTAGAATAAAATTTTCAAAAACTAAATTTGCTATAGAAGTAACCAATTCAGTGAGCTGTATTCTGTGGTCTAGTGGCAACCAGTAATTTTTTGAAAATTCTGTTTGCTATATGGTCTTAAGTGAGTTCAAGATAAATTTTCATTCACAAAATATCAAGTACCATTGCCCAAAAATGTCCTCTATACATATTTTTTTTAAGCTTGGAGCCCTGCAAAGTTTTGGTGAACATCTTTTTAATTTACAAAAAATGTTTCTAGTTCTGTAGCTAGATTTTGTTTTTACTGATAAAGTAAGATGTTTGATGTTCTTTCACAGCAATAAAAAAGCAAACAGCTCCATTACCTGCCCTGATGTAATACCAGTCAGGATCGTACGGGGCAAGTTCTTTCCTTTTGGCTGTTTTAACCAAGTCCACCCATTCGGGAACCTTCAGCTTGCCACCCCTAGAGATTCAAATCAACCAATCATGTGTAAGTAGAGGAAAAAAAATACAAATAACTACTGTTGATTTCAATTGCTTTAATTTCCTTGAAACTATCAAGATTACACACAAGTGCAGGAAGTTTTGTTTCAGAAGCATAAGAGTTTGCATGGAGGAAAAGGTAAACAGAATTTGGTGTGCAACTGTGAACCACAAGATGACATCAATGCTGAAATGTTTCTCTAACTTTTAAATCATATATCTAAAAATAAAATTCACAATTACTGTTAGTTCAGTAATGAATAAAGAGACATGAACTGCAACTGATCTTTAGGTTACAAATTATTAAATGCCTGTTTATTACATGTTAAATAAAACAAGCAAGACATAGTCAACAAATCACAATTCAAGTGTGTTTAAAGTAAAATTATAGATATATGAAAAAAGTAATAATAATAATAACATCATATAATCTTTAACCAAATCTTACACGAGTAGTGTATCAGCTGAGATTGATATACAGTATGCAAAGGCAAAAATATAATTCCGACAGAATGTAACCACGAGGTCTTTCGAAGTCTGAGCGATTAGCTGGATGTTTTTAAGTTTTACAACAGCTAATTGGATTTTGCCATTAACTGAAAAGTTGCTTCTGAGCATCAATTTGGTCAACTTGACCTAAAGTCGAGCCTGCCCTTGCTGTTAACTTCGTATCACTGCAAACTTTATATCCGGGTGTTTTTGACATAAACACAATAAATTCAGAATTAATAAATTCAACTTCACCACCTTAAAAGAATTGCACTTAAAGAGAGTGACATTCAGATCGATGTGCGGCCGACAAAAAAGTCAACTTCATCAAAACTCACTTCTTCAAATGGGCCGCCAAAGCCTTGATGAATTCGTGTGGACAAACGTCTTTCACTGTCACACCACCGGGCATCTGTTGGAGAGAAGACATACAGCTATTGTTCAGCGCATAACTTATAAGTTAGATGGCGCTCTTGCACTCCGTAATAGCCATGAAATTTAAATACACGTGGTTGTTACAGAAATTTCGTGTCCGCCATTTTACCTTGTTAGAAGAGAAGAGGAAGAATGTGGGGCGGCCACCGCGCCATAAGGGGCGCTTGACTTTCCTCCAGTCTCTCCCGGCGTTAGGGGAGCTCATTTGGAAAATTTAACCCATTCTTGGGATTTTGAGAGCCTGGAATATGAAGGTTAATGACATCTAATCTTTCGACCTCTTTCAAAATTTTTCCAATCTTAATTTTTTTTTGTCGCCTGAGAAATTTCATCGTTAAAGTGTCTCATAGTTTGTTTCCACGGTCCTCGAAAGTTAAGGGATACTTTAAGAGCTTTGAAGTTAGATTTTGCGATATGCAATTAATTTTTTGGGACTCGATAAAAGACATTACATAAACTAAAGTGCTGTTTTATTTCTTTTCGCCGTAAGCCGACGCAGAATAAATAAACGAGTATTCTTAAGCTATGCAATATAAGTATTTTAATATGAAATTTTATTTTCAGTTTAGTAACGTAAATTCATGTATACATTAACATGCCATTTAAAATTCAGTTATCTGTAAAACAAATCATTTCTGTCCGATAAAGGTTCGTAAACGTTGACGATCAAATATCGATGCAATTTATGTACACTGTACAGATGTCGGTTATATCTATTCAGCCATATACATTAACTTTGTCGTTCTAAATTTACCTCATATTTACTTAGGGCAGTAAAAAAAAAATAACCTTGTAAGACCGCTTTCGGCTATTTTCATGTTTTAGCTCAAGTGAAAACATTTGCTTTTTAAAATAATCAGAGGATTATTTACTAATTTTCTACAGTCTTGGTGCAGGGGTCATCGATAAATTAAGCAATATCATAGAAATGTTTAGAGTACATTTTGGCCTTTTGTCGTTTACTGCAAAGAATTAATCTTAAATCCGCCAATAGTCACTAACCTCAAGAGAGGCAATTGAAATTGTTTTCGATCTGAAATTGAAATCACGTTTTATTCATGCGTACAAGTTTTTTTTTTCCATCGGATCTAACATGTTCACTTCACTATTTTGTTCATTAACTACTACACATTTCGCAAGCTTCTCATTTATTGCATCTACACTACGGTCAACCAATCAAAATTGGTTTCCCAAGTAAACTTTCGTGTTAACTGCCGATTCCAATTAACATGAATTGACCTTCACCTCGGCCTTAAAATGTCTCCGTTCAAGGTAAAGTGCGCTTAATCAAAAGATAAAAATTAAACAGAAAGTTGGTTAATTTCATCCGGATATTTGGTACTTACTCTCAATGCCCTAAAATTCAGTCTCGCAGAGGAAGCATTTAACCGACAATTTAGATTTGATCTCCAGGAGAGACGTAGTTGTGGTAATTAAGAAGGCGTGCGGTGTTTAGTAAGATTTTTCGAGAGCAGAACTTGACAACCCTTAAATATAAACATACTGTGTGTTTGCTCTCTTTTAAGTATTTTAGTCAGAGAAATCGCACGATAAAAATTTTTAACAGATGAAAATCAGGTTTAGATGTTTAAAAGATGAAATTTTGATCTGCCAGATTATAGTGAAAGATGAGTCAGTAGCTTGCGATGTTAGGAATAAAACTCTTCAATAAAATTGTGGTCGTATGGTTCGTGTTATTGTGTTTCAGATTCAGAAATTTATGGAACGGCCGCATTATAGTTGGGACAGCGGAACCTTCAACCCGTATGATAAAGAATTGGGCTCCGGTTCTTCGTTTAAACCATAAACAGGCACTACTAGTGAAACGTCCCAACTGAGAAATATGACAAGGAAAGTTTTTTGCGAGCATGTTTTGACACCTCAGAAATCTTGATCGCTCGTTCTCACACAACCAGCTCGGTTCTGGCACATGACCTTTGAGTAAGGATTTGGTTAATACGCTTTAGTTCCGCAGTACTTGGTGAGTTTGCTTTTCTTTTCACTGAAGTTATTTTATACACAGTGTGCGTTTGAAGGTGGCTCTGAACTCCCTAATTCTCATTGCGTAGATCCACGGATCCATTGCCGAACTTGTAAGAGACAGCGTAGCGGCCCACATCCATGCTCGGTTGTAATGTCTGCGACGACACAAGTCGCTGGTGACAATCTGCAGAACACTGACCACACTCACTGGCATAGAGAGAGAGACAGCCACCAGAACAACTATTCCTACTGTCCAGGCGTTTTTCTTAGCTTTTTTGGGCTCAATTCGAGGGGTTATTTCTGCGCCATTCTCGGTGCTTTCAGCGTCTCGCGAAATTACGGAGACACTGTTCTCTGCAATGGCAATTCTTCGCGATTGATCGCGCGCAGCTATGAAAATTTTCCCATAGGAGTAAAAGATGATCGCCATGGGGACAAGTCCTGTTAATACTCCACAGATAATCCACAGTTTTGGCAAGTCTTGGGAATCCAGTGCAAAGGAAAAGGCATTGAGCGTGAAGCCGAAAACCCAAGTGATTATCGCAGCGATTACAGTGCGCTTTACGGTTACAAAGCTGTAATAGCGCAAAGGAAAGATAACAGCAGTGTAGCGTTCCAGGCTCATAGTGCACAAAGTGTGCATGATGATCATCGAACTGGACATTGCAAAAAAGCTTTCCAGCTGCAGAAGATGCTTCTCTCTGTACTGCCAAGGGACAACGTTAGTTAACAAGATGTACAACGGATTCACTGTCAAGCCCACGAACAGATCGATGGCTGATAATGAAGCAATGAGGTAATAACACGGTTGGTGAAGGGAGCGGTTCTTGAAGAAAGTTACAAGAACCATTAGATTTCCACTGATGGCCGCTAATCCGGATACTGCGTTCAAAATTCCCAGGATTATAGCTGAGGCAGTAGATATATCTCCTGAACAATGCGGTTGATCTCCCATGATGTGAGATCTTTGTATCAAACTGATCACTTCCAAAACTGACAGAGAAATGTGTTGGAAATCTTCATTTCTCAACCATAACGCGAAAACCAACACAAAACAATCACGTTGAAATGAATTGCCTTTGATTACAACGTGCGAATTAAAAGTGCACTAGATTTGAAACAAAAACTTTGTTGATTCCCGAGCTTATTTATACACTTATAAACGAGACAGCGCAGGTGTCTATAATATTTGAGCGAACCAATGTGTATTTTAATCAGCGGTGATATAGATTCGTGAAGATCGCCGGGTTGGCAAATCCATCAATAACATTACCTTTTTGTTTAACCTCCTATATGGAAACACTTAATTAACAAGCTTGAAAGCAGTCACCTTCAGTGTTTTATTACAGTTCTTCAATGACCCTTTTCTTTTTTCACAGAAAAAAAAAAAAATTCAAGTCAGCACGTGCAAAGTATTTTTATAGCTAGCTTGGATGTAAAAGTTTAAATTCAGTTCTCTAGTAAATTTTTGGGCTGAGAAGTATGATAATATGTTAATATCAGCGTGGGTTAAGCAACTCCAGTGAGATCTGCAAGAGAGAGTGATGTGATCCCTGCATTGACAAACTTGTCATTTCAAAAAATATGAGAAATGCAATATGGATTAACTTGACCCTATCGCCTTTCAGTGAATTATGGTGTTTGTTAAATTGGGGTTCTATCGGCGTCTTCTAACCTGATGTGATATTATAAACCATCATTCCAGAAACAGGCAATAAATTTTGAGTAGTTTCAGATTCTGATCACTAATTTAAGGGCTCTATAACGCAATGATGCCGAATCTTGAGTAATTAAAGCTAGCTTTGTATGCAAGTTAAGTGCTAGAACAGAAAGATTATGGATTCAAGCAGAATCAACAGTAAAACTGATGTAGAAAGGATATTTTTAAATCCGCGCAATAATCCTTACGCTTTTGTGCTTATTAAAAGATATATTTTATTTCTTGATTACATGCATGTCAGTTTGAAACAAATCGGACATGAGAGGTTGACCGTTTATCAAACTCCTCTCCCTCAAAGGTTCGATTTTTATGGCATCTAGGATTTTAGAAAAAAAGGAGCTACGGTGTTTTCGAAATAACCAAGCCAAAAAAAAAAGAATATCATGTTTGGGGATGAAGCTGATGGCCATTGCATGTACACTTACGATGACTGGAATAAATAGAAAGGAAACCGAATTCAATACATGTATTTTGCGCACCATTTGGCAAAGGCGATGTGATAATAACTTAGATTGAATTTCAATCAATTTTTGCAGAAAAATAATCTAGACTTGAAAAGAGTTTATTACGGAAATAAATATGACATTTTCGGACCTTCATACTGAATAACCTTGCATCATATGTGATTTTTTCTTTTGAAAATTTATTTAAGCACTTTATTTTTTGTCAACAACTGATAGGTAACCGCCAAGGACTGATTCTGAACTACGTCACATGCTCATGTACGGCGTCACATTCACATTATTTTTTTTTTCGAGAAGAAAAAAACTTAAGGATACATATCAACAAACTTGAAATACTTTTGATTTTTATTCTTACCATAGGTCTCCATATTTACTCATTGGCGCATATGAGGAAAAAAAACCGGTGAGCGGCAGCGGTGTAGTTCAACTTTGTATGATAAAGTTGGATGAAAAGTGGCAAAAGTGGTGAGGGGGGAGGGACTATGGTTGATTATCCCCCCCCCCTGCTCTCCCGCTCCCCTTAAGCTGGCCAAATATCGGCTTCGCTTCATATGACAATTCACACGACACAGAAAATAAACGAGATTAGAATTGTATCACGTAGCTTTTGACAAGTTTTCCCGAGTGACATTAACAGATTCTGCACGGTAAGAGACTGGGCCACTTTGAAATACAACTTATCGAGCAAACATTTATGGAAATTTTAAACTAAATCAATTGGAGTAACAGGGTGAAAAAAAGGTTTTCTTTTGTTTTAAGTTTGCATTCAGTAAACACATTCGAGAGCTTGAAATTTCACCATAATATTGACACAATATAACTAAGATGCTGAGATTAGAATTAGCCGACTCGAACATACTGTTCAAGCTGTCCCATATATATATATTGTTCTTCGTCACGTTCTGTTCCTTAAAAAAGTGTTGTTCGAAAAAGAAAATTTCCGAGGGAGTTCGAATTCAGGAAAAGTCTGGCTGCAAGCGGTTGTTTCCTGATTGTTTACCGAACCCTGACGTTTTTTCCCGTAGATTTTACAAACGTGCAATATCGTTCCAAATTAGTGACAGTCCTTCAAAACAATTCCGCAAAGAACAGACATAAAACGAACAACAATTACAATGAGGTTTTGCACAATCATTTACTTCCGAACGCAAGCAGTTTCCAACAAAGGCCACTTCACCTACTTGCCGGGTGATTCATTGTATCAAACTTTGCTGGCGAGTAACTGTAAAAAAACGTTTTAAATTGATCTTCGTTGCTTGGTTGCAAGCTGCATAAAGTTACCCTGCTTTCTTTTTCATGCAACGTCCAAGTCTTAACGTTTTTGAAGAATACGCTTTTGATGATAGAAAACTTACAGAAACTAAATTAAAAGCAACGCCTGCGGAAGAAAAGTTCGTTTAGAGTACCAATTATTTTTACTAGTTTAATTGCTTGAATAGTAAACAATTTTTCCATAAAAGAAAAGCTGTCACCGTTGGCTGATCGAAATCGAGATTTCTAGGTATTTTTTATATCAAGTTTGTTCAAGCTCAAAAAAAAAAATTATTAACTACATTAAGAAATACGATTTTAGCTTGAATAGCTTCCTTGTGTAGCTAGGAGGTAAATTAAAAACAGGACAGTTCACGAGATTAATGAAGGAATATCAACCTTAAGGTTTTATCTGCTGCACGTAGTTGTCTTACGTAAAAGCTCCATAAGGTTAGATCCCCTGTCATTGTCGACAGATGATCAAATACGTTTTTACTTGGCTGGTGAAATTAAATAAAACCTTAAACAAATTTTTGGGCAATCTTTATTAAAATTGCATGTTGTGCTGATGTTGAGGCGAACTTCACCAGGAATCAGTTCATTGTCACGAAGAACAGCAATAAGTTTCTGAGAATGACAATCATCTTGATTGGCATGAAGAGAACAAAACTTCCCCTCGGGTAACCTTTTGGAACCTTTTGGAACGTTATTCTAGTCCAACGATATTGAACTTGTGAACTGCTAAAGTTGCATCGTAACGTGTCGCAGTTCACTATTTCAGTAATGGCTTGGCACCGTGTTCAGTGATAGCGTGCTGGCAAATTGATCATTGAAGCGTCTATGTTGAGGTTTTCAATTAATGCTAATCGTTAAGACAAGTTGCTTGTGGCAACCAATGAAAACACTTTTTCGAGCCATATGCGCGTGAAGTGAATGACAAATTGCATAAAAAGTAATGAATACCATTTTAGCTGGATTTAACTAAGAAGTCAGCTAGTGTATACCTCTTAAAAAGAGGATCACCTGCACTGAATTTTCTAAAGAAACCACACTCAGCCAGATTAAGGGAACTTAACGAAATTTTTCAACTCTATTTGCGCATCGAAAACCTATAGCATCATGTCCGAAGAATGCCTTGGGGAGCTACATCACATTTCCTCAATATTTCTTGCTGTTCTTCACGCCATATCTGGTTTCCTCTCCACTGCTGGAAATTTTGTAGTTCTTCTTGCAATCTACCAAACGCCTTCATTGCACTCAGTATCAAATTATTACATCGCATCTTTGGCTGTTGGAGATTTTCTGGTTGGCGCGTTGTTAAGTCCTCTTTGGGTGACTAAAAGCGTCCTTAACGTTTGGCAAAACGAGCATCCTCTCACAGTAGCAGCAGAGCTGATGTCAGTACAAACATTAATAACTACAACTTTTAACCTTGCTGCCGTGAGTTTAGATCGGTACTTGGCCATAATAAATCCGATGTATTATGTTCGTGTGGTGACATTGTTTCGCTGCGTGTTTTCAATCGCTGTGATATGGTTGTTTTCCATAGCGTTTTCGTGTCTTCGTTTAGTGATCACAGACCCATTGGACCTGCCAAAATTGTGGATAGCTGTGGCTGTCATTGGATACACTCTACCATTTGTGGTCATCAGTTACAGTTACTATCACATCTACAAAACAGCGCGGCGTCAGTCAAGGAGAATAGAGGCTGAAGCCAGGGCCGTATCTACTGTAGCCGCTGAAGCAGGTTCGTCTGATTCGGTCGCCTCCGAGACGAAGCGCAACCGAAAAGCGGCGAACACAGTCGGTGTAATAATCGGGATTTACCTACTTTTGGCTTTTCCAAGCATGATTGTAAGCGGTATTCAACTCGTAACAACAAATGGCTGCCTTAAGATTCGAATTATTCGGGTTTGGTTCTGGGGAGCGCTATGCTCTTTCAGCAGCTCTGCGGTAAACCCGTGGATATATGCGGCACGAAATCGCGATTACAGACGAGCATTCAAACGCATTTTCAAATGTTGGTTTGCCAAAAAAACACGCGAAAGAACTATTGCTTCCACCCGTGCTAAAGTCGTAGATTCAATAAGAGAGCAAAGTTCGATGTGAAACTAAACTTAATAGATTATATTGTAATCTTACCAGTAAATATCAGACCTATCGAGTCAGGCAGTTGAAAAACTGTGAAGTCGAAAAAATCATTCTAGTTTTGTTGCAATTTTCAGAATAACTTTTAACAAAAATACTTAATGAAATATTTATAATTCAATTCTATGTTCCTATTTTATTTCGGACCTTTTTGCAACATTTTTGTTAACCGATGAAAATGAAATTTTGAATAAAGTTTCTGTGCTACTCGCATAATTAAAAGGTGTCATAAGAACGTTTTAAGCGTTTCGTGCAGTTTTGCTTACTTTGTTAGAGTTAAACCTATAAACGTGATCCAGCTTTTTACGTTCTCATCAATAGACACTTTGGAATATTTTAATCGCGGCACCGAGAAATTTGCTTTTATCACTAAATTATTTTTCCGGATGTGGCATTCATCACTTCAACATATTTTTATGCATTACCTTCAGTTTCGTGATCATTTATAACT